AATTTATATTAATATTCTAGATATACTTAAATTATATTTTAAAAATAAGATTATTTTTATTTATTACTTATTATTTTAAAATTAATAAATAAATTAAATATATAAATATTATTTTAAAATAATATTTATAAATTTATATTAATTACTTATAAGATAATTAGGCTAAATAATTATTTATAATAAAATTTATTATTAATAATACTAATTTTAAAATTATTAGATATTTTTTATTCTTTATTTTATATAATTTTAATTCTTATATAAGATTTAAGCTTATCTTATTTAATTATTACTTATAAATTTATAATACTTACTAATTTATCTTAATTATAAAGTAAATATAAAAATATTACTATATTACTATAATTATTACTTAAGCCTGCTATAAATACTATATTAATTAAAAATATTATCTTACTAGATACTATACTAAAAACTAATTAATTTAATTAAATATTAAGAATATTATAATTTTATACTCTTAAAAAAAATTAGACTAGAAAAATCTAAATTTTTTTCTTATTAAAAGAATTATTAGTCCTTATACTTATAAATTAGACTTATTTAAGAATATAAAAATATATCTAGTATTTTATATTAAATTATTATATCTAACTACTAAAGACTTATTATTTAAATAAGAAGAAATTAAATCCTTATATATTAAAATTAATAATATTAAGGAATAAAAAATTAAGAAAATAATTAATTTTTACTAGAATTATTATAACTAAAGTAATTACTTATATTTAAAATATATTATTAAATAAGTTAAATATTCTATAATTATTAAAATTTTTATTAATTATCTAGAGAATATTATTAAATATATTATTATTTTTTATTATTATTACTCTAAAAAGTCTAAATCTTAAAAATACTTTATTAGAGCTTAACTTAAAAAAGGAGATATTATTATAATATAATTATATATTTATTTAATTAGATTCTATCTTAATTATCTATTTTTATTTCTATATTTAAGCTATATTACTCCTAATCTTATTATAGCTCTTTAAGCTATATCCTTATCCTAACCTAACTCCTACCTATTGTACCTATACACAGATAGCCTGAATATACACCCTGCCATTAGCTACACCTACTGCCCGCCTGCTCTCTGTGACATAAGATATCTTTATTTATATTTTTTTCTAATATAAGATATTAGAATTTAGTAAAAAAAATACTAAATTTATAATAAATTTATTAAAAGTAGAATAAATTAATATAAGTATTAATTTCTAGATTTAGATTTTTAAAAGCTCTCTCTAAGATTTCTAAAATCTTAATATAATTATTTAATTTATAAATTCTATCTTAAATATATAATAAGATTTAGGTATATAAAATTTTTTTAAAATAATTAATTATATAAGTTATTCTATTATTTAGGATTAGAAAATAATTAAGATTTATAATTATTTTCTAATAAATTTAAAAAATAAAATATCTTAAGTTACTTTATTAGCTATTAAATTTATTAGGATTAAGAAGTTATTTAGAGAGTTAAGTAGTAAGAATAAATATAATAAGAGTAGTAATAATAGTAAAAGAAATAGTAATATTAGTATCTCTTTTAGAAAGAGATAGTAAATTAGAAAATATATTATTTTAAGTAAGTACTTTAAATAACTTTTATTAGATTTTTTTAGCTTATATCTTCTAGTACTTAATTATAATATCTTTTTATTAAATATAATTAAGGAGGCTAGTATTAATAATATATAGGTTAATAATAATAAAGTATAAGATAGATAATTTATAAAGTTTTTTTATAATAGTAATAAAGAACTAGTATATTTTAGTAATATATTATCTTAATTTATTAGGGATATTATATAAAAGGGTTTCTATATTTTTAAGTAATATAAGTAATAAGATAGGTATAATAGTAGTAATTAACTTCTAGTAAAGAGGAGCTATATAATATTAAGGTATAAAGTTAGATTTAGATATTTATTAATTAGAAGCTAATTAAATAGAATAGTAGAATAATAAATATTAAATAAGAGATAGAATATAGCTTAAAGAGCTATAATAGGATTAGGAGTGATATGGCTTAAATACAGGGATAGAGGCGGACAGTCAGGGCAGAATCTAGCTGGATAGGTGCTATGGCTTCACACCGTGACATGCACCCTGACATAAAGTATTTACTAGAAGTAAGTTTAATTACTATTTTAATTAAATTATAAAGATTTTTTACTATTTTAGTACTATATTATTATCTAGATAAAATAATATAATAATACTAGATAATTTTTACTAGAATCTTTATCCTATCAGGTAAAGATCTCTAGTATAGAGGTTTTTATAAGAGTTTTTAAGATTTATAAAATATAAATAGAACCTTAGAAAGGGCTTATAACCTGATAAGAGGTTGTCAAATTATAATAGTAGAAAGTTAACTAAAATAAATTATATTAGGTCTAACTAGGAGATAGATAGAGATAGAGAGATGCTTGGAAGAAGCATGAAGGTCTAGAAAGAAATGGTGGCCTAAATACATAGAGTCACGTGTTGCTATTCATTTACATAAAGGTGATGTTGGTATTCACTGAATCCAGCACTCCAACATAATATACTAATATATCTCGTACAACATCAAATATATGAATCTAGCAGGCAGTTGTTGCAGCGGTCAAAGGTCTTAGTAGGAATTTTGATTGTTGTGGAGTGGCGGTATTAGCTTGCCATATAGTTGGTGATCACCTGATGCATGGCCCCATCTCATGCATATTTTGCCCCTTACTAATTTTCTAGATAGTAATTTTTAACTTTATATATCTTATTTAATATAACTCTAATTAAAGTAGTATTAGAAGTAATTAATTTCTTAGAACTAGATACTTTAATTAACTATACTAAAATTATAAAATAATTTAATATTAAGTAATTAATATTATTAAGGTATTATTATAGGATTTTATATTTAAAAGACTACTAATATAAGTAATAGTAAGCTCTTAGTAACTAATATAAAAAAGAATTTATAAGATATATTAATAAATTTATTAAATAAGGCTTCTTTATATTCTATAAAATATTATATAATTTTATAAAAAAAATAAGTAAATAGAAATCTAGAAAATACTAGCCTAGCTACTTTTTAAAGTAATACTAAAATAATCTTATTTTAATTTATATAACTACTATTAATACTATATAAAAATAAGCTAATTCTATATATAAATATATACTATATTTTAAATTATTATATTAGAAACTAGAAGAATATAAGTTATATATAAAGAATATTTATAATATAAATAAAAAAAGATTTCTTATTAAAATACTTATTAAAGATCTTAGAATCTTTTTTAAGTAAAAATATAAGAATAAGGCCTTTAAGTAGTACCTATAAGATAGAAATTAAGAGTAGATAATCTTAATTACTTATATTTATACTAATAGAAGCTTGCTCTTACTAGGTCTTATTTACTAGGCTACTAGTAGTAATATTTAGAATTTCTAGTTATAAGATTTTAATCCTAAATTTTATAATTATTTTTTTACCTCTTTTATAAGTAATTAGATAAATAATAAGCTAGGATATACCTAGTTAATAAATATATTTAACTAGGAGATAAAGAAGAAAGTATAGAGATATTAGAGATTTTTAATTCTTAATAATTATAGATCTTACCTTATTATAAAGTTTATTAATTACTATAATATTAATAAAAATTTTTTAATAACTTATTTATCTTATTTAACTTATTTACTATAGTTACTTAATATTAGAATCTTTAGTTCTTTTTCTACTACTTATAGTAAGAATCTAGAAGATTTCTTATATAAATTAATAGATTTTAATTATATTATTAAATAGGATTTCTTCTACCTCTTCTAGCTAGCCTAGAATTAGACTTTATTATTAAAAAATATATTTTCTTTATAGAAAATTATTAAGATATTATTATTTAATCTTAAGATTATTCTAATCTAATTTAATAAAAAAATAAACTTATAACTATTATTTAATAATTTTTTATAATTAATTCTATAAGTAAAGAATTAAAGAAAGATTAAAAAACTTTTAAATTATATAATTATTAATATATATAATAAAAATATTAAGAAGTTAAATTCTATAATATATTATTTTTTTATAGAAAATATAATTTTTAAACTATATTATAAAAGCCTTAAATTAGCTCTCTAAAATAAGAAGAAGAAGTACTAGTATAGTAAATTTTTAAAATTTAAACTTGTAATACTTAAGAATAGTAATATAGTATTTTACTCTCTATAAAAGATCTAGCAAGCCTATAATCTTTAGAAGTAGAAAGATAAGGCTATATAACTTACTAAGGCCTTAAAGGAGGAAGAAAAGATCTATTAGTAACTTATTAAAGAGGAGAAATAATACTTACTTAAAAAGTATAAGAGAAATTAAGTATCTTAATAAGAATTATAATTATTAGAAGTAAAATAAAAAAAATAATAAAAAGAGGAGGCATGCCTAGTAAAGAAGGTAGATTATTAGCTTTAAAATAACTTCTAGGAGGTAAAGAAGACCTTAAAGAAAATATTTATAACTTTATACTAGCTAAAATCTATAGAAATTAGGCTAATAATCTCTATAAATATTATTAAGGCCCCTCCTATAATAAATTATTAAGGCTGCGAGATCTGACTACTATACTACTTTTAGGGTGACTAAAAATTATCTATAGACTATATCTAATAATTACTTTTAACTACTAAAAATTTAAGAGATAATATTAATTGTATATAGTTAAATTACTTCATGTTAGTTCTTATAGTTGGTAGTGATTTCATGCATCAGGTGGGGCCGTGCATCAGGTGATCACCGACTGTAGGCGGCATACAGGATTAAAACTTGTAATTTTAGTTATTTCGGTGTTGTCCTAACAGGCTGCCGTAACAGCCCCACTCCTAAGACCACAACATCTACCTACTAGGTACGGAGTAACTTACATCACTAAAAACTTTCACACCAAGTTCTCCCCTCATACTAAACAGCAAGCAAAATGGTCCTAGAAGCAATTAGATACAATGGTGGCACTCTTACCATCATCGATCAGCTGCAGCTACCCTTTCTGGAGCACTACATCGGAATCGAAACTAGTGAGGAGGGGTGGTACGCAATTAAGAAAATGCAAGTACGAGGGGCTCCAGCAATCGCTATCGTTGCGGCGCTATCCCTTGCATCTGAGCTCCACAAACTCATTGCACACGCCAAGCTACCATCGGACGCGAAGGAAGTCAATTCATTCATCACAGATCGATTACGTTTTCTTGTGAGCAGCCGGCCTACGGCTGTAAATCTCAGTGATGCAGCTCGTAAGCTTGAAGCTGTGGTGGCCGAGGAAGCAAGAAACCCCCAATCAACGGGGAGGGAAGTTGCGGACGCTTTCATTGGAGCAGCGGAAGAGATGCTGTCAAAAGACATTGAAGACAACAAAGGGATTGGGAAGCATGGTGCTGAATGGATAATGGCAAATGCGCTATCCACCCACGGTGGAAAGGCAACAGTTCTAACGCACTGCAATACAGGGTTAGTATTGAGTCCTATTGAGCCCCAGTTACCAAATACTGTCTGATACTAATGAAGGCCCAGATCTCTCGCAACTGCTGGTTATGGAACTGCACTTGGAGTAATACGCTCTTTACATTTGATTGATGCACTACAACACGCCTACTGCACGGAGACAAGACCGTACAACCAAGGCTCGCGGTTGACAGCGTTTGAGCTAGTTCACGATAGCATTCCAGCTACTCTAATTACAGACTCGATGGCAGCCGCTCTACTTGCAAGGAAAGAAGTGGGAGTAAATGCAATAGTTGTCGGGGCTGACCGGGTGGCAGCCAACGGGGATACCGCAAACAAAATAGGTACATATGGCCTCGCAGTCTTAGCCAAATATCATGGGGTCAAATTTCTTGTTGCGGCACCACTCACGACAATTGACCTGGCTACAAAGACTGGCGAGCACATTGTTATTGAAGAGCGGCCCCCCTTTGAGGTTACGAAGATCAAAGGGTTGCGCGAGCGGGATGGTACATCTGATGACGTGAGATTAGATACACTCCAGATAGCGGCCAATGGAATTGACGTCTGGAATCCTGCGTTTGACGTCACTCCATCGGCCCTTATTGATGGGATAATAACGGAAAAGGGAGTTATGGTAAAGGGGACAGATGGAATGTTTCACTTGGAAGAGTTGTTTAGCTGACCACCGCCATACCCTTCAGCCCTATTTTGACCTCCCTGGCTATTGCTTTCCGGGATTTCTGTATCTTCCTGCTTTTGATATGTATTTAGGAGATCATCAATCTTCGATTCCAAATCACCTAGGTGTTTCTCGAGTAGAGCGGCCGTTTCTTCTCCCCTGTGGATAGTTAAAAGATTAAGTCGAATAGGCAAGATAACCGAAAGGTACGGAGGAGGTAAATACTTAGAGATATCTCTTAAAATCTGCAATTGGAATTGCTCGTTAGCAGTTTTTTCTTTGGCAGTCCAAGATTGCAATGACAGGTAAGGTGGCGAGAGTAGAAGCAGCATTGGTGATTGGAAATATAACCCACCTGAGCCAAGTTTAACCCTGATATTTGATCATTGTTATTACTCCCTTGTGACATGGCTAAAAGAACGGGAGATCAGAGGTTTTCTGATACTTATGGATTGATGCGGTGGAGGAAATAGGTAAATATCCGACGTTGTGCGGAGAGCTTTGAAATGAGTCGGATATCTACCAGCATTACACCTGTGGTGACGGCAGGGAGGGAAGTCTTGGCCGGGTACTCCGCAGTCCGCACTTCGCATTTATATTAATACTCCGTACATCCCCGAATAACCCAATGCCAGTATGTTAAATCCCCCACCACCAATCAATATGGGTAATAAGACATGGTTTGTTTCTCTCACATTATCGAGACCTTGTCTAAATAACTATCTAGTATGTATTAGGAAAAACGAGGGATTGAACTTAATTCATAGTGGCTTTTTTGGTCGCGTGTCATATGACCCGTGTATAAATAATCCCCCATAGTTAATCCCCAGACAAGAAGGAGCTGCTTCGCACACAGGTTTTTTAGACCAGTAATGTTGCATGTCAGTAGCCTAGAATGATGCCTGGGAAATTATACTATTAGATAGATACCTTAACTACCAGGAAGTACCACATAGGGCCATTAACTTGGTTAGTGCCTATGTACCCTAACCTAATATCAATCAAGTAATCCCTCACGCATACCACTGCCTGTATTTTGGTGAAACATATGAATAGCAACAGTGACAGTAATAACGCCTGCAGGCCCCTGTTGATAGTACCCTACAGACCCTGGTGTATTTCCTGTCACACTCGTAACTAGAGTGAGACCCAATAGGTGGTCAGCTCATCACCTGAGGAGATGGAAACATCCCAAATCACCCCACATTTATGAGGTCATGAGTCTGTTACTAAGATGGATACTGGGCGTGTAGTTATTTAAGGCCTGGCCCTCGTCCATTCCCCTTAATCATACTCACTGATGCCTGTACTCGAAATTTACTTCACCAAATTGGTATACATCATCGATCTATCCGATTACAACTGGATGTGAGTAAGTGTCCCAGCCAAGTATATGATGATACCCTCTTCCCTGGCTGAGCACATCTGATTGATCCGGGTTGATAGTGACTGTCAATTCCACCCTTGATCAAGTATTAGGTATGTGCTAAGCATGTATACATCCTTCCGATAAAACCTTAATGGATTCAGAAAGCTCCCCCATTCTTCCAGTCTCACGACAAGCAAGAAATCTGCTGTCGACTTGTCCAGATCAGTCTTTGAGAGTCAAGTCGAGGGGTTAGTTTCCATGGCTTCCTCGATGATGAGATTAATCTTTGTTATCATTGAGCAGCTGAAGTCTCAGCATTTTCTACCCTTTTTTTGATGAATTTTAGCACCCTTCGGCAGTGATGTGATGACACACCTTTCAAGGGACTATGCTGCTGCTTCTTTTTTAATCCTGATTCCACATTCCTGGGCTATTTAAATTCTTTTCTGTGATCCTGATTTTACCTGTATTAATACTGTGGATTTCAGGTTGCCCTTCCATATAATTCTAAGACAATCCACTACCAATATTCGACAGCTTTCGAGGCTACCTTAATTGAAAGAGTAGGTCCAAATTCTTCGCCCTCTCGTCACCTGCTTAACGCAGGTGGATATACTTTCCGCACTCGCCCATTACTTGGAACTGTTAGTACCATGCCTGTGTCACTAATCTTGATTTCTTGATGCTAGTGACGCGCTCGCACAAGCTCAATGATCGTGATCATACGGCAATCCAGAACGGGATGAATGTTCCTAGTGAGCATCTTCCACGGTATTTTGCGAAATCTGGCCCAGTTGATGCAGATCCCAAGAAGACTAAGAAAAACGGGGGAGGAAAAGGCAACTGGTGGGTATTCCTTTCCATATTATTATCCCGATTTTCGTCCGATGCCGTACATTTTGGCATAAATCCGAGCGGATCTTTGTGTAGAATGTCCACTGATTGTATGAGCAGGGGCCGCTCCGGGGAGGAGGTGCAAGATTACGAATATACTTTCATGAATACTCGGCGTCACTCAAATAGCAGCGTCCAAAGTATTTCAGGCTTCAAAACCAAATTCGAGGCCATTGAACCGGAGCCAGTCTTCGAGGAGGACTTGCATGGCCCTTTGAATGAGACTGCTATGGATGGAACTTTCGTAACCAAAGTTGATAGTGTCAGCAGCGGTACGAGTGGAAACGGTGAGATCGAGGAGGCTGCTGACAAAAATACGGCAGTCAACTAGGGCCGAATGCTCTGTTTGGGATAACTCCATATGGATCTGTGGGATGCGTGACAGTTGACTCCAAATAATTCCTCGCGCCTAGGTAAATGTTGTTCCCATACACGTGTAGCAGTATAAACGGCACGTGGGACAGGTGGTAAAAGTATCCAAAGGTGCATTGAGTGTGCTCATGAGTTCAATACGAATCTTGAGTCAATAGTGACAGCATAATCGATATAAAATTACGTTATTGAAGGTCGTCCAACAGTAGCTCTATGTAAAATTGGTTCATTATCTAAACCGGAAGAGACCAAACTTCATGTCAAATCTCGTCCCGCTAAATAGACATAGCTAAGACATGTCGCTGTCTAAAGCCAACTTAATCGCGATTTTTGACTTGGAGTTTCTGTCGTGGTAGGGGCCTGTTCTTCGACTTGCGCATTATCCATTGACTGGGAGTTGGTACCATCATTCAAAGGATGCAACGCTGCCTTCTCCGCGGAGAAAAAAAGGGTCTTGAACCAAAACTCAAGCTCCCCGTTCTCTATATATTGAGATAAAACAGTATTTTCCTTGTCAAGATCACGGTTAATACGAGCTCGCCTCTCAGGGCGAAAGCGGGATGAAATAAGGGCGGAATCGGATTCATTCATCAAAACATCCTGTGGACAAGTGGGAATGTAAAGGGAGGCATTAGTAGCATCCTCGCTATGCTCTATACTAATGTTAGTATACGTAACGCACAAGTCTCTTGCAAAAACTTACTGTCTTTAAGACATAAAACAAGGGTACGGAATAGTGATGTCGCGTATAGGAGTGTCTCAGAATCGCTACCCATATTTTCAACTGCCTTCCCTGTCGCGTCCCAGTTGTCCTTTATGATACACCTTCTCCATACTAACTTTTGAAGTGCGAGGTAGTAATGGGGATCACGTTTAGCATGAAATCCTAACCGGATGACCCGCAAAGCCAGATAAAATTCTTTGCCAGTAAATTCATTTTGTCCAGACTCCGGAACTTGACTCGCATCGATAAGTGTCAACAGGTCCACCAGTTGATCAAGGTTGAGAACTTTCCGAGAGACTACCCCTCCGAGAGCCTCGCCTAGTACTTCATGTAGCGATAGCCGATCCTTAGCGATCGATTGCCCGAAGTGCTCAATTGCTAGGTCAATTTCAGCTTTCTGGTCGATCGCGTCTTGTAAAACTGGTGAGATATAGGCATAAATGACCTCCTGAACAGCGCCCATCTCTGCAAAATCTTCGAGGCGTTTGAGGTCAACATGGAGGGTGGGAGCGCTAGAAGAGCCCGTCTTCTCCCACGCTGCCAGCTTGGCAAGTTTTGCTAATGACAGCTCAACTCGATGACTCCAAATATCAGGTTCATGTTCAAGGGCCAGACTCTCCAAAGTTTTAGCAGCAGTGTCATAATCACATTCGCCAATTACATCATTGATCCAGCTGAGTCGGGAACAAGAAGCATGTTTGCGTAAAAAGTGGGTGATAAAATGCTGGAATTTTTTCATCGAGAACAATACTCCAGATTGCCCCATTGTTATTTGACGCGAGAAGAAGGCATCGGCCCAACTTTCTCCAAATTTCTCAAAGTAATGGGTAATCTTTTTGCTGAGCTCCTGAGATGCATCGCTGACCCCACCTGGAACGTCTTCTGAGGGATCTTGCCCGAATATATTACCTTTACTCTGATCCTGAAGTTCAATAATCAACTCCACTAGCGCACCCATGTCTCGGAAGTTTTCGGCCAAATTTATGGCATCTTCCAATTGTCCAATACCGGCTAATTTGAAAAGTTGCCATTTTCGTTGCTTAATGTGTGATTGCTCGGTGGCCACAGCTTCGTCTATTGATTTTGGATTGTCCTGAGCCGAAAGCCACCGGACGCGTTCCAAATGCATTTGGCCTAGAATTCGAAGATGTCTGGCACTGTTCACCGCGATTTTCTTGATGGTTTGCTGATCAGATGTTTCAGCAGTAGTTTGTTGAATCCAGGCCCTGCAGCTGTCAAGCTCTAGGTCCAATAAATGCCCAGTTTCGGAGTAGCTGATACTTTGTGATGTCCAAAACTCTGGGAGACCCTCATAGCCAGTTGTCAAGATCCCATCTTCTAAATAGCCATCTCCAATCCCGAACTGACCGGCATGTTCATCCCGGAACTTAAATGCTGTCTCAAGGACTGCTAGAGATAGATCACTAGCCTCAAGTATCTGCTCCGACATTCGCCGCATTTGTTTCGAAGAGTTGCCTTTCTGGGGCTTTATCGCATTGAAAATCCAGGGCACGATATGTTCCGTCCTATAGGAATCGTGAAGAAACCAGTGACGTACGGGGTCATTAGTGTCGTCTTGTTCGAATTTTGTCTTGAACTTTTCACTCATCAAGTTAATGACGTGGGCAAGGAATGTTGGTTCTTTATTTTTGGTTTTCCTTGCATGCTCTTCCAATTTCCACATCGCTCTCTGGGCTGCAAGCTTTTCCGCGCTGCATAATAGTTCCCACCAAATTCGACGATCTAGAACTTTATTCTGTTCCATTAGAAGATGAGAAAGGTCATCCAGCGCCTTTGCTCGCAGTCTCAGATTTTGATCAACAGATATCGCTGTTGTTGGAATAAACTTTGATGTTGACTTCAGGAGTCCTCTGCAAATTCCCAATGCGGCATCTTCGATCTCTTTGGCAGCGAAATCTAAACCGCTTTTACTGGCCAAATTCAATGGGTTTCCCGACATCGTGCCATAAAATACAGCCTGTTCAATTTTATGCCGTGCAGTAATCTGAAAATCCTCTATGCTGCTTGTCGTTTCCTGCCGATAGGGGACAGTGATACGGATTACGCCGAAATCTCGAATCATGAGTAGACATGCAGGGAATGAACTGTCCACGCCCTCATCTTCAACCCCTGCACCTAGTATCTCGTAGCTTTTACCGGATCGAAAGTTGATAGAGTCATGGAATGCCTGTGGCTGGTGATTGTCAAGCAGAAGTTGGGAACTTGGGGAGGCTTCGACCCATGCTAGTGACAGTAATAAAATCGATTGACCTAGCACCACGAACGCCGTTTTGCCCGGCTTTGGAACGAATAACCTTGGCCTCGAGTTTCCTAGAGCTGTCGGGATATTATGCGAGCTGATGGGATTAGTAGATAATATTTGAATACTCAATGATAGCCTCAGTTGGACGACAAACATGCTCTGGGTAATTGGCCCAAGAGGCAGGCTGACAAGGACTGAGATATCCCACGACTTTCCGCCATGTGAGTCCTCAGTATCTTGCTCTGCATCGATGAATGCGAAATCTAGAACTCTGATGTCGCTGTCACCGGACCCATCCAAAGACTGCACACCTAAAGATCTATGTAGATCTTCCTTGATATCGAATTGTTTTTTGAGCATGCTTCCATTATTCCAATGTGTATCCCAAACCTCAACCAGGCCATTTGAGGTGGCAATAATGATATCTCGCTGTCCCCGTTGATGGGATTTACCAGCCCGAACTGCGGCAACCTCCTTTCGCCAGAAACCACCGCCAAGAACATTTTTGATCCCGCCGAAGAACCCAATTCCACCGTTGGTGGACGGATTCTTCAAGAAATTGACAGTGATGGCTGGTTTTCCCTGCGAGTCTCTGAGCGTAATATGAGCCACGCGTCCAGATGAAAATGTAACGATAACACCAGAAGGCTCCGCGTTAACAATATCCGTGACATATTCACCCGAGAGCATTCCTGGAATAGATCCCTGGAGCCCAGTCTGCCTTTGCCTGGGAAGCCCTAATGATGCAGCACAAGACACCGTTTCCCAATATATGATTTTCCCGTTCTGAGGCATTAGGACCATCAATCCAGGAATAGTGCTAGCTGCAGTTGATAGAATAACACCAAGAGGCACAGCATCTTTCATTTCTCTATATGATTCGGGGATTGAGAGTCTGAACACTTCGGATGGGGAAGGAGAGGAGGTCATAAGTGAATACGGCCAAATGATAGCCTCAGACTGCGTGAGGGCTAACCCATAGCTGTGACTGGATGCGAAGAAACATCTGAAGGATTCTGTACCAATATATCAATAAGCTGGCTGGCAAGAGTATAATTGAGGCATACCTGATTGCAGGTTCCGAATTTGATCTGGCAAGGATGGTAGCTGTGATACAGTATAGAAATCCGTTTTTGACTAGGAGAACTATTCGTAAGTTAAATGCGAGAATATACTGGAAAGGAGAGAGACAAACAAGCACGACCGCGTCAACTGTGTCATTTTTTCGCTTTTCGGGTTTTTTGGCTGTTCTGATTGGAATGGACCTTTCAGGATTGCCATCAAGCGAGGGAATGGACTCCGAGTTATTTAGTGAGGTGGAAGTTGAAAGTTCCGATGGTTGAAACTTGGGGCTGTCATCAATTAGGTCTCCTGGATTGACTTTTGAATTTCCCTGGCGGAGGATAGATCGCTGTCTTTTTGCGCTGGGTGGTTTGACAGATTCATCAGAGCTTGTACGCTGGCGCCGGCGCGGATTCCTCAAAGACGCCACCGATGAGGAAGCTTTCGGTACGAACATTGTCGGACCAGCGAAAGTATTTATATTAGAAGACCTTCGAATTCTCTTTATGCATTGGGGAAAAAGCAGATGCTGGAATCATGGAATGTTGAATGTTGAAGTCTTCAAGGGACCCTGGGTAGGAAGATACCCACTTTATTTTCTGTTGTTGATTCCAAGGCGGTCAGTCGCGCAACGGAAAATTCAGTGCCTCAGGCTTGACCGGACTTACACATCTCGGCTGGGATAACTAACTCACACTGCACACATTTCTTCATGCAGTTGCTGAAAGGGCAGCTAAATATCTGATCATATTGCTTATAATTATTATTATCACCAGTAAATGAATGCAGTATCTGGCGGGATTTATGCTTAGAGCAACAACTGGATAATTGGCAGTCAGATATAGAAGCGATTGTATGGATTATCTCCAAGCCTTTAAACCTCACTTCGCTCGGCGGCTTGCAGTTCACTAGCAAACATGTGACCAAAATACAGGCAGTATTTAATTTACTAAGATAGAGAGACCTGTAAACAAATAGTTAGGTAGTTAAAGCTAACCAATCTATAAAAATATTAGAAAGTTTGGTAAAAAGGTTAAGGGTAACTAACAGGGTAATCTATAAAAATCTGTCACGGCAGGGCAGCTGTTATGCCATTATGTCTATATTAGGGGTAACCAGCCATAGCAGCTGGTTAGCCATTTTAGTCTTGATCATACTTGGTGTATTTCTGATTCCCCTTATAAGCATGTGACTGCAATGGGTCCATACAGATTCTATTCCAGTTATAAAGAGTAAAATTTACAGTCTTCACGCGTATTTATATATGTAGATTTTACTGGTAAAAATGCAATTAAATACTCACAGGTCAAAATCACACCCTAAAGTTTTCTCTCCCACAGTAGAACTTCAATTATTATGGAAGAATGGTATCAATTATCAATACTATACATAAAGAAGAAGTGGTGCCTATCTACAGAGAAAATAAACCTCGGGACAGAATTATTGAACGAATAATTTATATCTAACGTAATTAGGAGGTGGGGAGCCGGGATACACTCCGCGATCCTCCAATCACATGACAGGGAGAAAGTCTTAATACAACTACAAGACTACTAGAAGCTTTATCTTCAGATCCCGAAGATCTTGCCGGCTATTGATATGCTGCCTGTTTTATCCATGGGTATTGATTCACAATGCCCGCCTTTTGTACTGATTATGTTCATATACTCAAAGACCCAAAGGGCCGTTACTATCTATGACTTCTGAGGAAAATGTTGTCCATAATCGCAAACCCGGCCAAAGCTCGACGTACAAAGACCATCTTGTATCATGGGCGTCACTGGTTAAGGTCAAAGGAAACTCCATATAGGGGGTATACTACTGATTTTACTCCCCCAAAAATGTTGCGCACAGCTCTTTTCTTTCCTGGTAATAACCTCTCTGTTCTAATCACATCCTCGATTATTGCTCACCTCCTTCCTAGGTCATGGAGTACAACGGGTTGGCATGGCCAGCGCTTGGGTCCATAGATTCCCAGACATTGCGACGAAATTCTTAGATGAGATGGACTCCATATTAGGGCTTCGACTGTCTAGAATTATTGCGGAAGGCCCGAATTCGGAGCTGAACAAGACTGAAAATTCCCAACCCGCTATCATGGCAACCTCTATATTGATTCTTCGAATACTGGAAAGACGGTTCGGCTTCGATACAAAGGCGCGTGTGGATGTAACTCTGGGACACAGTTTGGGGGAATTTTCTGCGCTGGTCGCAGGAGGGTATCTTAGTTTTAGCGACGCCTTGAAATTAGTTCGGCGCCGAGCTGAAATAATGTCCGAGTGCACACAAAAGGCGTCCGAGAAGTCTGGCGAGACTTACGGCATGGTTGCATTGGTGTGCGAACCGGAGCATTTGGATGGCTTGCTTGCTACTATCTACGAATTCCTGAGCCTTTCGCCGTCAGACCTACACGATGACTCCGCAAGCTGCGGATTACCGCCCATCCAGCAAGTGATGGTCGCAAACATTAATTCTAAAAACCAGATAGTACTCAGTGGCAGTATTGAGAGGATCAGGACTCTTTTGGTTCAACTTCGCCAGTTTGGTGGTCATGACCCCCGTGCAGTGTGGCTGAAAAGCGAAAGCCCCTTCCACAGCCCCATAATGGCACCTGCCGCTGTGTATATGAGGGAAGCTCTCGAGCAAATTCATATAAATTTCCCAGCCAATATGCCGTGTGTATCGAATGTGTCCGGTCTACCATTTCCTTCCAAGCATAAACTCAAATCGCTACTGTCGCAACAATGCGTGGACACTGTGCGATGGTGGGATAGTATTCGGTACCTGGATCAGGAGCGGGGTGTGAAAAGGTGGATTGGAATCGGACCAGGAAAGGTTGGGAGAAATCTGGTTGGAAAAGAGGTTGGAAGGGTTGTGGCTAAGGGAGGTGGTGTCTGGGCCATCTGTGATCCTCGTGAAGTTGAGGACACCCTTGCTGCCCTTGAAAAGACGGAGGTTGATGTTCTACAGGACTGATTTATAATACTGGCCTTTGGTCCCTAGTTGGCCTCCTTTATATCGCATAGGATTTAACTTTGTAAATATAGCTCTAGCGAATTATGAACTGATACTTAACGTGAATTCCTTATTCCCTTTATGGACCTTAAAAAACAGCCCTTGTGAAAGACGGGTACGCAGGCTCTCCGGAGAGGATATCTTGACCTCTCATGGCGGGGTACCATGATTATGCTGCTCTCGACTTGAGATCTTCGCAGAAAGATGACACTAATCAGAGTCCACTGATTGGAATTCTTCTTTGGGTGGCTAAGAGGGGACTCGAGGATGTCAAGGAATTGAATCCTTTGACGGGAGTATAATCACGTCTTCGATCAAGGTTTCTTGGAAACTGTGTTGGTGACTGGGATAAAGCAAGGCAGGAGATGCCACATGTCGCATGTTAACTCCCTATTATGCCTATTTTTGCACAAAAGAAAGGTCCACCGCCGGTAAAGTTGAGAGTAATACGAAAAAACTATGTAGTATCTAGGAGATTATTTTAGAAACTTGTTATACCTGGGACCCATGAACTGCCAATTCGATTAATTTCCGCGATGAACTTTTTGTCTGTGATATGGGGCGAGTTGGCTGCTCGAAAACCCCCTTTGGTGGTGTTGCTTTGGTCATCTGGTGAATAAAACGGGTTCTGCAAAAGTTGAATGTAGGCAGTTTGCAACGCTCGAAAAGCCTTGGGAGAGATACAAGTTAGTTTTACTGGTTATTTAGACGACATAGAGGGAAAAGTTCGAATTTGATCGTCGGGCGAAAAAGGAAGCCATATGTAACATACCGGTTTTAGATCACTCTCTTTCAGGACGGACCTTGTATTTCCTTGAGTCCCATTCATGATGGTTGGATTTTCATCTCCAATCAAATCAACTATGATAAGTATCTTCACTCCGGTCGTTGTCAACCAGCCGTAGGATGCTAACCGCTCATCAACCGCATGTAACAGGCCGAGATCCTGATCAATTGATGTTTGTTTCTGGCGTATCTCGAATATATCAAGGGATGAATTCAATAAAAACGAAAACTCGATGGTTGAACTTAAATGAGGAGGGAAAAGGGTTATGTGCAAAGGGTTATCCTTCAGAAATGTCAGTGCTCCGCTCAAGTTGAGGGTGATGCTGGCCTACGGCTTTCCCAATTACGCCAATGCAGGCGATTTTGGGCCCCGCCATTCCTATAGGTACTGTTCCTCGGGGTTTGACGTGGTTATGTATTGCAGGCAAATAACTGGCATCTGGAATTATTATCAAGTGTGGTAAACAACCATGCTTGTTGCAATTAGCTTCACATCAACAAGGTAAGCCTGGTAAGGACTGAGGAGTAGTCTGCTGGCGTCGATTATCGTTTGTTAGTTTTGGGTGCCGGAGCGCGGGTGGGTCCCGTGGAGCTTTCTTAGGGGAATAGTTGAAATTTAGGTCAACTCCAATAGAAGTTGAAAACTCCTAACCTTTAAATCGCATCCCGAGAAAAAAGGTTCTCGAAAGCAGACATATTTTAGATGGACTTCATATTGTGCTTTGGGAATGTGTTCAGTTCATCTCTAAGCATTTCATTTTCTAGCATCCTATCCCTAATTGTCTCAGTTTACTGGACCACTAGGTACTGGTAGGGGTGTGTGTATCTCTACGTATTGTTTCCAATTACGTACCTTGAAGTCCAAAGTCTCTCAAAACACACTTGCATATTTGGTAGATAGACTGTCTAGGGATCTTAAGCAAGCTGTTTGAACAGGGGCAGGATTAGGATTGTTACGTTGACCAATAAACGATATTCAAATTAAAGTGACCAGCATCGACATCCGCCGAGAGCCCGGATTACAGCCTATAGGGTGGGCGGCGTAATTATTACATTCTTCGTACAATACATACGGGGATATATATGGGGTTTACAATGTTATGATACGACTTGGTGTAATTGGGTGTTTGGAACTTCTTCAGTACCCCCTTAAGACCACTAGTGCAGAACGTTCCCAGTCGAACCTTTTACAAACCTCTCTGTACGTCTACTATTCCGTGACGTTCAATGGGAGGTCGGACTTTATGATCTCACCAGAATTTTGTTTTCCCCTTCGAAAGACATATTCAGGATAGTTAGGAATTGTCAATTATGCTCGCTCCAGCCCAGCGCGCTTTCCCACGCGCTCTTTGCGGTAGATCTCTCACCTTGCCACTGTTGATGATTTGCTCACTTTTAATAGTGCGTCCATCGCAAGCCTTGTACACCCCTCGAATTCAGCAAGCAGCATGGATCTCGACATCTTCAATCAGGTCGGCAACGGCTCTTGAGCGGCAAGATAATTCCGGTCAATCGCTCACAGCCTCTGGCAAGGTCCGGAAGGAGGTGCCTTTACCGAGCCAGGAGAAGAAGGAGGGTGCAATGCAATATGTCCTGTGCGTACCCCTTGTATACGAGTATCCTGTGATTGTTTATTCATGATCTAATGATATCTTGAAAGGACTACTCTCGATCAAGTTGCCAATTGGGCTCGCCAGAGTTCCCTGTGGCCCATGACTTTCGGCCTGGCTTGCTGTGCTGTCGAAATGATGCACTTGTCCACACCTAGATACGATCAGGATCGTCTCGGAATTATTTTCAGAGCTTCGCCACGACAGTCCGATGTCATGATTGTTGCGGGTACATTGACAAATAAGATGGCACCGGCTCTTCGGCAAGTTTACGATCAGATGCCTGATCCACGCTGGGTTATTAGCATGGGAAGCTGTGCAAATGGTGGCGGCTACTACCACTACAGCTATTCTGTTGTTCGAGGATGTGATAGAATTGTACCTGTTGATGTCTATGTCCCGGGCTGTATGTTGAACTCTTCCTATTCGATTATTAAACTCTTTCACTGACAATAGCAAAAGGCCCCCCTACCTCCGAGGCACTGATGTATGGAATCTTCCAGCTCCAAAAGAAGATGAGGCATACAAGGATAACCCGCATGTGGTATCGCCGTTAAATTTGTTGTGAATGCTCTGCCTATTTAGGATTGTGATAAGTAGTTCGGAAGGAGGGATGTGAGAATAGATTTCTTATTGCCAAGTTCTGTATAAATTTCATCAAAATGAAATCAACCCATCAAATTTCTTTTCCATTGGCGTTCGCGACGTGCACCTGATCTGATAGTTGTAATTTTTAAGATTTAGTCCACATGATGTTGGTCTCCAGCTGCTTATTGCTCTGCAAGCTCCCCTTAAACAACAAGCGGTATGTTGAATCACAAAACAACTCATCCTCTAATAGTTCATTTACAGGAGTGACGGCGCTTGAGTCTCACTGGGGGGTAGGCATTAGCTTAGCTCTATAGCTCTAGTAAGATCAATAGTATCCGGGAAATAAGTACTAATTATTACATAGTCATAACAACCATAAAACTAGTACTAACATCCTGATTATAATTGTTCAGACAAGATATCATATTGACTGAAATATTTCTGGCTTTTAGAGTGCTGTATACTGTACTCTGCATATTGAATTGAATTGAGTACTAGGTACCTAGGTACCAGTAGTCGCTGTCTAAATATGGTTAGGTTAGTCCCGGTCGGGTCCCTTTGGTCTCACTTTTTTTTTTTTTTTTTTTTTGTAAAGGCGGTATCAATATTTTTTTCTTGCCATCGTCACTAGCTACTTGAACGAAAACTCTTCCGAGAGACCAACGGAATTCTCTGCACCTGGTCCTCCCCATTTTTCTTTTTAATTCATCTTATACGGAGTTAAATTGCATTTACCAGCAATGAAGCAGAGCGACCGTCGGATAGGTCAGCCTGAGTCTGACGGCAATGATCAGGTTTCATTACCTCTCAATTCGGCATTATCAGCTCCCTGGGACTTTCTATGTCCCACAAAGGAGCTGCATACAAACATAGCAGATACTGCTAAGCTTTTCCTGGATTCGCTTGCTTATTCAGTGAGTGATTCACAGACGACTCGCCAGCGAAATCAAAGGAAGCGCAAGAGAACTGAAGATGATCAAGATGCCACTTCGGTTCTTCGACTTAAACAGCTATATGTGGATGGATTTACTTCGGATCAAGTTTGGGAGCAAGCTTTAAGAATCTTTGATTCAGCCAACCAAGAGATAGAGCGTGATTATTCTTTGTGGGTGGAGACCGTACAACAACCCGCTGGGATGGCGCAAAAGGGCTCAAAGGAGTCTAGTCACACATTTATCCAAGATGAAGACTCCGAAAACAGTGAGCTGGCTCACGACTCGGGGGATGTCACAGACCAATCGAGTGTAGATGATGAACAACCCGGATCGGAAAGCTTCTCGGAAGCCGGAGACTTCTCTCAGGACGACATGGGCTCGAATGACGATGAAGAGCATAATTTGGATGATTGTTCAATCTCTGAAAAATCAGATGGGAACGGAAACGAACAAGAGACATACACGGAAGATCGCTTTGGGTTGAATGATGGTTTCTTTTCCATCGACGACTTCAATAGGCAGACCGAATTATTCGAACAACAGGATGCACGTGGTGATCTAGGTGATGAGAGTGATGAGGAGGAAATAGATTGGCATAATGACCCCTTAGGTGCTGGGGCCATCAAGATCCCCTCGAAGCAAACGGCCTCAATAGGGGGTAAACTCGCCGATGCCGAGGACGTGGATGATAGCGATGAAGAGGAAGGGCCTACATTTGATAATATGGATTTCCAGGATGAATCTGACTTGGAGAATGATGATACCCATGCTGCCGCTCTGGGAGGGGCAAGCTGGGTCAATACAAGCGATATCATGTACGCCGATTTTTTTGCGCCACCGCCCCGAAAAGCTTCATCCAAGAAGTCACGCCCTCTTCCGAAGACTCAACCAAACATGTCTATTTCCGATAATGATATTGATCGTGCTATGGCAAATGTTCACCGTGATTTATTCCAGGATGAGCCATCCGGTGAAGATAGTGACAACCCGATGGATACGCCTGACGATCGGCGCGGTCAACACTCAACTCACGAGAAGCAGCGTGCTCGTATTGCGGATGAGATTCGACGTTTGGAAGCTGCCAATGTGGCAAAGAAGGAGTGGATGCTTTCTGGAGAGGCTAGGGCAATCGAAAGACCGGTTAATTCGCTTATAGAGGAGCATCTCGATTTTGAAAGGATAGGGAAACCGGTGCCGGTAGTCACAACGGAAATATCCGAGGGCATTGAAGAGCTTATCAAACGCCGCATCATCTCCAAAGAGTTTGATGAAGTTATACGGCGTCGGCCTGGGTTGCCCGATCAACAAAACACCAAAAAAGCGCGAGTTGAACTCGAAGACAGCAAACCGCAACAGAGTCTTGCAGAGTTATATGAAACAGATCATCTTCAGGCTAACGATCCAAATTATGTTGACCCCAAGAACCAGAAGCTTCTGAAAGAACATGCTGAGATTTCTAATCTATGGAAGGAGATAAGCTCTCAGTTGGATACACTTTCGAATTGGCACTACAAGCCTAGAGCGCCACAAGCAAGCATAAATGTGGTTACGGACGTGGCGACGATCACAATGGAGGATGCGCAACCTACTACTAGCGGCGCAGTGCGTGAAACTGCAACTTTAGCACCACAGGAGATTTACGCACCAGGGGACGCCACCCGAGCTGCAGGGGAGCTAGTTATGAGGAATGGAGTGCCGATCACGAAGGATGAAATGTCTCGGGAAGAGAAAACCAAGCTGAGACGACAGAAAAAGCAAAGCAAAGCAGGCACTGAAGCCTTCAAGCAGCAGTCCCGAAAGGCGAGTGAAAAACAGCAAATCGTGTCAGACCTCAAAAAGGGGGGTGTAAGGTTGATCGGCAAGGAAGGCGAAGTGACCGATATCAATGGTAGTAAAATTGTCGGGGCCAGCAATAGAAATGGCGCTCATGCGATGAAACTATAGAGCTCATGCTCAGAATTCGTCTTGTTGGTGTTGAGAGAACGTTTTGTTCCTCAAGGTATAAATCTTCTGTATTTTATGCTACAATTCACATGAAAATTCCAACGTCTCGTATCTTTAGTTACCACTTAGGTCCTTCCTCAGTCATTTCGTAGTCCGGTATTATCTTGTTTTGCTCGTATTGAATAGAGGGAGATATTCTCTCGCTTGTAAGTTTCTGCATCAGGGTCATCACTGATTTCGGTAATTGAGAATGCCTTCTTGGCTAGTTTCATAAACCGGAGGTCTGCTCGTCTACGCTTTTTAAAGCAGAAATAGCAAACAGAGTCTGGTCCCAGAAGCTCTTTCAAGGTTGTTACCAACAAGGGAAAGGCGGGTTCAAAGTAGACGCAGTCGGCCGCAAGGATAATTGCTGGATGTCTCGGAATATCGGCTGGAATTGGATCCCCCCAATCCAGAACTGCCGCTTTGACGGTAGAGGAGAGGTTGTTGAGCTTGATATTGGCTTCCATGAGTGAAACCATTGGGATTTGATCTGTGATGTATAGGGGAGAGGGGCCGACATGACAGCCACGCGCAACTGCCAATCCAACGAGCCCACCACCAGCTCCAAGTTCAACACTAATGGACACATGAGTCAGTAGGTTCGCATTGGGGTATTTTCGTTTCTCCCTTTTTTTTTTTTTTTTTTTTCTCTTCCTGCACAAGCAAGAGGGGTAGGCGGAGGGGTTAAAATGGGGGAAGCGGGAGAAAAACTGACATCGTTTTATCAGAAAGATCAGAATGGTGTCGACGGAGCATATATTTGGCCAGGACCATACCAGCTGGCCATAGCTGACCACCACATCCTTCTTTCAAATCCTCCTTGAGTAGAAGAGGTTCCTTCAAAAGCCCATCGAATGTGACGCTGCTCTGACCAGGTAGTTTGAGGTCCCTAGCGGGAACCAAAAACTCGCTTATATTGAAGGAATCATTCGAATTGGCCGAACTAGGGCGGCTTGACTCTTCCATCAAGACACAGAAAGAGCGCGACGTCTTAAGGGTGAGATATAGCGTATTTGGACTTGAAAGTTGAGTCTTTCAATGGGTGCGAAAAGAAGGGCCAGGAAGAATTGTGTGATTTTATTTTGATTTCTTTTGAAATGGAATACAGGTATCTGCAGGAATCAGTCTAAGATAAGATGGGGGTGGGGAGCGGGCGATTTAATTGGTTAAAAGAGAAATAAAAGAAAGAGGCTGTAAAAGATAGGGTAAATCAACTTGGAATAATCGTGTCTAGGATGATCAGGATCTCAAGATCGCCAGGTACCAGTGGTAACATAGAAATTGCTTAGATAGGAACCAATTGCTGTGATATTTTGGGAGAGGAAAGCCCACTACCCATCTAGATATATTGATTGTTAGTATTTTTTTTTTTTTTTCTTTGGGTCAACTATATAGAAATAATAGATTGCAGGGGACCTGAGATGGCCAAAGCGAAAGCCTTCTCAATATAATTTATCCTCTGTGATAATTTTCCTTCGAAACGAATTGTGGCCTGGGGCCTTCTCAAGTGGAAATAGATATCGCCGTCATCTGCTACCTGACGTCATGCTCCTCCCTCTCCACATCATGATTTCCCAGACACCCACCTCAACTCTTCGTCAACCCCAGACGATTGGTTCACTGCAAGGTAAATCTGACCAAATCCCAGGTTTCTCTTTTCCTGGGACTTGGTGATCATGACGACGTCACATCATACCCGTACCGAAAGAAGTCTCTGATGCAACTAGGTCTATGGTCCAGTTCTTGTCTTGGGCTATGCAAGAACAGTCATATTATTATGTCACGTTGGGCTGAATAATTTGTATTTAAAAAGCCACAGAATCTCAAACTACGAATTCGAGAAACCATTGAATTCTGAACTTTTTGAGACATTTGGACTAATTGACGAGAAACGAAGACTACCGTGAAAATGACGACTCTTCACTGTAGGTGTTTTCTAACTACTTCATGCTCGTCTGGGATGTTCGAAACTAATAAGCGTTCCCAGATTTGCCCCCCGTGAAGCCCTCAGCTATTGCTATGGGTACTATCTTCACCCACACTGCTTCTTTGGGTATTTTGGCTCCCGTCTTCGGAGACACGTACCATCGTGCCCAAGCAGCAAATTCGAAGGAAGAATTCATTAAATCCAAGGAGGCTGCCAGCGCAGCTGCGGCCTGGGGTAGCTCTTTGGTTGGAAGCGCTGTTCAGACATATGGCGTTGCAGCTTTGATCAATGCAACAGGAACTTTGAGTTACAAGGGAGCAGCTTATTTGGGAAGCTTGATCTTCATGGCTAGTTCTGCACCAAGCGTATGTCTCTCATCCTGGATCTTGATACACACTAATTATAATATACATGCTAACTTCCGCTACTTGCGTCAATATAGTTTGTTAGCCAAATTTTCACGGAGAAGAGGCCTCTCGACACTGTGGCAGTCGGTGCTGTTGCTAGGGTGTTTGAAACTGTTGGCCTGAGTTTGTTCCTCACCTGGTGGGGTACACGCACAAACCCATTTGATTAAATAGGCTGGCTGTGCTTTGTTCTTGTTTCATCTATAACTATATCTATCTACACAATTATGGGCTTCAGATTGAGCTTGTTCAAGGAAGGCTGCAACTGAATTTCCCGGCCCATGTTTTAGTGAAAAGGCAATATATAATCTATTATTCTCATTTTAGCACTTGATCGAACTATATCAGTATTTCACCACCGAAGGCTAAACATATACAATAGCCCTAGAAAAGAAATGATATGGTGGTTCCTCTTTGGTACTTGAGGCAATCCTGAATTGTTATTTAGAGAAAAATATGCGTCTAGTCTAGTATAAGACAACATACACCATGACTCTACATAGGGCCTACGGGGTACAATGGTATCACTAGCCGTGTAAGGTGGAACAAGGATGCCATGGGATTTACCATGCTCTAAAATAGTTCTACCAAGAGATGGCTTTCGACGCATAGGTGTCACGCGTAATTTTACAATCATTTTATGACGAGTCGTGTACAGCACTTGAAGAATGCGCAGGGAGTTCTATATCTACCTTTACAATAAAGAGGATTGCGTCATCCGCAAAATTTGAATCAACAAGAGCATGCGAAGAGACATAGAGGAAGAGAGAGAGAGAGAGAAAAGAAAAATGGAATACATTGGGTCCAGATAATAGGAATTTGCTAAGTTAAACGAAGGTGCGGCAAGGGTACCTGATACAATGTTAGCTTTGCACCCCTAGAAAACAGAGAACCCCCCCAAAAAAGGAAAACTTACACACTGGGATAACCTTGATCATTGGTAATATGGTATTTTGGGGCAGAGGAGTTCAGGTTGCGAGGCGTGGGCGGCAGGCCATTAGCACCTAGAACACCCTTGATGCCGTTCTTGTCCTTCTTGAAGAGGCCGGCAAGCCCCCGCTCCTCACCTTCCTGCTTAACGGAAACCAGCTGCTTTTCGCCCGCCTGGCCGATCTGGAGAATGTGGTCCTTTGGTGCGGCCTGGCTTCCCACGGTGAGGAGGCCAACAGCATCCGCCTGGTTCACTGTGCTTACCCGAGGGTAGTTTCTTCGGCCATCGCGCTTCCAATACGGGTTGTCGGCGATATCAGCGGCCGGCACCGTCACGGGGTCATCGTAAGAAAGAGGAGGAAGAGCTCCTGGAGCGGGTAGACGGAATTGTGAGTTCAGAGGAACACCGGTCGAACGGTTAGGATCAACAGCGAGGAGGCGGCGGATACGTTCCCAGATTCCTGTGGACTGAACAGTGTATTTCTAAACGAAAGGAGAAAAAAAAACAAAACAAAAACGAACAGCTTAGTATTTTCATATTATAAGGCATAGAAATAGAATCAACCGGGTTTTACCTTGTGAAGAGCCACCACGTTCGAAGCGGACTGGGCTGCTTTCAGGATATCGCGGGCCATGATGGGCTGTGGTTCTGTTTAAATTCAGTATTAGGACAATAACTCTAGTAGTAGAGGATCAATTGCACCAGACGACCAGAATCCAATATGAAGAAAACATACCTTTCTCCCTTTTCTGGCAGGAAAACAGGAAGATAACTACTGCTTGGCTTCCGCTGGTCACCGAATTCAGGACTCAAGATGAGGAGCCGAAGTGATGCCCGGAATAACGATGACCCGATCGCGCAAATCACGAATGTTGTAATAATAATAATAATTTCATAGAGCCCAGATCCGCATATGTCGCCTGTCTTGCTAGGTAATTATTATTTTGAGTAGATATCACTTAAATAGGTCCATTCATAGCTACTAAGGGTTGAAAGTAGTCGGAGATTTTATACCTCAGATTTACTTTAGATTTAATAATTGAGTACTAGTATACAGTAGCTGGGGTATAGTTACAATTGAAGCGCTTACCTAGCTGTCAGATGTTTGGTCTTTACTACGTCAATCATCGGCAGCAAGCGTATCCAAATAGAGGCTGCGCAAAGAACCCCTACAGCTAATCCTCTTTATTAAGGATATCAGGGTCCTATTTCAATTTTTCAGTTATATTGGCGCTACAACATGTAAATAGTCCGATCAAAGCGAGATATTCAAGTGGAATCCAGTACACCTCAAAGCATAAAAACAAGGATAGTCCTAACAGGAAGCTCCCAGGTACTCTCGCGTTTTCACCTAACTCCGCGACTCATTCTGTCTATGCGTCGGCCTTCTCATCCTTAGTTTCCTTGGAGATTGAAGCAACCAATGCCTGGACAGCATCTACAGTTGCATCTGGGCCACCGGGCTGCAGAAGAAGAACTTTGCCTTGCTTGTCTACAACCAAAACACCCCGGACTGTTCCCCGGGGCGACTTTTTGAAACCAATGGCACCAATTAAAGTGAATCCAGGGTCGCAAAGCAGCGGGTACTGTAGGTTCTGCTTGGTTTTGAAAGTTGTATTGGCTTTTGGAGAGTCTCCAGATAGACCATAGATTGACAGACCGGTTGCGGTCAGGGTATCGTAACCATCACGGAAGAGACAGGCTTGCTTAGTGCCTTAAAGAAAAGTGAGCATTTCTGTGTATACAAACATCATCGGGCGGCCAAAAAAAAAAAGCAAATAGAAGGGCCAATACAAAGTCAAAATTGACCAGTTGACCAAAAATTATGGGTGCGAACAAAGTTGTCATTGAAATCCAAGGAAATATTCAAAATATTCACTTACAGCCAGGGGTAGAGGCCTTAGGATATGTGAACAGCACAACTCCGGATTTGCTGTCCTCAACCAGGGCCTTTAGAGAAGTTTTTTTGCCATCGTTCGTCTCAATTTCACCACCAAAGTCTTCGAGGCTCACCACATCGCCAACCTTGGGCACCTTCACCGCAGGCGCCTTGGTTTTCTTGGGTTTCTTGACGGGTACTGGAGGGGGAGCTGGCGCTTTGCGTTTTCGCAGTTCAACCATGTTTGCGATAATAGTTGGAATTTGACTGAATTGATGTGTGTTGTCAGTATCAAGTCCTCCGTGAAAAGTTCCTGGGGGGTTTTGCGCGCGTATCGCTATCCCCTTAAAGGACGGGAATGGGGTAAGTGTTTCCCCTAAAAGGGTCCTGACACAACCTTGTCAGCAGCATCGTAGCCCCTGCTTTTGTGAGGGATTAATACTGTCAGATAAGTACTTGAAAAGGCATAGTGGATAATGAAATTAGGTATTGGACAACAATAACAACAATAATGTTAGTTAACTAGTTAGTTAATGGTGTTTGTGAGGACTAAGCGCTGCAACTGAGCTGTAAGTTATTGCAGTACCGTAGCTTTCTAAGTTCTCGACGGACTTTATTAAGCACGCGAGGAAATCAATACAAAATTACCGTTACAGACCGGTTTCCATAATTTGCGACTTGGGAGCACAAAAGAAGATGAAGGATTTTTGAGTACTTTTACACTACACAAATATGAATCTTTTGCTTCTCCTTTCTCTTTTATCCACACAGTCTCCCCCTATTATTTTCTTCATGTCGGGCATTAATAATGATCAAGATTTAGTTAACAAGTGACAGAGATATATAGGTCTCTGTATTTTGACTGGGTGGTCGCATTACTAGTACTACTCCACGTTACGAGTCACAAGTAAAGCCATTTTTTTTTTTCTGCCGGAAAATCCCGACGGCTCTCGGTGGAAACTGGGATTTCCCCGGCTCGCGCTCTCTGCTTGCCACGGAAATGGAGAAACCAGGCACTAAAATTTCTCTCATATTCCATTGCCACTTGAATCATCTCCGCTTTTGCAGATTATCCGTCAAGGAAGGCACTTTTGATTTCTACTCCTTGCAGTAATTTTTGCATCTGACACTCTTTGTGTCATTCACCACCTCTTACAAGACCCATTCTCACGGTTGAATTTCTTATCACAACAGTTTTTGAACGGTCTTCTCGCGATCACTCCTGTCCTGATCCCGAGGGTTGCTCTCGTGGGCTATATCAACAGTCTTTTTTTTCTTTTCTTTTCTTGTTAAATACAACCACAAAGAATAGCTGCTTGGATTATTCGAACGAATTCACCAACCCGGGCTCTCCGGCGTGATCGTTTCCGGAGATGAAGGTCTTTTCATCGACTTGCACTTTTGATTACTCGTGGGAGGAGGTTTCAACCGCAAACTGGCGGAAGTACTCCCCATGGAACGATAAATCAACACACGTTGTAGCGGTGGATACTCTGTCACGGACGGTTGACCCCGAGACTGGAATCGTATGTGCTATGTATAGAATCTTGAGTTGACTGTAACTAACTTTGAGGAATTCTAGCTACGCACAGAACGTCTCATCACATGCGACCAGTCTGTTCCACAATGGGTCATTTCATTGTTTGGAGGTAGTGCTACGTCCCACGTTTACGAAATCTCTTACGTCGACCCGAACTCGAAGAAAGTTACCATGTGCTCTACGAATCTCACATGGTCCAATGTCCTGAGTGTTCGCGAAACCGTGGTATACCGGCCATCGGCCTCAACTCCTTCTTCTACCACGGAGTTCAACCAGGAGGCCAAAATCACTGCTCTCTGTGGCGGATGGCAGAAGATCAAGAACAAGGTCGAAGAGGCAAGCGTTGAGAGATTTAGCCAGAACGCCAAACGGGGTAGGGAAGGATTTGAAGCCGTTCTTGAGATGAGCCGACGAGTTTTCAGCGAACAACGTGAGCGCGAAACCAACACCGCCTGATTTGTTCAGCATGGTTGGCCTATCTATCCGCATCATTGTACACCAAGCGTTTGCCTTGCATAAACCGGCGTCGATTTGAATTGTTTACGAGCGTGTGATTGATTTGGCGTTGTTTTTTTTGGGTTGATCTTCGCATTTTTACTCGGCCCTTACCATCCCCACTACTGTTTTATTACGCCACCCCGATTTATGAGGCATGTTTTATAAAAGTTCCAGATATCCTTTGTCATGTTTAAGACCAGCGACTTTCCTCTGCTCCGGACAAGACACGAGGCAATGATACATTAGACATTTACAGCACTATGTTACAGTATAGAATAATGGTATCGGTTTTCACCTTTTCTAGTAAAGATGTAGTAATTGGAGCTCATTGCATCATATATGTTCCAAGTCGTTCAAATAGTCTCTAGACATTACCCAAGCAAGCCACCCAATACAACGCGGCTAACTCCAGCCACTTCATTTTTGGCATTATTGCGACTTGCGTCCTCAAACTCGCGCACAATACCGGCCACAATAATCTTTCGGAGTTTGGCGTCGGCCTTGGTAAATAGCTCGCCTAAAGCAACCGTACAAACCGAGGGAGTTGATATCAGAGCAACGAGTCGAGTATAACAGTCTATCAAGATGTCGCACAGCGTCACGAATGTCTCGAAATAGTCCGGCTCAAACGGTAATGATGGTGTTAGGAGATATGAGTACTCCTCTCCAGGGAGAAGCTCCGAGGCCTCGGTATGAGGGAATGAAATACTGGCAGCGGCACTGGCTGACGAAGCCACGCTGCCCGCCATCAGCTTCAGATCCGAGGGATCACTAGACTGCATAGGCAGCCCGATCTCCGTGGCAGAGCTCGCCCTCCTAGCCTTTGTTCCACTATGCGTAGCCCGTTTAAACATTTGCGGAATACGTGCTCTGGCAAGCGTGGAGGACGAAGTTCCCTCCGGGGGATGTACTTGTTGAAAGGCCTCGAACTCCATCAAGAGCGCGTTCAGTGCCCTTAGATACTCTGCCGGGGTTGCACTGACATCGAGAATCGGTGGAAGGGATAGCCCGAGAAGAAGATAGTTGATTGCCCGTCGTGAAAGCTTTCTAGAGTCAAAGTAAGGAATTCGGCTGATGTCAGCGCGGGAGAAATGTACGGTATTAAACCAATAGATGCGACCTTCATGACTGGGAGCTTGTTAGCATATCATAGCATATGCATGTGGGGCGAGAAATCTGTGCCAACTCACGCTTTTCGCAGGTAATCGAAAGTAGATATTCGTTTGGTGGCCATCTCATGAATATGTTGATAAATTGCTGCGGCGCTTTGCGGACCCAATGAGCTGCCAGCACTCGCTAATGGCGGAGGAACAGCGCTAGATACAGCATCCACGCCTATCGAAGATTTATTCGTGTCCCTACGAGTCAAGCCGGGGGCGAATGTGGACGAATACATGTTGATGTGCTCTGTAGGGCGGAGGGGTAGGAAACGCAGGAGGAGCTCTGCTCCTAGACGCTGGAGGGACGATCAGGAGGAGGTCAAGGGACCAGGACACGGTCTAAACGTAGGAAGATAATGATAAGATTGAACAGAGGGTCCAGTACGCATTTCACAAAGCAAAAATTCCCCTCGTGGATGGCATTGAGAGAGTTCGATATTGATAAGATCGGTCTCCACAAGCGGCCCCTGACCGAGAAGTTGCTCCGGTCTTTACAATCATGACCACCAACAATTTAAGGTTCCCCGCACTAAGCTCTAACAAGAAATGAAATCCAATCTTCCCTTCAGTCCGAATATTGCATGCTTTGAATTAATTTACTTGTTAGGTAGTGACAATATGTAAAGGTAGGAAGGAAATAACAGGTGGATATTCCGGACAAGCTTCAAATTCTCTTAGAAAGTCGCCTGGTGTTTTCCTGGCTGTGTTCTAATGACGTCAATGCGCACCGCGCAAACTTGAAGTTGTTGAAGAATTGAAAATATATATATATATATATATATCTATATTACAGGACATATAATGGAAATTAGTATTAAATGTAGTATATATATTTGAATGCTACTCTCCATAAAACAACATAAATAGAGTCAGAATGCTTTTACATGCATCAAGTCTGCTGGAAGCTGGCCAAATGTGATAAGGCGGTCAGAACAAGCAACCTTCCCCCCCTTTTTTAAGTTCTCGCGCCCCTCTTGATGGTGTTAACTCCCTACTTTCTCATTACACGCACGACCCGACCCGACAATATAAAAAGACCGACTTTGAACCTGCAATTGCCGATAGCGCCATATAAATCTACATACTTCTCGTGCAGCACACCATAGGATGGGCACTGCACCTGAGGAAATAGTTCCCCTGCCCGGGGAATGGCCCGTGGACCCCCAAGATGATGTCCCCATCTCAGAATCGCGTATCTGGGTCGATGGATGCTTCGACTTTAGCCACCATGGTAGGAAACTGGCCCTGGATGCCTTTCAAGAAGTGTCCCTAATATAATCGTAGGTCATGCGGGTGCTATGCTTCAAGCCCGTAGACTAGGTGACGAGCTTGTTGTCGGTGTACATTCAGACGAGGCTATTCTTGAGAACAAGGGCCCGACAGTCATGACTTTGGAAGAGCGGTTGGTCTGGCTTCCCACTGCTTTTGCATTGTATACTGACCTAAACCCTTCTTAAAATAGAGTCGCCGCTGTAGAAGCATGCCGCTGGGTAACGAAATGTGTCCCGTCTGCCCCGTACGTGACATTCCTACCATGGGTATCGCATTACGGCTGCAAGTTCGTCGTTCATGGTGATGATATTACCTCCGATAGTAATGGAGATGACTGCTATCGATTTGTCAAAGCCGCGGGGCGCTTTAAAGTTGTGAAAAGAACCCCCGGCATCTCTACCACGGATCTCGTCGGCCGTATGCTTCTATGTACCAAAGGCCATTTTGTGAAAAGCGTGAAAGACACCCTTTCTGGGGAGGCAGGTTCTGGAAGCCCGGAAGAACGCGCGCAGTACGCTTCCTACCTCCAAAAGATTATCAAAGATTATGCTACAGATGAAAGTGGACTACAACCTGGTCCCAGGGTCTGGATATGGGATGGCTCAAATGCGGCTAAACTCGAAAATACAGCTGATGAACCTGGGGCTTTCGCTAACCTTGTGAATGGGAAATCTCCCAAGCCAGGCCAGCGTATTGTCTACGTTGATGGAGGGTTTGATCTCTTCTCTTCTGGACATATCGAATTTCTCAAACAAGTATTAGGAATTGAAGAATCCGAAGGCCGAAAGCGTGGTTGGTATAACCAAGAACAGAGAGAGAAAAGACTTAAGGAGCACGGAGAAGATTATGGTCCAGCCTACGTTGTCGCTGGAATTCATGATGACGATGTGATTAACCACTGGAAAGGACTCAACTATCCCATCATGAATATCTTTGAACGGGGGCTTTGTGTTCTCCAGTGCCGGGTAGGCCGTCCTATTGCTACGCTGGCTGCGGATACGTTCTGTTCATGGCTAACTTCTTATTAGTATATTCATGCTGTTGTGTTCTCTGCTCCATTCTCTCCCAGTCAGTCATACTTGAAAGCATTGCCCCTAGGCGTTCCAGATGTCGTTTACCACGGCCCCACAAAGTTTATCCCACTCACCTATGATCCTTATACCGCCCCCAAGAAGATGGGCATATTCAAGGAGACAAGCGGCCACTCTTTCCAACATGTCAATGCGGGCGAGATTGTCGAAAGAATTCTCAAGAGCAGAGAGGCTTACGAGGAAAGACAGCGCGCAAAACTGCAAAAGGCTGTTATCGAAGATCAAGTCAAGTTGAAGGAAGAAGCATCCAAATAAGCATACATCGGAGAAATTCCTGGACAAACCTCAGTTGTACATATTCCTAGTCGACAAAATTACTCATACATAGAACCGCATACATAATCTACGAAATATCGCTAGTAAATAATGGAGACATGATGCTCTATACCTGGGATATGCATACATTTATAGTACAAAAAAAAAAAAAAAAAAGAGAACTGGAGGTGTCCCTATAAATAAACTAGTTAAATCCCCTCTATTACTCAGCTGGCACCAAGACACCCTTCTCCTCCAACATCTTCGCAAGCTCTCCATTCTGATGCATCGACATCAGAATATCACATCCACCAACAAATTCCTTCTCAAGATATAGCTGGGGAATCGTAGGCCAATCCGAGTACTCCTTGATTCCTAGTAACCGAGCAAAGACGCAAAGAATTAGCCGACAGGCAAACCCGACTACCCAGTGAAATTGCAACATACCCTGACGTAACTCTGGGTCCTCCAACACATTGAACGCAACAAACTTCTTGGGATCTACACCCTGCAAACCGAGAATCTGAATGCTTGCGCGGGAGAACCCGCACTGCGGAGTTTCGGGAGTACCCTTCATGAAAAGGACAACGGGGGCAGACGCAACCGCCTTATCGATGGCGGCCTTTGTTTCGGAGGAAAGTAGCCGTGCATGAAGAAGGGAGGAGGGGAGTTGGGCCTGGCGCCACAACGGCCGGCGAAGCGTCTAGATGAATCAGTTAGCATTGATTGATTGATTGATTTGAGTGGTGGCTGAGGGCAAAGAAGAAGAAGAAAAAGAAAAAAAAAAGGAATTTCTCAGAGGGGGAGGTGGCATTTAGTGTCCAAAGGGCAATAGAGAAGTCAATATATGTAACTTACTGATGAAAGCGTCCTTGAAAACATAATGTGATTCTGGAGGTGGAAATAATTTGGAGCTTCGGAGATGGTCACTTAGCCGTAACTATCTCTCATACCTCAGTGGTGATTGATTGCTCACTAAGCAGGAACAAAACCAGTCACGTGGATATTACTTCATTCCAGTCGAAAACGATGTCATACCAGTTCTCTCCATATGCATCTTTTTGGCTCATATTATTTTAAGTTAATCTATAAGGTTCATGGAGCGTTTGAAACCCATGTGGATACATCTTTCTAATATTCAATATTCTTACAGAGGAGAAATTATCACCAAGGGTCAAAGACAATGATATCTGGCGCTGCTCGCTGATTCGCAATATCATGAGCACTGAAAACCTTCCTTTTTCTGCCAAAGAGCACCAGGACGATGGCAAAGTGCATATCATCTTGGCCGCGAGCGGATCGGTCGCTACAATAAAACTCCCCAACATTGCGGAGGCTCTTGGACGTCACCCGAATGTGTCAATTCGCATTATTGTAACCCAGTCAGCAGAAAAGTTCCTCGTGGGCCAAAGCCGGGAGCAACCTCAACTTGAAAAACTGCGCGAAATTCCTGGTGTGGATGCCATATACCGCGATGAAGATGAATGGAAAAACACCTGGACCCGGGGGGCTTCTATTTTGCATATTGAGTTGAGGAAATGGGCTCATTTGCTTCTTGTCGCCCCTCTTTCTGCGAATACGATGGCGAAGATGACAATTGGGATCTCAGACAACCTCCTTCTTTCTGTTATTAGAGCATGGGATACAACCGGGATGGTAGACTGCGGTTTCAAGGATAAAAAGCCTTTAGTCTTCATCGCCCCTGCTATGAACACCGCGATGTGGAACCACCCAGCCACAGGAAAGCAGCTAGAGATTTTACGAAATGAATGGGGTTGGAGTGATTCAAATAAGGACGGTTGGGTGTATTATCTGCCCCCGATGGAGAAGCCGCTTGCTTGTGGCGATACCGGAAATGGAGCCATGATGGACTGGAGGGAAATAGTTGAGATGGTGGAGCATTACATGGGATTGCAAGCATGATCAGCTAAGAGTTGAGCTGTTCAATTATATTAGCCCGAGAGATGACTTTCACCTCGTGGCTTGGTTGGACTGCTTATCCTTATCGTACACACCAGAGATTTGGGCAAGGTACTCGAAGAACAGTCCCAGGGAGATGCCTCCACCGGTAATTAAACAGCCGTTCTTGAACCACCACCAGCAGTTCTGAACGCTCTTCAACTGGACCTTCCAGATCATGAGGCCCAACGAGAGGGCGGCACTACCGCAACTGCCAGCGAAGAAAACTGGACCAGCACCCGAAGCAACGCCTGCAGCAGCAAGCAGTGCCACTTGCACGACGGCCAACCCGGAAAGGACCGCCTTCGTGTTATGCTCGTGACGAAGTGCAATTGACTTGATTCCAGCGGCCACGTCGTCTTTGATATCCATGTGTGCATATATCATATCATATAAGATAGTCCAGGAAATACAGCTGGAATAAAGGGCTGCAGCTGCCTTTAGGGCATCTGGATTGGTTAGGAGATCCACCCCCAAGGCTGGGAATCCCATTATTGCGCCCCACGAAAATGTAAGTCCTAGGACAGCTTGCGGATAGTAGGTGACCCGCTTGGCAAGGGGATATGTAGTTACTAGTAGTAAACTAGGGATCCCATACCAGAGACACTCGTACGGAAACTGAAGCAGAATTCCGAGTCCCGCTAGCAATTGAGTACCGGTAAAAACTACTGCCTTTCTAGGAGATATTGCTCCCCTTGCGATGGGCCGAAATTTTGTGCGCTCAACGTGCGGATCCAAATTCCGGTCCCAGAGGTCATTGATAGCACATCCAGCCCCTCGCATTATCATAGCCCCTGCGAAGAACAGTCCAGTAGTTCCGAGGAGTTGGAAAGGAGAAACTGAAGGCGTCATAGTAGCCGCAAGAAGCGTCGAGAAGGCACAAGGGAAGAAAAGATAATATGTGCCCGCAGGTTTGTCAAGGCGTATTAACTCAGCGTACGGTATCCATGACTGGGGTAGATAGGCAATGAGTCCTGTCTTGGGAGGAACGTAATGATTCACCGATCTTTGCGCTTCTTCAGGCTGTGAATGGCTGGTTGAAGGGGATAGTGATGGAGTGTTGAAACATCGTTTTTCGGGAAGCCTCCCCTGGTGATTGGGTATGCGCTCTCTAACAAGGCTCGAATAAATGGTCTTATATCCAGCCGAACTCAGCGGCCTTAACCGATATACTAGATTATTATCCGCCGTTATCCATGTGAAGCTATTGTGCGATATCACTGGCCGGCCGAGGCAATTGCGGGATTGTAGGCGTTGAAGCACCTTGGAGGTCGTCGAAAAGCGCATTTTGGCGAGCTCAGAAGCAAAATAATATCTGTGATTTAGTTGTAGAGCCTTTATTTCCGATACTACGGAAGTTTTTAGTGACAATGCCGTTCCGCTTAGGATACTTTCGGCTCGGCAGGACCCTAGGGGCCTAGATATTAGGGGACCGGATGTCCCCCAGGCTCAACTCGAGGGAAACGGTCGGCTGGGACCAAGAAGCTTGTACTTTGTTGTGGGAAGTTTCACAAAAAAAATCTCTGGAAGACCGGATCTTCCGGGGATTTTTCAATTATATGGGAATTGAAGAACGACTAGGGAAGGCTAAGAGCTCGGATTCGAGCTACAGGAGATTTCGAGCATTTGAATAATTTGGACCCACGTGCCCAAATAGGGTGTTGATTCGTTGACTAATTTAGGTTAGTCGACCCCTGTCAACAGTCACATGACGCCAAGAGTGTTGATTGGCTGACTATCGGGGACTGCTATGCCGGGATCACGTGCCCAAGGATACTTAGTTTATCTATCTCGGAGTATAGTTAATCCGTCCAGTGAGGATCCTCGGCCGCATCATCATGTCAGCAGATACGGCGCGTTTACTCTTCATTATCAACCAGTTATCGTACTCAAAACTGCAGTCTGTTCGTTTGGACAGTGTACTGAATGGGCCAGGCTGCAGAACAGATTTCTTTGTTTGATGATGGTTCGGCCGCTTCCTGTCACTATAAAAATGTTCCTCGCATAACAACATTACGCATGCAATGTGACTCGCACTTGCGATTCATTTAACCCATAATATTGAACGACTTGGTGCTGGTATTGCCAGGTTGAAAAGGTCCCTTTCAGTTAACTAACCCACCTTTCGCCAAACAACAAATTTCAAATACCATTCACCACCGTCGGAAACCCTCACACAGGATGCCCGCGCAGAGGCCTCGCGCTGCCTTCGAACCCTTATCACCGGATCTAGATGTTCAGGATTTGGTCAAGTCAACACCAAACTTTGAACACGCTGTGAGGATTCATTGCGATGCGATTGATGAACATGGCCTGGAAGATTTTGAAAAGCTCGTCTTACTACACGTTATTGTCAGGGGGTTGCCTCTTGTTGTTGAAGGGTTTAACAAAAAACTCGACAATTCCATTTTTTCCGAGATTTGGCTGAGAAGTCACTATTCAAAGAAAGGTGCCGCATTCATTGCTCGCTCCCTATAGTTTAACCACTTCAACTAACCAATATTTATTTTCTTTTATATCTCACAGAAGAGTGTGCTCGAGACCTGACTGCGAAAAAAGACGTCCCCCTCACTATTGGACATTATCTTAAGAATATGCCGCTTCTTGCAAATCAATGGAATAGCCACAATTACAAAAACACTGATCTTCAGAGGCTATATCTCAAGGATATTGATTGTCCAAAGATTTGGCACGACCAATTGAAGAAGATCATACCTCCCTCCTTGTTCTACCTGAACGAAACTCCAGAGCCTTTCCAAGGCCCAGGAGCTCAGAGTGCTTCATCTTGTGAGGCATACGGCGCTTCGGGTCGGCGGATAGCAAAAGCAGGCGATCTAATGGGCTGCCTTCCACAAAGCATGCGCGCAGAGAATTTGATGTGCTATATTGGCCATGAGGGCACCTACACACCCGCACACCAAGAGATGTGTGCTAGTCTTGGTCATAATATAATGGTGGAAGCGTCAGATGGTTCGACCGAGTATGGCAAGGCCACCAAGCCAGGGTCGTCTATCTGGTTCATGACCAGCAGCAAGGATCGTAAACTCGTGTCAGAATATTGGATGTCTATACTGGGCCATGACATTGACCTTGAGGATCACTTTGCGCAGATTAACGCATGGAAAGCTGCACCATTTACAACATATCTAGTTGAGCAACGCCCGGGCGATTTCATCCTTGTACCTCCTTTAGCGGCACACCAAGTATGGAACCGGGGGACGCGAACAATGAAGGTTGCATGGAACCGAACAACAGTAGAAACACTTGAAAGGGCTCTAAATGAAGCATTGCCACACGCGAGGATGGTCTGTCGAGACGAGCAGTATAAGAATAAAGCCATAGTGTTTTATACACTGAAGCATTATTCAACACTGTTGGCTGAAATTGACGATGTCACTATCGGTCATCCAAGGGTTCAGCAGCTGCAGGGTGATTTTGAACTGTTGTTTGCTCTATTTAACCAAATTCTACTTTCTGAATCCTTTACCCTTGATAAAAAAGAGAGGAACGTCGAATATGTGCCTTTTGACAGCACTATCACATGTTCGTATTGCCGAGGAAACATCTTCAACCGATTTTTAACATGCCCGTGGTGTCCGAAATCTCTCACAGGACAAGATGAGCCTTATGATATTTGCATGGAATGTTATGTCATGGGCCGAAGCTGTGCTTGTATCTCCAGGTTAAAGTGGGTCGAACAATTCAAATGGACAGAGCTCACGGGGAAACATGAAATATGGAGGCAGCAATTAATACAATCCAACCCTCATCTTGGAGATAAATACCGGTCTTTCCAGATCGAAAGGGCTGAGTTGGAAAGGAATAGTCTTGCCCAGATATGTCAGGAGCAAATGAAGAAGCGCCCCTGGGTTGATATCACCAAGCCGGTCGTTGCGAAAGTTGCTGAGGAGCCTACTGACCCTGAAAACACTACCGCGCCCCGAAAACGAAGGAAAACGGGCCGCAGTGACAAGCCAAAGGAAAAAGAACCTCGTTGCCATATCTGCAAGTGCGTTGAGCCTGCCTGGAAACTTGCATCGTGCTCTAAATGCCCTTTGAAGTATTGTTATGGCAGCCTGTTCAGAGCCATGAATATGCACCCGCAGGAAGTTCTAGAGACGAAGAACTGGGAGTGCCCCAAGTGTAGAAAGTTCTGCAGCTGCGGTGCGTGCCGTAAGAATCCCAAGATGACCCCACTCGAACCAACGTCTACTTTACTCGGGCATGATACAAGCAAGATTGCGGATCCCCGTAGCGTGGAGAGCCTAGTTGACTTGCGGCATTCAAATCTCGGGTGGCTGAAGAAGGCTGCGAATGACGATATAGGGCGCCTGGAAAAGCATCAAAAAGAGGCAGAGGAAAGGTGCCACCAAGCTTTGGTTGATAACTCCATCCAGTTGGAGTGTTTCCCTGAGATACGCGAGTCTACTGATTATAGTGAGTTAGAGAGGGTTGCGCAAGCCGCATTTTACTCCAGCGACTACTCGGACATGCCAATAGATCCTGCATTGGAAAGTTCGATCCTCACTCATGCAGATTCCTGGGTTCAATGAAAATTTCCAAAGAGTGAATTGGATCTACGGGCTACGAATAATTCATTGTAAGCCTTGTTGAGTCGAGGCGGGAGCCAACGATAACGTTTTGATCAATTTTAACTAGGAATAGTTATAAGTCATAATTACACACCGTCACCCTGGTGTGTGTATTAACAAGACAATGAAATGAATCCCTAGAACTTCCAGAGTTAGAGTCGTCATAATCTTGGGAATTGCAAAGCGAGGATAGTTAGTTATTTTTTTTTTTTTTGCCCTCCTATCAGTCCGGATTAAGTAACCAGGTAAAGAAGGTAAAGAAATCGAAGCCAACAAAGAAGATTACCTAGACTGACATGAAAATATTGCAGATTTTAAGCCCCCTTATAATCGTATCGAAGATCCTCGAGAGTTTTGAGATCAACAGACACCATTACCTGGCGTACAACCAATATAGTCGCCAAAAGAGCTAGATATCCAGCACGTAAGCCTGTGTCCATTTCGGAAAGCCGTCAACGTTCAAATTCCGGAGGGGAGAAAACACATACTGGGCGGAACTAAGTACGCCACAGGCTGAATGCTAGACAGCCCAGTGTTTGATGAAAAGAGATAAACCAGAGCCAGCAACACACAGACCGCAGTATTAACAGGAACTGCGTATGTCCGGACATGCGTCATAAGATCGGGATTCCGCATAGGTCGTTTACCTTTTGGATCTGGGCGCTGCGGCGGGATATACTTCATCGTGTAGGCGGTAGCCAGTAACGACCCAATGCTGAGAAGTAACAGAAACCGCACAAAAACTCCTACGGATGCTGAAGAGAGCAATGAAGGGATGAATATGATACTTGATAGAAGCGGGATCGTGGCGAATATGATCTTTTATATTAGAATGCAAAGTTAGGCAATGTTCGTCCTTTTATCTTCAATGGCTCTCGGTGCAGTAAGGGAAGAAGAGGGAAAAGAGAAGCGGTACAGTGTATTCGGAGTTTCGTTTCTCATTTTGAATTTGCAAGTGTCTTATGACCCGTTCTTGCTCTGATGTTTTAAATGTTAGAAAGACGGGTTATTCTTGAAAATGGGGAGAGAGGGTATAGGGTAATAGTGAACGAACCCTCTTCATCTAGTTCCTCGCGCACAGTATCGTCGCCCGAATCATCTGGATAACGGAAAGCTTTGCGGAGCCTTGCGGAGGCCATCTGGCCGAGACTTTTGTAGTGTAATCTTCAGAAAATAGCCTCCAAAAACCCCCCCCGAGTATCGAGTTTCAGTAAGATATGAAAAGAAACCAGAACAATGACGTGGATGGATATGTAATGTTGTAGTTCCTAGAAGTTTGTCTTGTTTGGTCAGTTTTCCCATCCGCTCCGCCAGCTTGAGATTCAATTCAAAAACTCCGACACCACACCACCTCGAGTATCTCCCTCTCCGTTGTTCGACCCGGTCACAATCTGTATTATACCCCCCCCCCCCCTCCCCAACTTGGAATACTGCAAGCCCCGACCCTCAGCTCGCAAACATCCAAAAATGATTTTCCACGCTGCGAGGAGACGCATTGGCGTTCCGCAATTCCCCAAAGTCAACGCCCGAAATCTCGTTCCTCGTCGCACCCTCATTCCGGCTCCCAAGGATAATTCAGGCCCGCTGATGGAACGTCGCGCAGACCGTGAGCTCCCTTCGATTAACAACGAGCAACGACGATGGATACGCACACTACCTATTTTTGCTGTGGTTGTGGGCGCTGCTATGCTTGGTATCTTCAACTACCAGAAGTCTTCGTCTAGTGTGGTCAACAGCACACTGTATGCTCTGCGGACTTCTCCCAAGGCGCGGGAGATCCTAGGCGATCAGATTTACTTTGCGCAAAAGATTCCATGGATCAGTGGGGAGATGAACCAGCTGCATGGGCGTATTAATATCTCTTTCTGGGTGAAGGGGACCAAGACGCAAGGTAAAATGAGGTTTCGGAGTGTGAGACCGGATCGGATGAGTTTTGTTCGTTTCCCTTGTCTTCTGTTTCGTCCTGGTTAGGGGAAGGTTGGATTGCTAATATGGTTTTTTTTTTTTTTTTCTTCTTTTTCTAGTTCCGTACTGAGGAATGGAGCTTGGAGACAGAGGATGGAGCTGTGATCCAACTTCTTGAGAACGGCAATGATCCGTTCCGTCAGGAGTAAATTGGTACAGGAACGCTAGACTCCACTGCAATGACCATGGCTCTGGTGTTGTCTAGATTGTATATTTAGAATATTTCTCCTCTGCATTAGGTTGGGGCGTTTGGGTGCATGTATTTATTGAAGCGAGTCTTCCAAACTTGGCCGACGGAGAAAACAACGAAGCGGGAGAATTGAAAAAAAAAGATAAGGATATCATTTATGTATCATATACAGACGCCGCTCTAGAAAACAGTATAGTGTAATAGTACATTTTCAGAAAAGAAACCGGATCCAATAGGATTTATGCAGAAGCTTCAGCCGCAGGTGCGGTTTCAGGCCATGGCTTCTTGATAGCATCCTGTATCCTCACAACACAACCTTTGGGGCCGCTCACAGCACCTATGGAATATAAAATTAGCATCTCAAACATAGACCGATAACAGAGGTGAAAAAAATGGACGGAGGTTGCATACCATTAACAACAACAAGACCATTCTCCACATCCACCTTGAGAACCTTCAGGTTCTGCACTGTATTCTGCTCATTACCCATATTTCCAGCCATCTTCTTTCCGGGATAGACCCTAGAACCACCACCCTGACTCGGACCAGCAGAACCAAGTGAACGATGTGTCAAACTAACACCGTGACTGCGGTCCTGACCACCGAAGCCGTGTCTCTTCATCACACCAGCGAAGCCCTTACCCTTGGAATTGGACCGGGTATCGACATACTGTCCCACCTGGAACCAATCCGCATTCACTAACTGTCCAACAGGCAAGAGACCGGTCTCGTCCTTCACACGGAACTCATAGACATATCGTTTCGGCGAAACTCCATTACTCGAGAAATGACCCAGCAGCGACTTGGTCATGTTGCTCGCGTGCTTCCAGCCCGAACCCAGCTGCACGGCAAAATAGCCATGCTTCTCCCTCGTCTTCTGCGAGACGACCTGGACGCGGTCGAGCTGGAGCACGGTACAGGGGATGCGTTTCCCCGACTCGGCGTCATATATGGCAGTCATGCCCTTCTTGATGGCAATAGCGCCTGTCCGGAGGGGAAGGGTGTTTGCTTTACGTTCGAGAGCCGCGGTGGGAGTCGACTTCAGCACGGGGAGATCAGGAGCGACATTGAACCGGGAGGCTTTGGGCGGGTTTAGAGAGCGGATACCGAATGTGCGGATGGGGACATTGCTAGGGGTGATCAATTGGGGAGACCCAACGCCGAAAAAGAGAGGAAGCTGGGTGAGCTTCCTTGACAGACGGGGGGACATAGCGAGTGCGTTGTTAAGTTGGATATCGAGATGGATGTCTGTCTGTTTCTTCGTCCTGCCTCTTTTCCGAGAATTTTCGACGAGATGCGAGGGAAGGCGGTGAGGGCTGTTGCCCTTTATATCAGGCACCAACACGACATCGGTATCGTAGCCACGCCAGATTGTATAGCTAATTTAAATCGCTCCCGGGTAAAAAAGACGGGAGGTACTTTAGTATTGAATCAATATACTATATCGACACATCCATCTCTTGCGGGAACCCGAATAGTTCATTAACTCCGTTGACGCAGGAACCATCTCGAATCCAGCCGAAGTCATCCGTCCTCAACTCCGATTCACCGAGCCTAACTAACTCATCTTTCTGATCTTTCTCTCTCTCTTTCTCTCTCTCTCTCTCTCTCTCTCCCTGCGGTCAAAACGTCATCTCACTTCGTTTTCTCTTGAGCGTCGTTCATCCAGTCTTTACAATCAAGATACTACTTACCATTTACCTCGACTAGCCAACACATCGGAAAATAGAGGCAACCCCAAGGGAGAAAGGAAAAAAAAAAAAAAAAAAATTCAACTCAATCGCAAAGAGAACCAACCAGCATTCTCACCAAGCAACAAGCACAAATACAAATACAAAATACGGATACAGTTATCAGAGTCTAAGAATATCGCAATGTCCCTCCGAAATCCCCTCCTCACACGCCGCTGGGCCTCTCAACCTGCCAACCTCACTTTCACCCCTTCCCAAATCCTGCGAACAAAGCTTACCACCACTCGACCATTCTCGCTCCAAACAGCAACAACAAAGCAACTCCTCTCCTCTTCAGCCCGAAACAATACTCGCCCTTCCTCCGTCTCACCCTGGAGAATCAGAATCTCCCAATCCCAATCCACTACTGCCACATTCCAGCGCTTTTTCAACTCCACGCGCCCCAAATTCTCCTCCTCCTCCTCTTCAACAAAACAATCTGCGCAATCCCTCTCGCAACGCCTAAAAGCCCTCTCGCGCGAATATGGTTGGTCGGCGCTCTGGATCTACCTTTTCCTGTCTGCGCTGGACTTCCCCTTCTGTTTCGCGGCCGTGCGGTTCCTCGGCGCCGAGACCGTCGGACACTACGAGCATGTTGTTGTAGAGTCTGTGAAGAGCGCTGTGGCCAAGGTGTGGCCTGGACTTGTTTCTCCAGAGGAGGAAGAAAAGGCCGAGGGCGAGGGAGAGGTTGCCAAGGGTGGTGAGGAAGCTAGTACGTTGTGTTTTCCATTCTCGTTTCTCTTCCCCGTCGCTCCTTTTATTTTATCAAGGAGGGATTGATTGGATTGGTTTATCTAAAAAAAAAAAAAAAAAAAAAACCACCAGAAATGATAGCTAACTAACTTCGTCTTTACTATACAGGTCTTTGGACCCAGCTTGCGCTCGCATATGCAATCCACAAGAGCTTCATTTTTGTCCGTGTGCCCTTGACAGCGGCCATTACGCCTAAAGTTGTCAAGATCCTTAGACAATGGGGATGGGACATTGCCAAGGGCAAGCCTAAGGGTATGTAAGCCAGCCTTGCCGTGCTCTCTCTTCTTCTTTTGAGTCTTGGTCTTGGTCTGGCTTGCTGGTCCCGGTTCCTGGTTCCTTCCTTCCTCATGGACAAATGAACAAACATCTTGTTTCGACCAACTCACCTCAATTTCGTTGTACTCGACTACTTGATTCCTAAAATACGTCGTTGACAGAAAACATTCCAATATATATGTATAACAAGGGAGCCCCCGCTTTTTGTTTTTGTTTTTTTTTAACCTGATTTTTTGCATAGCGATGTTCAACTAGATATTACACTCACGAAGTGACTGATTGACTGATTGATTGATTGATTGATTGATTGATTGCACACTGTACATTGTACATTAACTGTTAGATCTAATTCCTCCACTCTGGCATTTTCACACTGGGTATTCGTCAAAACAGAAGAACAGGAGTCATCAGATAAAATAAAGATGAAATGAAAAGAGAAAACAAGTAAATGCACACAATAAAAAAAAAAAAAAAAAAAACACCAGTCTAGTTCATCCACCAAAAATTTTCGATAACCAACCAATAAACAGAAAAATGATAAAATGGTAATGCAGCCGATGATAATCCAACAAACCACACAAAAAAACCTCCTAAAGGAAACAGAGAGAGAAAATGGAAAACATTTTGACTACTCAGAACTCGTTATCTTCGTTGGCATATATATGAGAATGAGAAGGGAAAAAAAAAAGGAAGGGGGGGAGGGGGAGACGATAGAAAGTAGGTAAGTAAGTAAGTAAACAAGCGGAGAAGAAGAAGAATATCAAAGTCAAAAATCATAGGGTATAGACATGAAACAGAAAGAACATCACATATCAATCATGTCGTTGAACCGCAGAATACCGTTGGCTTTCATCACGCCGTTCACACCATCGGGCATGCGGTATGCCCACTCGGCCACGCCCATGGAGCCTATGGCCGCCATGGGGGCGTTTTGTTCCGGCTGTTCGGCTTCGTCCGAAGTATCTGCTACAAGTACAAGGCCGAGTTCTTTGATTGTCTCGATTAGGGCGGGTACGACGTTCTAAAGAATGTTAGTTATATGTTCTAGCCAATAATAATAAGAGTAAAGGAGAGAAAAAAAAAAAAAAAAAAGAGGAGGGGTTACCAAGAGACTAGAGCGGCATATCAGACCCATAAAGTTGTTGCTTTGTGCAATGCGCGCGGACTCCTTGATAGACATTGATGCTCGACCACTGCTGTCAACGTCTGGATGTGACCCGACTTCACGGGTCAAGTCCCGAATTTGACCAAGGTCATTGCAAAGAAGGACAGGATCTGAAGTAATTAAAGTTAGCTTACTATATGACCTATGTCAAAAAAAAAAAAAAAAAAAAGAGACTCACAGTTCGGTTGCTTCCAGTTCAACGCAATACAAATATTAGCATTGTAAGAAGTGAACACGACAGAACGCATGAATTCTGGGTTCTGGTCGCGTGCGATACGGGCATGGTCGAATACTACTGTTAAGATAGCATCCGCGAAGCTGTTGATATCCGCCATTGAGGTCATGTTCAACGCTTGCTCCTCTGCAGCTGATGGGTAGAGAATCGACAAGTTGACATTGACAGTGACGGGTAGATTATGGAAGACCTCACGTAGGGACAGGAATGATGCTGCCACAAGTCGGTGGGCCTGGGCCAAATCACTCAAGGCGTGTGTCTGGAGGAATTCGAAAATTTCCGGACGATTGACCCCCTTTTCGGAGCCGATGGCTTGGAACTCAGACAAGGTAAGATGGCAGATAGGGATGTCGATGCCATAGTGCTGGACTGTGTATCGCGGGTAGACCACGGGAATTCTGTCTCTTGTGAGCTGCACAAAGAGCTGAACATGGTCCCCCGAGAGACTCGACCCGGTGACGAGACCGTTGTGTTCCGAGTCAGTAGCGCTGGTGGCCTTCCAGTACGTTGCAAAATGCGTAATCTCCAGAGGATCTCCGTGGTACGGCTTGATAACCTGGAATTCAAAGTGAAGCTGCCCAATCGAGCGTAACCGAGGATCGAACAGAGGCAAGGAACAGGAGCCCGCGCTCGATTGTTCGGCCCTAAACACTGTGGGGAGAGCGACTGTCTTTGCGATTACCTTCGAGCCAAATGTAGGGAAAATCTCGAAATCAACGGCAAATGTCGCTAGGTTATCCACATGGAATGAAATCATCCGCGAGTCCTCCTGAATCGGAAGCATCACAGTGCGTGGAATCAAGTCGGAAAGCTTAGACGAGATGGTAAGTCGAGCAGCAGGATACCGGCCAGACTGGTCAAAGCAAATCGATCCATTGCTTCTAGGGTCAAAGAGAATCTGGATGAATACCTTCTTATCCAAGAAGTTGTGTCCGTAACGGCGTAGGGGGATGATCGGAGGTGGAAGAGACAGATCGGGAATGCCGTCCACCGTCTCCATGTCATCAGTAGCCGATGTCGTCTTCTCTTGCCATTCCACGAGAGAGCCAGGTTCCCCTAGCCTCAGGCCATTCAGAATATCCAAAGGCCGTTGCGATGGACGGGATTCGGTACAATGAGACCAGAGCAAGAGCATGCATTCAAGATGGCCTTCCCAGGCAGCATAGTACATGGCAGCGAGATTTTTCTCATCCACAGCACTGGCGTCCACACCAAGTTCCAGAAGCGTGCGCAAACAATCGACGCAGCCCTCGCTAGCCGCATGGAAAAGAGGAGTCCACTGGTACAACTTGTCTTTTTGGTTGAGGTCAGCTCCATGTTGCTTAAGCAACAAGATAATCTCAGGCGATTGTGAAGCGCGCGCAACCATGTGCTGGGGGTAAAGGCCTTCTGCGTCCGGAAGTAATTTTGCTCCTCGCTCCAAGAGCATCCTCACGATTTGAAGGGACCCATGCTGGCATGCCAAGTTCAACGGGATGTGATCGGATTCAGAAGCGGGGTCAATACGAGCGTTGTTGCAAAGAAGCTGCTCAGCACAGGCAAGCTGGTTTTTGACAATGCTGTGAATCAAGGGAGTGAAGTTGTCGTGATCCATGATGTCAACGGTATCTGGATTTGCGGCCAAAAGCTGCTGCACCATCTCCACGCGACCGTGGATACAAGCATAGTGCAGAGGAATCCTTCCGTAGACATCAGCCCGGGAGATATCAACATTGGCTGCCAGGCCCGCCTGGAAGACGAATTCTCGGCCCGAGATCGCCGCCTCGTGCATGCAGTTACGCTCGTTGATGTCGTCTTCTGCGAACAAATCAACTAACCCGCTTTCAAGGAGAAGCGCAAGCACCTCATCAGAATACTCGTTGATTGCGGCCAGGAAGGTGCGCGTCGCGCGCTCACGAGCATCGGGGGAAGACTGCAACTTGGCTGTCCACTCGCGCAGGGTTTGCAGGTTTCCGGTAGTCGCAGACTGCAGCATATGAAGATCAAGGTCATCCTCGCCCGCACCGAACGGCTGGACACCGGCGGACCGGTCAGCTGGGCGGGTGGTGTCGTAGTGAATATTTTCTCCCTCCGCCCAAGCTTCTAGTTCTAGTCGTGCAGTCGTTGCCCGATCGGAGAGGTCACGTAGAACCTCTCGATTAAAACACGGTTGTACTTCGACGGCGCGTTGGAGGTATAATTCCTTCATGCGGGACTATACAAAATGATATCAGCATGGGGCATCGAAAACAACGGCAGACACGATTCTTTCGGACCTTAGATGTTTTATCCCACTAAAAAAAAAAAAAAAAAAAAAAACCCCCTTGTCAGCATAAAAACTCAAAGCGAACGGGGGAAACCAACGGGCGAACGAACCTTTTTAAGAATCTTCGACATGGCAGTCTCATTGATCTCGACAAATTGCTATTTAGAAAGACATATCAGACTCCTGCCTGCCCCATTTTACAGAGAGAACGGAATTCACCTGTAATTTGTTGAGATCGCCATCGAACTGTTGGAAGCCCTCGAGCAGGGCAACGAAATTCGCGGGAGCTTTGGAGTTGGTCACCGTCCGCGACTGGACGACTCTCTTCTTATCAACCAGTGTTTTCAACCGTTGTGAGAACTGCAGCACAGCGTCAGATGCCTATAACCTTGGATGTCGGACGATGGACAAACCTCAGCTTCCTTCTGTAGATAAAAGGTGTTGACCTTTTCTATTTCACGTTCCTAACCAAATAATCAATCATACTAACTCATTGCCCGGCGAACCAGAGCAAACATACCAGTCGAAAGAAGAACACCTCTTTGTTCGCGCGGAGCGCGGCCTGTGCTTCGGGGACATCTTGAATGCCCGCAGAACTCTGGGCGGGGATTTTCGGAGTCGCACTCAGTTGCTTGATAAGCTATATCGGGTTGATGTTAGTTCCGACGCTCACAGAGCCCAAGATATGTCACTAGCAACCTTCTTTAAAGCTTTGTAGTTTACGAAACTGGCGGCATATTCCGGGAGATCGAGCTGTCTGCGCTGAATCTGCTTGCCGAACTTCCTGTAAGCTCAATGGTTAGCCGTAGCCCAGTGATGCACGAAGGACGTCAGATGCATTGATTGGGATGTAATCGGAACACAGCTTCCTCGTTATCCAGGGACAAGGGCACGTACATCTTGAGAAGCTCTCTTTAACAGCCAAGGACTCTGCCAGTCCGTTGGGGCAAGCGTGCCTAGTAAGGCGAAGCCGAGGAAGCAATAGGACAACGGGATGGGACAACCAAACCCAAGATGTCAATCGCGCGATCCGTGAGAGAATTGAATGCGAGAAGAGAAGAAAGAAGAGAAGAAGAAGGAAAGGGGGAGGGGAAGAAGAAGAAGAAGAAGAAGAAGAAGAAGAAGAAGAAAAAGGTGACAGAAGGAATACGCAGGTAATGACACCTACCCCTCTCCGCGGCACAGCAACTTCGTCTTTGGATTGAGGGGAGGCAACAGAAGGCAGAGAGGGAGAGAATAGTACCGAAGTGGGGTCAATGACAGATCGGTAGTAAGAGCAAGTTAGTCACAATGGAACAAGCAGTAGGCTCCAGAAAGTGCCGCCGAAGAAGGACTCAAGGAGGCCGTGTGTGGAGTGGACGGCGGGAGTAGTAAGATGGGACACAATATGGACTCCAGGGGTGGGTAAGTCTAGGCTAGGCTGGGCAGGACAACGGCAGACCGACTTACGGAAGTTTCTTGCGAATACAGGATGCCGTAATTAAGCAGAGGGTCAAGCTGAACAGTTGAACCACAGGGAAAGGGGACACTGATTGATGGTGATGGTGATGGTGATGGTGATGGTGATGGTGGTGCTGCTGAAGCTGCAGGGCATCCGGGCAGTAGTAGTTGAACGGCGGGCCAGCGCGGGGCGACTTTTTTTTCGTCCACAGAAAGAGAAACAGAATCAAAGTCCAAAGTAAGTAATCCGCCGGAATTGTCGAGGAAAGTCCACCAGCACAGGCCAGGAACAAATAGGAATGAAAGGAAAATGACATCAATCAAGGTTGGGGTCGAATCATGTGTCTCGTCTGGCAAAAAAAAAAAAAGAGAGAGAGAGAGAGAGAGAGAAGGGAAGTTAGGTACCTACCTAACCTGGTAGAAGAGGTGGAGGGAGAGAAAGCTGTTTCCGGGCGAATCAGACATACCAAATGGCCCACGTTCTTCGTTCTCCCCCGTGGTCACACTAAAGCAGCAGCCGGTCGAGTCAGTCCAACCACAGCCAGTTGGATCACAACGTGCTTTGTTTGTAGGAACAGTAAGCTATCGTCAAGCACAGCAAAGTTGAACCGGGATGGAAAGAAAATATCCTCTCGATTCAAGGTTATGATGATGTAACGGATCAGGGTGCTGACCGATAGCTAACCCTTGATAAGCTCTTCTTTGAAGGATCTATCTGATAGCGATAGCAGTGACCACCCTGCTGCTACTCGATCTACATCGCCAGCTTCGTCCTGCATCGGTCTTTTCTCCTTACTGACCACGAGGATCTAGATTCTATATGAATTTTTTTACAGGTCAGAAGCCATATGTATTCAATTACCCTAGCTCACGTATATAACCACAGGTAGCGGCGCCCTAATAGACAGCCGAGTCCACTCACAATATATCCAGGTCAGAATCAACAGAGAGAAATATAATGGATGGAGGAATATGACAGTAAGAGAGGGTTGACATTGACAGGGAACAGAAAAGAAAATCCATGCATTCCTTTGCATAGCGCTAGAATTGAAAAAAAAGAAAAAAAAAAAAAAAGTCATAAATGTACACACAAAGTGACACAAAGCAAAGGATATATCGGTATGCCAAATAACAAACAGCCCAAGGAGATCTCACAAATATGGGTCAGTCAGGAATGGCGGGAAATAGCCACTCTTAACAAAAGGGAGAAGGCCAAAAAAAATAAAAATAAAAATAAAAAAATAATGCTGCCAAACATTGGCAATAGAACAGTATGACCACATGAAATAAAGCATAAAACGAGAGAAATATGCAACTGGTATCACATCCGAGTAAAAGGAAAGAGAGGAAAATATGCCAGTCAAGAACAAGGATATGCAGAACACAGTCCCAGTCCATCCAGGAACCAAATAGTTTTCAAGACCATGATGATAACATGGATGGATACCTGGCATAGGAGGGTTCAAAAAAGGACCATGGGCTTTGTTGCGCCCTTTTTTTTTTTTTTTTTTTTTTTTTTTGCCCCTCAACAGCGTCCGTCTTGCCCCATTTTGACTGGCAGGAAACACCGGTCCGCGCCAGTCGATTGCCCTTTCGGCCCTTCAGGTTAAATCGAAGCCCGCCTTTTACTGGCATCTTAAAAGTTCTGCGCAATGCCAGCATTACCTTGTCTGGGGAAGACTGAAGGGTTCTCAATTCGGGTATTGCGACGTGCTTGAACATCCCGGATCACAGGCTGACCACCACCATACGGGCCTTCACTATACGGGCCTTCACCATACGCTCCGTACTGCTGTTGCATATCGCTATAGTACGGGTTCTCATCATAGTAGGTCCCAGTAGGATGAGTGGCTGACATATGGCTCTCGTCCGAGGCGTCGGATCGGTTAGCCGCAGAATACGCAGAGGATGCATTAGACGGACCGCGGTGGATGTCTGCGTTTCGGCTGTGCGCGGCAGCAGCAGCAGCAGCACCTCCACCAACAGCCCCAGCAGCGACGGGAGCGGCGCCCAAAATTCCATACGGCTCCGTTTCGGCCGGGCCTTGGTGTCCTTCGGAATATTGGATGGTGCCGTCGCTTGGGGTAGCGGCATGGTGGTAACCGGGTTGACTTCCAGCTTCAGACATTGCAAGTCCAGCTCCAGCGCCGCTCGATAAGTTGGTTGACGCTTTGCGAGCCGCAGAAGTGGTTCCCCATCCTCGGTATCCGGAGGTATCATCCTTAGGCGCGAGGGCAGCACCACCCATTACGGAAGGCAATGTTGGGTCATTGTTAGGGTTGAAGCCATATTCTTCAACCTCCTTCCGGCGCTCCTCCTCCGCTGCCTTCTTGGCTTTGTATTTCCTCCAGAACCACAAGGCAGCGAGGATAATAATAGCCACTGAAACAACAGGGACAACCACTGCCACTGCAATCGTACTACCGGCCGAAAGTCCGGAGCCACCTGCACCTGTGGTGGAGGATGTCGAGGATGATCCTATTGATGAAGTCGTACTATCAGCTCCATTCCCAGTTGCGGTTGTAGTAATCGGAGAGCCAGTGCTGGTAATAGTCACGGTAGCCGTCGAAGGAGCGTTGGTGTCGGTATCCGAAGAGGTGGAAGACTCGGTAGTCGTACTTGAGGTTGATGGGGCAGTGGTGGTTGAAGAGGAGGAGGAGGAGGAAGAAGAGGAGGAAGAGGAAGAGGTGGTGGTGGTGGTTGTAGTTGTTGTAGAAGTAGTCGTCGGGGTGTCCGAAGTAGTTGTGGTAGTGCTTGTAGTGGTGGTGGTTGTGGGTTCCGACGATGTCGTCGTTGATGTAGAAGTAGAAGTAGAAGTGGATGTGGACGAGGTAGAAGTCGGCTGGGATGTGGTTGTAGTGGCTGTAGACGTTGTCTCGCTGGTCGCCGGAGTACTAGGTCCAGCCCGCGGCAAGATATTCTCTAAAAAAGAAAAGCCAGTCAGTACACATCGTCCAAAAGCCATTCCACAATTATGAAGACCAAAATCCACACACCAGATGACTCCATTGTGAATCGAACTCGAGAGGAACAGGATCTCTTTGCCCCGACCAGTAGTAGTCTTCTCCCGATTCGAGTGAATTAAATCACCGATTCGAATCAAGTCAACCACCAAAGACCTCCACAGATTCAACAATCTCCCAGATTATTTACCAGATGAAACGGCCAGAGGAGGTCGGTTCGCGTCGTCTTCAAGTCAAAATGGGCGAAGCGATGTGTAAGCCGAGTGACCGGAGAATTATCGAATAGAAATCAATTTCCGCGACGGATTGGGGTTCCCATTCAAAGTTCGACAAAGGCGAAGCGTAAAAAGATATCAATGCAATCGAAATGAGATAGAAAGGGGGGGGGGGGGAATAAAAAAAAAATATTCCGCGCGCCAAAGTCCAAGGAAACGAATCTTTTCGGTGGTGGACTGAGTGGTGGTCTGTCTTATCTGCCTGGCGAAACAGTCAGGGGAAATTTGGGCGAACCCAACAGGAACGAGGCCCACCTACCAAGATTCATTGGGCCTCAGGCAAATAATGGGGGGCCAGATTTCATAATAAAATGTAAAAAGAATCAAAAGAAAGGTGGGATAATAAGAATTGAGGGGAATGGGTGCAAGAAACAAAAGGGAAGGAAAGAAAAGGAGAGGAGGGGGAAGAGAACAAGAGAGAGAGTAAGAGAGAGAGAGAGAGAGAGAGAGAGACAGAGAGAGAAAGAAAGAAAGAAAGAGAGAGAGTGAGCGAGTTGAGGCAGTGAGAAGAGGAAAAGTGGAGAGACAGGAACACCGGAATAGTAATTGGGGGATCCAGGAGGTATGATTAATTTATTACACGCATAACTAATTTGTTCCTGGGATGTCAAATTTCAAGAAAGGAGAGTCTTCCCCATATATTTATCAAGAGAGAGAGGCGGCCATTGATATTGACCTTGAAAAACCCCCCCAAGGTTTACTGCGATCGGAACCTTCCATCGACTTTGGGAATCCAAATTTATTCTTAGCAACAATCAGATTACAAGGAGACCGACCTCTAGATCTCCTCCCAATAAAGAAGAAACATCATTTCCATCATAAATTTAATCCTGTTCGCTGCTTGCAGAAGAATCCCATCTCTCTGTTCCTTTCCCACGACCGGACCCGGACTAATAATGAAGCATTGTTACCAGGACCGAGATGAGGTAACATTAGTTGCATGATTGTGCATTAACCAAATACTTATATAATGATGATTATATCTGAACTCCTAGTTAACTCCCTCGTCCACTCGGTATAGTAGGTAACTGGTTCCCAAGGAAAAACTCCGATACAACTTCAATACACCGGTTCCACGGAGCTTTGGTTTGGTTCCATCCGAATCCTGCCTGTGGCCATGGTTTACCTTCATCCATCCATTCGTCTGGCTACCTCGGGACGGAGAGGTTTGTCTGGGCCAACCGACTATTCCTGCCTCGATTGAGGAATTCTTATACCGCGAAGCAGAAAAATATATCTATTCCATCGGTAGTTGCCACCGAGATATCGCGAATCCCTGGGAGTCGCTAAGACATGTCGCATGTACCCGCTACAGAACCTAGGACAATCAAATCACAATGCCCTTGTTTACTTCCCACGCGAACGAATCCTTTTCAATTAAACAGTATTCTTGCCACCAAGAGGAATGGTGGGAAACAACTCCAATTGTCTTAATCCTCCGGGAAGGATCCCTAGGTAGAACAAAAAAGATGATGGACAGCCACAAGCTGGAAATTCGACAAACTGCTCTAGTAAATCTTTTCAAGAAACGGGTCCCAAAGGGTCAATGACCGCTCAGCCAGACAAACAAAGCCCGGCCAAGTACCCAAAAGTGTGGGGAGAAAAAAAAAGGGAGTAAAAAAAAAAGGGAGAAAAACGAAGAAATAAATCCAACTCCAACAGAAGAAACGAAGACAAGACGAGAGAAGAAGAAACGATAAGCCTCTTGAATGCTATGTACGCAATTGACGTCAAATATGTTGCTAATTGACCCAAATTCCTTGGGAAAAAAAAAAAAAAAAAAAAAAAGGAGCAACAGGAAATCCAAATTGAACGGGACAGATCGTAACATGGTATGTAAGACACCAGAATACAGTGGGAAATCGTTACAGCGGGGGGGGTTTCGCGAGAACCAAACAAAATGTTGCAATATTTACTGCCGCATATCCCACGAGGGTTTAAGGTTAGACATCAAGTCATCCTTAGTACCCACGGTCCCCGCGGGCAGGCGGCTGACACGATACGCACCAGTGCGAATATTATACAAGTGAGCTGCGGAAATGCCGGTTCGGTTACTGCGAATACTGCCAGCATCACTTGCAGTATCGGCCATCTTGAAACGAGGTGGAGGAGCAAAATCCAAATTGTCAAAAGTGCCCGACTTTCGCAATGCGTGTCTGGTAACTAGGTTAGTATGAACCCCCCCCCCCAACATCTAAAGAAGTAAACAGATAAAACTTACGCGCTCGGAATAACGGACAGCTCATCAAAAGCGGAGGCGAGAGGGGTGTGAGCTCGGAGTCCTGGGCTAAACGGCCGTACTCCACCGAGCGGAGTTTCTGGGCGGCCTTCCCTTTGATCCTTGAAGGTTTTGCCGGGGGCGTAATCAATAGCCATCATAAGGGAATCGTCCTTCAACATGTGAGGAGTAGGGAGGATGCTAAGAGGAGAGGGCACGGGCAATGGTTGGCGTGGCGCCCGAGGACCTGGGATGCGCCCCGAGGCGGAAGAGAAGGCGCGTGGACCAGGTGGCTGGAATCGCCCACTATATCCACCGACTGAGCCTGTGGCCACATGGCGAGCGGCTCCTTGGAATCGAGGAGGTGCGCGTGGAGGGGGGGTCATAGCACGCCGATTGACAGGCTCAGCATATGGTGCGGGTACAGCGTCGAAGTACCCCCCGGTGACTGGGTCAAAAGCATGCTCCTCGTCCGCGTAGTAGTCGACAGGGTAATCTTCATAGTACGTCTCTCTAGCCCCTGCCTTACTCTCATCGAAGTATTCCTTGTAGAACGACCTAATACGGTTGGCACGCTGCTCAGGGTTGTCAGCTGGGTCCTCTGGGGGCAATGGGCGAAGCCCCATCGTCATAGTCAAGCGACGAGTATCACGCCGAGGATCAAGTCTCAGATTCTGGGCTTGGGGCGGTTCTTCGGGAAGCTTCGGCATGGGCTGCTCCTGAGGTTTCTCATGGTTAGGAATAGCGCTCTCTGCATGTTGGACGCTGACAGCGGGAACGGCAGTTTTAGACGTCGTGTTATCCCCATAGTCGCTGGCAGCATCGCTTGACGGGAAAGAGATTCTGGGGGGAGGCATAACGGCATCATGCATGGGGGCGGGGGTCGATTCAACATGCGTTGACATGGGATCACGCAATGGAAATCCAGGGCGGTGTTCTGGAGGAGGGCTTGAAGCGGCCAGGCCTCTCAGAGCATTATTTGCTTCACTGGGACTCTTGATTGGTGATGGCGGCTCATGAGTTACAGTCACACCCGGGACAAAAACCGGGCTAGGGCTTCTTGGAAGATTCAATTCAAAGCCAGTGTCATGAACTTGGGCAAGGTTTGTTGGGCTATGTCCACCGTGCTCACTTGGAGGCTTATACAGCGGTGGGGACGAGCGTGACATCCTTTGAGCACTTCCCAGGAGTCCCTGGTTCATATCGTCGCCCAATCCACCTCTTCTGGTCGATCCTGCAATACTAATGGCGTCATCAGGAAATCCTCGTTGGTGTGATCGAATGGATTGGTTGTCGGCGCCCAGATAATGATTTACGTGTCGATATTTGTCGTCATCAGCCATGATCGTCCTTGAGAGAGAGTTCAGTGAATCTCTCGACCCATGCATACTAGGGGGAAGCATATAAGGGCTGTGTCCTATGTCAAGAGAGACTCCTTTCATATGATTGTTGGGGTAACCCGATCCAGCTTCCTGCATCGATTTACCCGCGCCCGTGGGCATATCCATGCCAAAATCGAGAGATTTGTGCTTATCGTCTGCATCTTCATTTCGAAGCTTTTTCAAGTTCCGTCGATGCAAGAAGAGCAGAACTACGACGGCAAAGACAATTGGGATAACAGCCCCGAGGACTACTGGTAGCGTTGTGGTACTCGAACCACTGGCTGGCTTCTCGCACCGATTGGAAGTGTCCCCAGCGGCACAAGATTGTGTGACGGCAGTCGAGTCATCGGTTGGACTGGGGTCCCGTTTGACGAATGTGGGATTCTCCGGTACTAGTAAGTGAAATGGGGGTCGCCTGATCTCAGGGTCGGGAGGTGGGGAGCGTTGATCCAAGTGTATGCCATGGTGATGTCGATGTTGATGATTGTGGTGCATGGTCGTTTATTCTTTTTTTTTTTTTGTTTTTTTTTTTCTTTACTTGGTGGTGGGGTTAGACGGTTAAGACGAGAGATGGCAGCGGGCCGAACAAGCTCTCGCCCCCTGAATCATCAAGTAAAGCAGTTCAAACGGCAAATAACTAAATGTGAAGTTCAGATACGGCGTCGTTGAGCATATGACACCGTTCTCGAATGAAACAAACAGCCAAGATGCCGAGAGAAAACGGTCGACGGAATCAACGTCGTTGGTTAGATGCTTAGGTCAAGGAGTGAACGGAACCCAAAGAGTTCCTGCAATGAGTGGCAGCCAGTGGCCAAGTTTAATAGAAAAATAAGGAATGACTGCGTATCGAAAGGGTTCGATACAGGAAAAGTTAAGGAAAGAGCGACGGGGGGAGAGGGGAGAAGGAAAGTGAATCGTGAGGGAAAAGGAGAAAGGGGAAGCAAGTCGGAGATAGAGTGAAGGCAAGACAAGACGGGTCGTACTAGTCGAGGATACTAGCTCGGAGCGGTCTAGATGGATCAGGGACGGAGACGGTGAGACAGGATTAATGTTACCCCGGCACCGATCCCTTGGTCACGTGGTCTTGAATAGGGGCATCCCAAATTCGGTAAGGATTAACAAAAAGGACAAGTTAGAGGATATAACAAGGAGTCGATTCTTTTTTATCCTTACCGCGACTGGGGTGCCCAAATTACTATTTCAATTGGGTTATGGGAATGATCCCTTGCTTGCAATCCGTAATAAATCAATTCTACCTGATTGGTACCTCTCTAGCATACAAAGCGGAATAGCGAGAGAGGAAGGAAGGAAAGGCAGGAGAGGAAGATGTACTGTGCTGTACCTATCCGGCCATATCTGTGAACACTTGCAATCTACTCATATGAATTCTGCAAGGTTACCGTTCTTAAAATAAACCATGACCACCACGATGTTACCCAAACTTCAGAATTATATTAAGATACCAACCCCCACCACGAAATACTCATACGAGTAATGTCGAATCTCTAACATTTTGAGACATTAAATTAAGGATTTGGAGATATTACAATAAGAAGGTGCATCTGATGAAGAGATGCAGCACTGCGTGTCTTAATGAATCATCTTTTAGGAATCAGAACTATCGACAGCCTCTACTACAAGATCTGTAGGTAGAACTTATGAGACTATTCCCTGCTATATGATATGCCTTTATTCCACTAAACGTGTTGTAAGACTGGCCCCTCTAGACGTATCACAATAGGCTCAGGAACCATTGTGGCAACGGTCTTGAACCCAGCTGCATTCAAGAACAGAAAATCATAGAGCTCCTGGCCATCAAAGTATGCCTCAATGGCACGCGGATGCCGGTGATTCAGAGAAAATAGTAGAACCTGACATTTTAGAATTATAGGGTTATCGGCGCAACCATATAATCATTGTATGACTGTCGGAGAAATATCCGTGTTTATAGGTTGGGTATACTTAGGTACCTACTCATAGGTCAATGTAACATTATACCTTCTTAATGTGTTTGTACTGCTCTGAAGACAGCAGAGAGCTACATGTTACCTAGGTAGAAAGGCCGACGACGCTAATTCGGTGGAAATCTTTTGCATTTCTTAACATGTCGATTGTCGAATGCGCAAAGCTTAAAAAAAAAAAATTCGATATCGGGGAGTTCTCCGAGAATCGAAATATAATCTCTTCAATTCTCCAATCAATACTTTTGCTATCATTGTTGCGCTTTTAGTTATTCCTCTACGGAGTAACTACTACTACCAGTGTTATCTTCGATCTTCGATCATGGATCCCGAGAAAGGTGACGCTGTCGCGATTCGCCCGAAAACCAGCCACAGCGTTGGCAATGGTAGCAAAGTATACCGAACGGACTCCTCTTCATCTTTTACCACATCCTCGAGCGATGATTCCTCGGAATCCTACAACGATGGCGATCGCATGTCGCGAACGCAAACGGCACAGACAGCGCAAACCCAGCGCGGATGCGGTTTAGAACGGCATCCTACAGCACTCAGTCGAATCGAAACACAGCGAAGTCAGCACAGCGCAACGGTGGGTGCGCTTAGGACAAGACCCCCGAGAAAACCACTTCCCGACTTTGGAGCTGGTAAACCATACCCTCCCCCGCTTCCCGATAAGGAAGAGTATGTAGTGGAGTTTGCTGGGCCCGACGACCCTCTACATCCCCAGAATTGGCCCATCAGGAAGAAGTACGTAAGAATCCTTTAGAATGGAGAATTGCACTGACTGGAACTCATTTAGGATTCTCATCTCCATTGTCCTTGCATTCACGACCTTCAACTCCACATTCACAAGTAGCATCTATTCCGCCGCCAACTCCGTCGTCTCGTCGAAATTCAACGTCTCAACAGAAGTCGGCACCTTAGGGTTGTCCTTGTATGTCCTCGGGTTTGCCTGTGGCCCTACCCTTTTTTCGCCTCTATCAGAACTGCTGGGACGACGACTCCCCATTCTTATCGGCGTTTTTGGCTTTACAGTCTTCCAATTCGCAGTAGCCACATCGGAAAACCTACAGACTGTCGTGATATGTCGCTTCTTTGGAGGTTTCTTCGGAGCTTGCCCCCTGGCTGTTGTGGCGGCAGTGTTTTCCGACCTGTACGACAACCGCCAGCGCGGTCTTGCAATCACAATCTTCACCATGATGGTCTTCACTGGCCCTCTCTTTGCCCCCTTCATTGGAGGCTTCATCGTGGAGAGCTACCTAGGTTGGCGCTGGACGGAATACCTCCCTGGGATTATGGGATCCGCAGCGTTTATCCTAGACGTACTGTTTGTAGAGGAAACATACCCGCCCGTGGTCCTCGTCAAGAAGGCAGAAGAACTACGCCGCAGAACCAAAAACTGGGGCATCCACGCAAAGCAAGAAGAAGTCGAAATTGACCTGAACGAACTGATCGGAAAGAACTTCAGCCGCCCCGTGCGCATCCTCTTCCGGGAACCCATCCTGCTCATGCTGAGCATCTACATGGCCTTCCTCTACGGCCTCCTCTACCTATTCATGACTGCATACCCGATCGTCTTCCAGCAAATCCACGGATTCAACAAGGGCGTGGGCGGACTACCCTATTTTGGTCTTATCATTGGCGAATTCCTCGGTGGACTGTTCATCATCTCCTTCCAGCCCTGGTACAATCGAAAGCTCGCCGCGAACAACGACATTCCCATCCCCGAGTGGCGTCTCCCGCCCGCAATTATCGGCGCTGTAGCCTTCTCCGGCGGTCTCTTTTGGTTTGGCTGGTCCGGATACAAAGCTGAGATTCCCTGGATCGTCCCTACCGTGTCCGGGCTCCTCACGGGCTTCGGTCTGCTATGCATCTTCCTCCAGTGCCTCAACTACATCATCGACACCTACCTTGTCTTGTACGTCCCCTGCCTCCATATTACAATCCTCAAGAATAAAAACAAGCACGGCAAACAAACTAACAGAAAAAAAAAATGATAGTGCCGCATCTGCCCTGGCCGCAAACAGCATCTTACGTTCGCTCGCCGGCGCTGGATTTCCCCTCTTCGCACCATACATGGTAAGGAGCAAAGACCCCAACTCTACTCTCCAGAGTATACTAACCGAGACCGCGTTGTCTACAGTTTAAAGCCCTCGGCGTAAATTGGACCGGAACTCTTCTCGGCTGCGTTGCCGCCCTTCTCATGCCTATGCCACTCCTCTTCTATATCTTCGGTCCTCGGATCCGCGCAAAGAGCAAATTCGCCAATGACTACATTACCGTTGCTCAGGCTCACAACGACGAATGACATCCTTTGATCATGTTATTCAACGACACGCATACATATATCTAGCAACCCACCAACCCATCAGTCATTTGTTTTTTTTTTTTTATTTACCTTTCTATCTATTGATGATGATAATAATAATATACGGACGGCACTTGACGACCGGAGGGAAGAAAGAATAGCAAGCTTGGAAGGTAATAGGAAGGAAAACGTTCCTGATTGATTTTCTTTTTTGAATTCATAGACAAGAGATACCCTTTTTTTTTTTTTTGTTTACTCTCTGCAATAGAGTAAGTATTATTATAAATCCTGGTACTTTCTATGCGCACATTGTATGGATAAAAAAAAGGAAGAATATTAGAATTGATTGATATATTTCCTTCCACTATTACCTACTTCAACAACAACAACAAGTAATAGTCAGTAACAGCAACAGTTCAGTTAAATTTCTCCAAATTCACTAAAACAGTGCTCCAGCATGTTCTACCTACAACAATTACAATAATCTTAAAGAAATCAACTATAAACATATACCTGGTAGAAGGCTATTCTAGAACTATAGCAGGTCGTGTTTCTGTAGGATTGGCCATATAACATGTATAATTTCACTATTACCTACTTGGTGGCTAGCTGGGCTGGATATATAGTCATATTAGGTATCTTAAGGCAAGATATCAAGACAGGTCCTATGTGAAGTAGTTGTAATTGTTTCCCGCGTCTCATTACCCTGCTTCACTCCCATACACCTGTAAGATGATAATTAAAATTAGACTTTTCTATGTAGAAGATAAGTGTAAAACCATACTACTGATGCAGACATGTAGCCGTTTATTAAATGCTCGTGTTATTTTCTCCTCTTGTTGCATTACCATGCGCCATTGAATCCGGATATCCATACACCTGTTTATGAAGGAGGAAGAAAAAAAAAAAAAAAAAGAAAAAGAACAAGAAAAGGACAACACCAACATCTCCAGATACTCACAAGAACCTCCAAAGTACACGACACAAGACCCATAGGAATGGATATACACCAACACTATCAATTGTACAAAAAGTGTGTGAGGGAAAAAAAAGGACCTATTTGAACAGGAATGGAAAAAAAAAAAAAAAGATTTCCTGCTGGAAAGAACTCCAACCATCACGAATCAGAGTGAAAATAAAGAAGAGACCGTGGAAATAGAAATGGAAATAAGGAGGAAGGAAAGGCGTCTGTATTAGATGTTGTCTGTCATGTCATCCCATATGCTCAAAGGATTCATTAAACTTTTGGAAGAGTACAATTAGACATCGAGAAAAGGGTATAAAGCGGACCTCGTCGAGAGAAAACGTGAAAAGGAAATTTAGACGTCTCGACCGATGCAGGAAGTCTCGAATTTGGAGGCAAGGTCATCACGAGAAGGTTGCTCGAATATTCGACTAAACGGAGGGTGTGGGTGTGGGTGATGCGTGTTCTCGTCGGAGCCATTTGTCACACTTTCTGCTTTGCGGATCACTTCTTTGAGCGCACGTGTGACAACACCAGCACGAACAACGAGATCACGGAGAGATTGCGTATCAAATGGGAGTTTCTTGGAGCGTGGAAGGTGGGAATCAATAAAAGTGGGGTCATGAGAAAGGCGTTGATGATAGATCATATCCAGAACAGAGTTTGCTTTGGATGAAAGCCCCTTAGGATCTGGACCAGGAGATGTTGTTGGACGAGTGCTTGAAGAGTGTTCTGAGAGTGAAGCCCTCCATGAATCTCCACTGACTCGTTTCCAAGGGTCATTCATGTTAGAAGACTCGCCTTCCGAGTCGTCGAAGCTGAATGTGAGCGAGGACGGGGATCGGGGAGGTGAGTGGTTGTGTTCATCATCATCAAGGGTGGCCAGATCGACGATACCTTCAGCCTCTTTCCAGAGTTCGCTTGATGGGCCACGAACAATGTTTAAAAAGCTTGCTTGATGCCGAAGCCTCTTCAGCTCTTCAACAAGCAAGGTCAACTCTTGAACCTGTCCAAATTGGCCGTGAAGACTGGCCTGGCGCTCCATGATAGCCTCAGGGACTACCATGCTGCGGCGGCTGGTGTTTTTGTTCGAGTTGATGGTTTCACTTATCCCACTTTCGTCCATATCTTCGAATTCGAAGTCACTGTCCCAGTCCTCGCTAACACCCTTGCTACCTAAGCCCCAAGTTCCAAATTTGCCTGAAGTCGGTCGGGCCTCGTTGGAATTTATGGGTTCCCTGGCAACAGGGACACTCTGGCTACGATAGTGCATAGTGCTTGGCGGTTTTCGTCCGGTTGTGCGGCTCCCACGCAACATCCCCGCACCATGCTTCCCATGAACAGTCGATGGCCGACCATCCGGCCCGGAGCCCTCCCGATCATTTCTAGATTGCTCAGACCAGTCAAAGATATTCATCTTTGGGGATGAATCACGGGCTTCGCTCATAATACTGTTTGAATCGTGCTCGACCGATTCCCTCAAGTCGAGGGGGACTTCGGGCCGCTCTGGTGCAATGAGCACATCGCGTCCTGTATACCCGCCACTGTGGCCTTTTAAAGACACTGTTTGGAGTCTCGGGAGTGAAACTCGACTGCTCTTCTCGCCAGGTAATGAAGCAACCAGGCTCTGGCAGTCTTCATCATCACTTAGATCAGAGGGGAATGACACGTGGCTGTCCCCTTCATCGGCATCAGCCAGATTGCGAGTTACGACAGCCAAACCTGGGATGGAAGATGCTCCTGCGTTAGCTTCGCCAGGGTTAAGTGACTGATGGGCGAATGAGCTAGGTGGAAAGATATCCCTTAGTCCCGTGTGTTGCTTATCGGTAATATCTGGGGGGAAGTTATGGTCAAAGATATTTTCAATTCGAGGAGAATGTAGACAATGGCTACTGCTGGTTATATGCGTGCGGATTGAGTCGAATGCGGTGTCAGTTAAGAAGTCCGTTTCGTCCTCATCGCCAGACGTAAAAATTCGAGTATCATCGGATCCTATCACAGTTGACGCCGGATCCGAAGCTGCGAGTGAATGGCGCTTAGGACGGCGACGAAGCGAACCTTGCAATGAAGACAGAGCTGAACTGTCTCGGAACTGGCCTAGTTCGGTCGAGTACTCTCTATAATAGGATGGGACGATCTTTCGCCTTGATCCCATGACGGCTGATGTTAATTCGCCTGGAAGCCCTGGCTGGAAGGTGGCTGGCGGTCGACGGAAAACATTTGGATCCGTAATGTTACGCCTTCCAGATGCTCGAGGTGAGACCCAAATAGCTCCTTCCACATTGGTCAATCCGGGTAGCGGAGTTGAAGCTGCTCGTCTTTTAGGGCCAACAAAGGAGCCATTCCGAAAAACCCTGATATCCAATGGAGCTTCGCTGTTGATTGGAGATTTTGGACATGGTTCATCAGCGTGTGAGTCGTAACTCGTCTCCGGTGAGGCCGTCTCCAATTGTTGTGGAGGGGCCGTGTCAGCGGGTTTGAATGGATCTCGAAATTCAACGGGTGGGATTGTAGCAGGTTCATTTGGCGTGGCTTCCGCAACGGGTTCCTTTCTCGTGATCGAAGTAGCAAGAAGGAGCGCTGGAGCAATATCAAAGTGCGGAAGGATTCGCCGCAGTGTTTGTTCCTTCGGTCTTGTTGTCGTCGAAAATCGACGAGCTGGTCGCTCCGGCAGTGCATCAAGGACAGGGGCTATGTATGGTCGCCAAGTACCGTCGAGGGAGGTTCCAGGCGTGGAAGGTTCTGCTGGGGAATGAGTTGCCAGACTCGGCTCAAAACTTAGACTGTGGGTTGCCTTGTGTCTGAGAGCGCCAGATCGCTGGTAACTCGTCGCGGGTCTGCGCAATACGGTGGGTGATAGAGGAGTGGAGGGATCGTGGGCAAATAAAGAGTTCGCGTTCGAATGTTGTGATTTCGGTCGCTTCACAAGTTTATTCGGTACTTTGCGTTGACTGGACGGCCGAGAAGAGGCTGGACTAGCAGGTTCAGGAAATGAAGGCGTGACGGGTGTTTGAACTGAGCAACGTTTATCGGGCTGGAAGGAAAGACGCCGTATCCAGGAGGAAGATGGTCGTCGGCCATGGGAAGATGCCGGGGGGTTTTCATCGATTCGTAAAGGTAGTGCGGTTAGAGTCTGGCCTCGACGGCGCAGTCGCACATTCGGAAATGACGTTTTCCGGCGAGAATATGCAACCTCCGTCGGATCCGCACAGAGTGTACCATTGTCCCGACTGTCGGAGAAGCCGGTGATAGCTGGGGACTCTGCCTCCGCTGTCAGGAATGACGTTGGTAATCTTGGAACGGGGTGTTTGGGTGAAGGCGCTACATGGGTGTCCGGTGAAGGTGCGCGACGGTCACGAAACGGAATGGTCGATCCTGGGGATTGCGCTAGGCGCGAGGGGGCACGATCGACGCGACCGAGAGCAAAGCCAGTGGCAGCAATGCCGACGGTGCTAATCGCACACAGCTGATTTCAAATTAGCTGGCCCCAAGTACAAGAGTGGGAGTAGTTATTTGGGGGGGGGGGGGAGGGGGTGTTCGCCAGCTGAGCCAGCAAGCGCAACAGCGGCTGTTATGTTGGGGGCGGGGAACAAAGCACGAGCCTAACAATCATCGAGAGAAGAACGAGGGAAGCTCACCGTTGATACATGTTCCATTCTCAGAGAAAGCCGAGAACAGTGTCCAGTATCTCGAGGGTTAGATTAGGAACATTGATAAATACATGTACGTAGCAATTCACATCCCATCTGCATTATCATGCACGAGGAGGCTTAGGTGGCTGGGAACATCAGGGAAGAAAAAGGAATATATCCGAAAAAGCGACAGGCGGTATTATTTGCTGACGAAAAACAACCCAACCAGTGGTGATTAAGAGAAAGAAGCCACTGGATGCGTAATAATAGTGTATCAGTCTGAGGTTCGAGGAGGGTAGAATTGACGTGTTTGGGAGTGAGGGGAAACGGTCCAACGTGGTGGCAGGTGGAAGATTTAGAGACTAGAGCGAGGCGAAAGGAATGGAGGAAGGATGAAAAAGAATGTCAGGTATGAGGAAAAGAATGGGGGGGGGGGAGAGAGGGAGAAGATGAAGATGAAGAGAGTTGAGAGGAGATGCGGGTTGGAAAGAGAAATCCCTCCTAATTTGGGGAGTGTTATTATTTATTGGAGAGAGAGAGAGAGAGAGAGAAGTAAGAGTGTGAGAGTAGAGATACAGAAAGAAAAAGGAAAGGAAGTCAGTGCTCAGGGCGCTCGCTGACAAGAAGAAGAGGAAGAGAAACACAACAATAACTTCGATCAATAATAACACAGCTGGTTGGCTTCTTGTGTTTTTTTTTTTTTTCTTTCCCCCCAAGTTTCTGCTATAAAAGATGAACCTCCTTTAGCATCGAATCTAGTTGCTTTTAGTCCCCTAGGATTGCTAGGATTAGGAATGGAGCATGCTAGGAGTTCCCACCTCAAGGACCCCATATTATTCTTGTCCTTTCTACTTATAACTACTATCTACAACCTTCGTTTGAACCTTGGTAAACCTCAGAAACTAACTATAAGCAACCCTTACCCTATCAAGGCCCAGTTCAACTCAGCAGCATTTCTTGTGACAGATGACGAGCCCAATTGACTGGGAATCCTTGACTGATTCATAGGTCTTTATTTTCCGAGGAACAGCAGCTTGTTGACTTTCTGCAGAGACCAAATACGAAAGGGGGACGGACGGCTAAGAATTAATGTACTCTCCAGAGTAGATTTACATAGGAGTACATAGTACGTCAACATCACCATGTAAATTATGGAGTAAATAAACAATTAAACCATAACAATCAGAATCGTTAATAACAACAATAACAACACTAAGATCGGGGTCTGGGTCAGACTAACTAACATCCACTAAATTAACTAATTTGCCTGGGGATGATTTGTGATTCCTCGTTTCTTACACAGAGGCAGCTGCAGGTAGGAGGGGTATATGGAACATTAGCGCCCACGATCCCACTGCTGGAGATGGGAATCATGAAACTAGGGATTCCTTGTTCAAGGTGAAAAAAAAAAGGTTCAGCTGCTCCTTCGTGATGTCCCTTACTGTCTTATTGGTCCAGGTCTTCTTTGTTTTTGCTTTGGAACCTTGAAGACAAGAATAGATTCGATTCTATCTCAGTGAAGGTTCTTTTTTTTTTTTTTTTTTTTTTCGATTTCCCGAATGATGGTGCCAGGTGAACTTGTCCTACAGAGTAGATAACCTCAACAGAAGCCAATATTCGTCACTTTCGTCATTATCATTCTTATTCCCGCTACAAACGTGCTTAACCAGACCGAGAGCGGAGTATTCCGAAGCAAGTTTAATGACTGGACATTCCTTATCTCCACTTCCCTCGATCTCGCTTCCCACTTGGCTGGCTGAAAGTTTGAAACCAGGAAAAGTCCAGCCTAGCCGAGGGTCAGCGAGATCGAGCATGGGACGATCATATCTTGGATCAGGTTCTGTGGTTGTGGTATCGTGTGTCCACAGGTTCCCTTAGCTAGGTAAGGTACGGTAGAGGTTCCAAACTTCGCCATGCTTCCGGCTTCCCTCTCGAATCTAGTGAGGAAGAAGGGGGAAATAGTTAGTGAAGCCTCTTTATTAACGGTTTTTATTAACATCCCCACTGACCGCCCCCTTTCGAGGACGAGGCTACTCACTTCTTTCGTTACTTACTTGCAGAAGGTTTTGTGCCGTGCTATGCTATCCCCACCAGCGTAAGCCTCGATCACCAAGAGAGAGGTACTTACTTACTGCTAAGAATCACAAAAACACGGACATTGAAACCAGGGGGGAAAAAGAAAAGAAAGAACTAGCTGATTGTCACGAGCTTGACCAGTGTCATCACCTTCTTTCTCATGTATCAAATGTGAGAACAACGGTGTTGGTTGCTCTGTGCTGCAAGCTTCGGCAGTACAGAGGGTAGATCGGATTGATGGATCTATTTTTCTCTTGTGTGGGAACGTGGCCTGCGAGATAATATCTCCGATTCCTGTCCCCAGGGAGGCATTATTCTCTAGGTATCATCTTGGATCCTCAGTCATAATAATAACTACCGTAATAATAATAGTACTACTGCGACTACCAGCTCCCCATAATATCATCATTATAGTTCCATCGCTTTCGATGCCAATTGACCCCAAGACTTAGCTTGGCAATTCTGAATTACTTGTAATTTGTGTGGGCTGTTCTTCAGGCAGGGTTCATATGGCCAGTGTTTAGGGGGTATTCGCCTATCAAAGAGAATCAATCCATCCTCATCTCCTCGACCTTTGCAAGTCACAGCCTCGCAGGGCAAGCAAGCCCTTTGAATGACTATTATTGGCTGAGTCCAGGCTGCTCTTGTTGAGTTCCATTTTACTTCTGTCAGATCCCTTTCGTGTTTCACCTGAATTCCTTTCTCGCATCTCCCTTGCTGGAGTACTGTGCCGTATTATTTCGGCGTTTCTGCAAACCTTTTTCTTAGGAGAAGCTTCACGTCAACCTCCTCCCTTGCTTCTAGGTCCATCCTCTTAAAAAAAAAAAAAAAAAAAAGAAATCCTCGACGGGGTGTGTAGATTACGAATTAATCTCCCACCCCTGAAACATAATGATGCTGGAGCCCCTTGTCGCCATACGATCGATCATCGTCGTTACACCGTAAGCTGGGATAGAGCTCTCCAGGGCCAGATCCTAGCTCCCCCCTCTCTGTCTATCGCCCTTGACAACGAGCACCTTAGGATGCTCCTTCGCCGCTAGGCTTCTTGTTTAGCGAAGCTAGTCCAGGGTCGCACGGTCTGAGGAACAGCTGTCCTAGCGCTGATCAATAATAGCCTGATCCTTACAATAGCACCCACTCCAAGTCTTGCGTGCAGGCTTTTCTTTTTCCAGGCACAACAGATAGCCTTGATGGAACAATGGCTTTGGGCAATTGTAAGCGGCTGGATGTGATGTGATAGGATGTGATGATTGGCGCTTCGGTCCCGAACAGCTATTGTGACGAGTAAAGAACTAGCAACGACTAAGTTCGCATGCGCTGTTAATCTACAGAGTGCGAATCCTTTCTTGACCTTTGCTGAACAAGGAACGATAATGAAACTTGGGGCCCGTCTTGAATTTGAAATACTTTTCCTTCCATCCTAAATGTCCTGGTAGTAAATTATAACACCGATAGGCGGACAGAAACGGCAGAATAACCGGCTGATAAGCGAGTATTCAAGATCGAAAGAATAAGAATAGAAATTCAGAAAAAAAAAAAAAAAAAGAGAAACAGGAATTGTGTCAAATTACTTGAGATCGAAATGTCGGAATTACAATGTAGCTAAAAACAGACTGTTTGATATATATCAGATCAAGACAATAACGGATGGTTACTGGGAAATCCATATCGAATTTCTTTCCACAGAGATGTAGAGCAGCCGTACCGCCCCAAAGACGACTGTCGACTCCACAAACCTACCACTCCAAAGCTTTGCTTTGCGCCCAAGACAATCTAGGAGAGGAGCTTGAGCTACTTTGTCAGGTTGTAATTAGGACAAGGTCCTAAAGCTTTCATTTTTGTCCCTATTTTTTTTCGGGGGATAAACAGGATATTACTATTCGCACTGGTAGTTTGCGAAATTTCCTCCACGTCAAATTCAAGTGCCGGGACAACTGGGAAAAATGGAGGCGGAACTCCAAGCTAAGATCCCCGGTCTCGACCGTGTGGTTTCTGAATATTCAGTGGTAAGGATCTAAAAAATCACCATGGAACACTGTTACCTGATACATAGCTGATGAAAATACAGGGCTATTTGACTCATGCCTCCAAGGCTTATGTTGAAGATGCAAATGCCCCATCGCCGCTGGCAGAAGCCGCTGACATGGTGACGGAATTGCTCGTCTCTGCCTCTGGGGACTTCTCAGCCAAGAACGAAGAGGCTATCCGAAAACTTGTCGAGAAGTTCATCTCAACGCTGAGTGCTTCTGATGTTGTTGATATGGAGCGCCGACAAATGCCCGGCGCTGCAAAGAAGCTCGACCAGGCCATCCATGTTGGTTCTCAGCGCAACATGTCCTCAACCCTGGGCTTGGCGGGTGGAAACGTTGATCTGGAATCTGCCAACACCAGGAAGGTTGAGTCCCGCGTGGACCGCAAGAAGCTGGAGAAGGCGGAGCGGAAGATTCGCGCCAAGCAGGAGAAGAAACAAATGAAGACTGTGAATTATGAGGCTTCCCGTCTCCTCAACGAGTCTGATGCCACTATGTCCTACGAAGAGTTCTACATGGCTGTCAATCCTCTGCAATTGGGCTCGGACTCTCAGTCGAAGAGTAAGGATATCAAAATTGATAGCATTGATATCTCCGTTAGCGGCCACCGTATCTTGACCGATGCTGCTCTTACTCTTGCCTATGGTCGTCGCTACGGTCTCGTGGGTCAGAACGGTATTGGTAAGAGTACGCTGCTTCGTGCTTTGAGTCGCAGAGAAGTCGCAATTCCTAGTCATATTTCGATTCTCCACGTTGAGCAGGAGGTGAGTTCCTAGCGCAATTCCCTGACGTATTTAGCTCGGGTGTTTTATGCTGACTGACCTTGGGTAGATTATGGGTGATGATACTCCCGCCCTTCAGGCTGTGTTGGACGCCGATGTGTGGCGCAAGCGTCTTCTTGCAGAGCAAGAGGTTGGTTGTTCTCATCTGATATTGATTCAAATCGCAGTGTGCTAATATATCTATGCAGAAAATTTCCAAGCAGTTAGCAGCTATTGAAGCAGAGAGATCCTCAATGGCAGACACCTCCAAGGACGCCGCTAGGCTAGATCACGAGCGGGAGGGTCTCGATATTACCTTGAACGATATTCACGCGAAGCTAGCAGAGATGGAATCCGACAAAGCCGAGTCTCGAGCAGCCAGTATCCTGGCTGGTCTGGGTTTCTCTGCGGAGAGGCAACAATATGCCACGAAGACGTTCTCTGGTGGTTGGCGTATGCGTTTGGCCTTGGCCCGAGCTCTTTTCTGCGAGCCTGATTTACTTCTTCTCGACGGTAAGATTTCTGTTGCTTCATATACAAACGTGGTCCTAACGTGATGTAGAACCTTCCAACATGTTGGACGTGCCGTCTATCACTTTCTTGGCAAACTATTTACAAGGATACCCCAGCACAGTTCTCGTGGTCTCTCACGACAGAGCGTTCTTGAACGAGGTTGCAACTGATATTGTTCATCAGCACTCTGAGCGCCTAGACTACTACAAGGGAGCCAACTTCGGTGAGTCTTTTTTTTTTGGGGGGGGGGGGAGCATTATCTTCTGAGGTGACGAGAACTAATTTCATCGTTTAGAGTCCTTCTATGCAACCAAGGAGGAGCGGAAGAAACAAGCTAAGCGTGAATACGAGAAACAAATGGCAGAAAGGGCACACCTTCAAGGTTCGTACTTTCAATACAGGCCTGATATACGCATCTCTATTACACATAAGCTAACTGACGATTAGCGTTCATTGATAAATTCCGTTACAATGCTGCCAAGTCATCCGAAGCGCAATCAAGAATCAAGAAGCTGGAGAGGATGCCTGTATTGGAAGCCCCAGAGAGCGACTATGTCGTGCACTTCAAATTCCCAGACGTCGAGAAACTTTCTCCCCCAATCGTGCAAATGACGGACATTTGCTTCGGCTATACTCCAGAAAGGCCTCTTCTGAAGAATGTTGACCTTGATGTTCAGCTTGACTCCCGTATCGGTATCGTCGGACCTAACGGTGCTGGTAAGACAACTGTACTGAAGTTGTTGACTGGCCAACTCGAGCCTACCTCCGGTCTTCTCTCGCAGCATGCTAGACTACGCATTGGATACTTTGCCCAGCACCACGTCGATGCTCTGGATCTGACCACCAGCGCTGTGAGCTTCATGGCGAAGACTTACCCTGGAAAGACAGATGAAGAATACCGTCGACACCTAGGAGCGTATGTTTAAACCTTCCTTATACACGAACATCAACTTTTAAAAGCTAACGAACGTTCAACAGATTCGGTATCACCGGCATGACTGGTCTCCAACGCATGGAGCTACTTTCCGGAGGTCAAAAGTCTCGTGTCGCTTTTGCCTGTCTGTCATTGACAAACCCTCACATTCTTGTTCTCGACGAACCTTCTAACCACCTGGATATCGAGGGTATGGATGCGCTCTCGGACGCGTTGCAGAGGTTCGAAGGCGGTGTTGTGATGGTCTCCCACGACGTGACGATGCTGCAGAATGTCTGCACTAGTCTGTGGGTTTGCGACAAGGGAACGGTCCAGAAATTCGATGGTACTGTTAACGCCTACAAGAAGAAGATTACCGCACAGGCGAACGAGGCTGGTGTCGCAGCTGCTCATTAAAGCGAATTACCTAGAATGTTACAAGTCTAGTTTAGATGAAGCTTACAATCAATCAATCAATAACCTCATCTACTTCTACCCTTTTTCTAGGTTGCTGCCCAGTAGAATTCCTATTTTAACCATAAGTGAAGATGGAGAAAAGTCATATAATCAATCTATGCAAGAGAGCAGGGCGAGAAATGCGGGAGTGGGTCCCGTGCGCTCCAGCTTCGTTTCTACCCCATACGGCGATCCGGAGTTACGACTTCCCCCCCCGTCGAACCTCTTCCAACGGTTGGTGCAAGATCAAACGACAAAAGACACAAAAGGCCAGATCGATGAAGACCATACACCCGATGCCATGAATGCCAGCGACGAAACGGGCCTGTCCCCCAACGCTCCGCTCCTGACTTCCGAGACTTCTGCGGCGCTCCGCACCTCCGACGATGTTGACGAAACGGACGATGAACGAGTCCCTAAGCTGGGCTCGGGATCCTCGAGTGGCTGGTTTATCTGGTCTTTAACTTTCTCTGCTGGTATAAGTGGACTTTTATTTGGCTATGAGTATGGACATACTCCTCGTTGTTGGATAAGACTCAAATTGAAATAAGCTAACACGGCAGAAAAACTACTTTTACAGCACAGGTGTCATTTCCTCTACCCTCGTATCGATAGGTTCGGATCTGTCCAATCGCCCTCTCACGACTCTAGATAAAAGCTTGGTTACGTCCTGTACGAGTCTGTTCGCGCTTATTGCGAGTCCCCTCGCGGGGATTTTGGCAGACAAGCTTGGTCGGAGGAGGGTTATTGTGGTTGCAGATGTTCTCTTTACGCTGGGTGCGTTGATACAGGCCGTTACGAGCGTGGTATGGGGTATGGTTGTTGGGAGGAGTGTTGTTGGTTTGGCTGTTGGCAGCGCTAGCTTGGTTACTCCACTGCAAGTTGAATTCTGCTCGGATAGTCATCGAAGCCATAGCTGACCAACTGTTGCAGATATATATCAGAGCTGGCTCCATCTCACGCAAGAGGAAGACTGGTTACTATATTGAGTCTGTTTACCACCGGGGGCCAGGTGATAGCCTATATTGTTGGTTGGCTCTTTTCATCCGTCAATGGAGGATGGCGCTGGATGGTGGGTCTTGGAATGCTCCCAGCGGTTTTCCAGCTCGTTATTGCGGTTGCTTTGCCTGAGACACCCCGTTGGTTGGTGCAAGCAGGTCTCGAGACCAAAGCTATGAATGTCCTTTTGAAGGTTCACCGCGAGGACCCCGATAGCGAGCAGATTGCAAAGCAAATCATGCGCGACATCAGGCAGGAAGTGGCTGAGGAAGATAGAGAAATGAATCCACAGGATGACGTCTCCTCTCGGCCCGGGCTGCGATGGTTTGGCAATGTCAAGCGCCGAGCACATGATCTCTTCGGGATTGGAGGTAATCGAAGGGCCTTGACAATAGCCATGATGTTGCAGGGGTTGCAGCAACTCTGTGGCTTCAACAGTCTAATGTATTTCTCTGCGACCATCTTCTCACTTCTTTCCTTTTCTTCGCCAACCCTTACCTCATTATCAGTAGCCATGACGAATTTTGTCTTCACGCTACTTGCCTTTGTCTATATCGATAAAATCGGGCGACGTCGAATCCTTCTTTACTCAATTCCTGTCATGGTCGTTTCTCTCTTTGTTTGTGCCGGGACATTCTCCTCCGTGGAATTACCTAAAATTTCACCCGAACCTGAGTCTCGTGGCAATGGCAACATCGCCGAGAACTCTTTCCTCGCTCTCATCATCCTTCTATGTCTTACGATCTACACTGGAGCCTACGCCTTTGGTTTAGGAAACGTCCCTTGGCAACAATCGGAGCTTTTCCCTCTAAACGTGCGTTCTCTAGGCTCCGCGCTTGCCACTGCAACAAACTGGGGCTCCAATTTCATCATCGGACTCACTTTCCTGCCCATGATGGATTGGCTGTCCCCGGGATTGGTATTTGCGCTTTATGGAGTGGTTTGTGTGGTTGGATGGTTTGGCGTTTGGACTATCTATCCTGAAATGAGTGGACTTGATCTAGAAGAGGTGAAAGGTCTTCTTGCAGGTGGGTGGGGGGTGAGAGAAAGCCTAGCGAGGGGCCGTAGTCACACTCTTAGAACTGAAGACTGATATATGTATATATATGTATATATACCCTAACATCGTAGATCGAATTTTCCTACTTGAGTATTTTTCTCTTTCTTTTGTTCCCCCCTCAATCTTATGAAGCTTAATAGTCAATCCGCCCTTACTGGCCAGGATGAACACAAACACAAATACGCTCTTACTTCCGTGGTACTCAAACACACCACTGCCCCTGTTTCCTGGCAGCCATAGTAGTAAGGGATATTGACATTCTTTGCTGTTCTAGGTAGTGGGTTTTTCATGTGCTCTATGGGTAAGCAGCTCGCTGATCTGGGGAAGAGAACCAATCATTCCATTCACTATTCAAGACAAGACAAGGCAAGACAAGACAACGTTGATGGAGCTTGAAGGAGCTGACTTGGTTGGGTTTGGAGTGATACTTGTTGATTCCTTAAAGTATAATAAAAGGGCATTCAAATGTGATGCGATACATCAAGGAAGCCCAATTTATCCATTATGGTAACGTATAGAAGCTGCTAAGAAAAAAAAGATGGCGAAAGAGAAAGAGGGGCAGAAAAAAAAAAAAAAAAAAAAAAAGAAAGAGGGAATGATGAAATAAAAAGAAGAATAAATACAACACAGAGAGAGCAAAGTTTTTTTTTCTACTCCTCAATGTCTTTTACCTTCTCCCATTGTCCCTTTAGGTTCTCCTTCCATAGGCTGACTTTGTTGTCTCCTCCGCTCACGGCAAGAATGTTTCCGCTAGGGCTCCAGCTAACCCTCCATAGAACGGTATCGAACTCCAGCACTTGGCTAGTCCACTGGTCAGGGTTAGAGGCTTCAGCTGTCCAAACCCGGACGGTCTTGTCTTGCGAGGCAGAAGCGATGTAGGACTTGGAAAGAATGCTAGGGGACCAAGCGACATCTCGGACCCAGTCAGAGTGTCCTTCCAATGTCTGTGTAAGGTTGTACGTCTTTGTTTCAGGGCTGGAGCGTGGTAAATGGGTTAGTATGGCGTTTTTTTAATACTTTGAACCTAGCGAATCACGAATTACACCCGAACATACCTGTAATCCCAAATCTTGAGTAGGTTGTCGCTGCCACCGGTAACAAACCTCCGCTGCTGAGCAGGGCCGGGGTTCGAGCTAATCAAACTACCCGGTGCCGCAGCAGGGGCCCAGCTGATGGAGTTGACACCCATGCCGTGCGCATGGAAGATTTGATGGGTCCAGCTGTTGTCGCGGAACTCGAGAACACTGACGTGGCCGTCAGAGGAAGCACAGGCAAGCAGACACCCTGTTTCATGGGGAGCCCAAGAGACCATGTTCACAGAGGCGGTGTGGAGGGAAAAATCGAAGACTTTTGTCCATGCGCCGCTGCCGACAGGCGCAGTGGAGTTTTGGTGTTGTTCGCGCCAGATGAGAACTTTGCCATCGTAGGATGAGGAGGCCAGGATAGTTCCGAACTTGGGGTGGGCCTGCGAGTGATGATGAGTGTTAGATAGTCAGCCTGCTTGTGCAGAGTTGAAAGGGGCGTGGTAAATTATCAACTCTGCGGTGTTTGTCGAGGTGCCCGCGGGAGGGTTGGTAGTTATGGACGTACCCATTCGACACACCATACGGCGCCTTCGTGGCTGTGAGAGTCAACGTTAGTACTCGGCCATTTTAAAAGGGGAAAAGAAGCAACTAGAGCATACCCCTTCAGAGTCTCGACTAGCTTATGTGCCTCGCCTTCAATCTCAAAGATCTTTATTGTTTTGTCGGACGAGCATGTGGCCAGTCGCCGGCCATAATAATCCAGGCCAGCATCGTGCTAGAGAGTAATAGTCAGATATGATTAATAGAGATAGAAAGAGGGAGGTCAAGTCCTAACTTACAATCATATCATCGTGTCCAGAATTCGAAATCACTTGAGCAGCGGCCTAGCAACCGCGATTTGGGGGGGGGGGGGGGGCAAGTCAATTCACGAACCAACACCGGTTTTTCGAGGATGGGAAGGGATTGAGGGTAGAAACGCACCATGATGGGCTACTCGTAGCTCAAAAGCAATAAAAAGAGGTGGGATATGAGGTAGATAGTATGCAGGAACGATGGTTGCTGACACCAAGACCGGAGGAGAATAGCTAGAACACACAGCAAAACACCGCCAGCTGGTCCGTTTCGCTGTGGGAGAACCACTGGCCGATCTTATCTTATCGCCTGCTGACTCATCGCGCTTCGGCACGTGAGTCGGACCTCGGTAGCTTCTGGACCGTTTCCTGCTGTTGCCCCACGACTTCTCCCTCCCTTTCCCTCTCTTCCTGATATCCCAGAGCCTGTTCGTGGTATTGCTTTGCTCAGCCCTTATCTTCTTCTTGTTTATATTACTGCCTACATACATATCTATGCGGCTTGTTGTGATTTCCACAAGGACTTCCATCTGACTCGAACTGATCTGACCTGCCTGGTAAACTACTTACTATCCTACAACTACGAAATCGCCTTTCATCGGCAACCATGAGTGATGCTCTGTGTGGCCCATCCAATGCTCTGCAGAATTTTCAGAAGCATGCCTCTGTCGATCGAACCCTTCAGCAGGATAGATTAACCTCACGGCAGTCTCCTTCTCAGGTAAGTGTTCTATAACGTTCTCTTCACTAGAGATACCCTCACTAATGCTAACATCGCATTTGCAGCGTTTCCGGTCCCCGCATTACAGCGAAGGAATTCTTGATCCTGAGTTTGCTGCTTTCGAGTCGAATAATCTGGTGGGCACGCCGCTCCCAAACGTACAGCATGCTGCCCATTTTCCCGCCCCCGTTCCACACATGCAAATGCCGATGGCCCACCCCGCGGAGTCTGTAAACTGGGCAAATGACTTCCAAAAGTTACAGATCTCGGGACCATCGCACCCTGTCCACCAGCAACCCGCACCCTCTATGGCTCCGATGTTAGCAGCTTCACAGCAAGGATGGCATAATGAGTTTTTGAGACAACAACAACACACGCCTCTTCAGCAACCTCAGCCTTATGTCCAAGGGATTCAATCGTCATTTGCTTCTAGTTATGCCATGCGTGGAACTCAGTTCACACCTACACAGGAGACAAAACCTGACCAAGCGCCAGCTATGGAAGCTTTTGATGAATCAGCATTCGAAGCTGCGTTTGAACAAGCCAAAGCGGATATGGCATCACAAGAGCTTGATGCCATACATATTGAAGCACAAGCCAATGTTCTAGAACCCAAGGTAGATAGCAAAGATCTTAAGCAAGAGGTCGCTGTTCAGCCAGAACCACAAGAAACGATTCGAATTGGGTCGGACACCATCCCCCAGAGCAACAAACACGATCCCCAATCAGCAGCAAACGATGCAGACGAACTAGCGCGGACTGCAGGGCAGTTGCTGAACAGTGTCAGCCATGACACAAGCCAAAAATTCCGAGAGAGCAATTTCCTGGCCCTAATGCGACGCATTCGAGACCGAGAGGTGCATGTCGAAGGAGATGAATTTCGCGAAGTCAGTACCAGTCCGTGATTATCTCAACATTCGGCTGGCGTGACCCGCACGCGCTGGTATAATTTGATCTATTCACATTGGTCCTTGTTTCAGCTAATCAGGTTTCAGGCCCCGCAGAGTCTACACCCCGGTGGCAAGTACTATCCGGAAGGGAGACCACGGCAACAGGAGGAAGAAAAACAATCGTGGATGCCGACAAGCCAGAACGACTATGTTCATGTGACGTCCAGCGAAAACAGTAAGTCTGGCACAGCGATGTCGTCCACTCTACGCGCAGGGTAAAACACCGTTCGGCGACCTGATTAGTGGACCACGACAACTAGATATTACCTCTCAAGGCACTCTGTCCCACGAAAACACCCACACAACCAGCGCCATGGGTGACACGATTTCAAAAGACACGATCAACGCAGCCTCGACTGGCGATTCCGGGATGATGGACGACGAGACTCTTTATGCAGCTTGGAACTTTGGTGATCGGTGAGCTTAAATGAGGGTTTATGGTTATACCCATTAGTTGTCTTAAGCCAGCATTGTTTACCTATTGGATTAGAGCCACTTAGGTTGTATTTGCAGAGGATAGACTATTCCTGATGTCATATTTTATATATGAATCAAAACTTCATCTTTCCATCAATCAAGCTTGATTCATCCAGCTTTGTAAAGTTGGATTTTTTTTGGCTTCCTTTGGCCAATTTTTTCTCAACAAGTATTCTGGAATAAACTTTTATTGAAACAGTTCAATTTTCCTATTGATGGAGAAGAACAATAATATCATCTCAATAAGCAGAATCTGATGCCAAGTCCTTATGCTATTATTGTTGCCAGCCCTCAGTTTATTGACAAGTTCGTGTATAACTATATCATATCACTCCCTATCCTCCACCAACTTATTCCACCCTATCTATCCTCATAACTTTTATTCCAACTCCCCATATCAAATACTAACCCATATCAATATCAATACCATGCACCCCCCAGTGACAAGCAACTTCACCTACAACGCCAAACCCCCTACATCAAACCACGTCGACGGCACCACTCCTTGCTCTAGCAGTACATAATACAAATCCTACCAACGCTCATACTACACGCTCTCCACCTCCACCTCCACCTCCACCCTACAAATACGCATTCACTCTCCCCTGCTACGAGTTCAACGAAGACGACGGAACCGAAGACTTCGACAACGACAACGACCCCCCAGCAACAACAACAACAACAACAACAACAACAACAATAACAACGCAAAACAGCATCAAAATCAACCTGAAAACATCAAATCCAGATACGCGGCACAGGGAACAAAATCTTCATTCCCTCGCATCAAAGCCAGAACCAGAGGGGCCAAAAATCGGACTTGAATGCTAATCGAGCCATGTCTGTGCCGATGACATATCTACTACTACTACTACTACTACTACTACTACTACAGCAGCAGCAGCAAGAGCAGCAAGAGCAGCACCAAACAAAGCTCGCAAATCTAACGGCGTCAGTTCTTACGGCGTTGCAGCGGAGTGGCGCTCTAGGGTCTTCGTCTTCGTCTGGACATGTAGTTGTGGATAGGAAAGGACTGGCTCAGTCTGTATGCTTATTTTGTGTATTGGTTATACTACCGGTTTGTTTGTTCTCGGTGACTGGGTTGGTTTGGTAGGAGGAGGAGCCTTAAATCCAGAGAGGTTAGGGAGAAGTTGATAAAAATCCTAGATCCTATTTTCTGCATCCTTGGTATACAGGATGATGGAACAGAATAAACAAGTCCAGTAAAGTGATCTATCTATCTCTACCTGCACTTGTCTAACCTCCAGCAAAAAATTTCCGACTCTGCACGCCCTTGCTTTATGTATAATCCGCATACAACACTGCCCAGGTGGGTAATTAGAAGAATGAAATAGCAATGGGAAGGTAAAAGAGAAAGAAAATAAATGATAATAAAGCCGCCTATCTGTCGGAGACTAGCGTGCATATTCGTAATGTAAACAAAGGCCAAGCAAAAGAATAAAGTAAGGATTCGAGACAGAGTTGAAGAAAGCAAAATAAATAAATAAATAAATAAAACATAGTGTAAAACGTACAGCTGAACTGACGTAGAATAAAGATAGTAAGAGAAGAAGAATGTTAAATCAAATACGCCAGTCTGACTGTGAAAGGTTCATTAGATATCATGGCCGAGCTTAAAAGTACATGGACTAAATTCCAAAAGACGGCGCGGATCAGGGCTGCTTTGCATAAACGGTCAAGCTTCGATCAAACCGGGGTAGCATGATGCTTGTCTAGGGGTTGATCCGGATAGACGCAGGTAGGCTGTGCTGATAGAATCAGGACTACAGCAGTCTGTCTAGCCTTGGCCCTCGTATAAGAAATGGATGGAGGTTTGAGCGTCTGCACTTGGGGATTTCTCTACCTATCCTACCCGACTACGCGCCCGACAGGTATATCATGACGGTGTAGATCCCGAGACCATTCAGGAGCGACCTTGTCTCGCTCAAAAAGAAGTCCACAGTTGTGACAGAGTGTCTGCCAACCGGTTAGTCGACATGATATTGACAACTTCTCCAGAAAATTGCTTACCCTTGGACCAGCTGGTCCGTCTCGTACAGCCCAGACCGCAGAACCCCAAACCATACAGTTACTGCATCGCCAATTTTGTCGTTCCCTTGAAAAGACATCGGGTCAGTAATCAAGAAGAGGGGAGAAGAGCCAACCCAACAAACCATTCAGATAGTGTGCCTCCACCACCGCCATATCCAGCGCCCGATCCGGTGTCAGGAGTCCCTCGTCCACCAGGTGTACCTCCCCTTCCTAACGGACTGAGACTGCGGAAACGCCTCTTCCTCTTATTCCTTTCGCCTCGTCCCAGCGGGGTCTCACTATCGATATCGAAATACCCACTACCCTGCCGCGAGATTTCAGGTGTAATGCCAGTTGTTGAAGAAAATCGAGCGGTTTCTCGGCGTAGGCGCCTAATCTGTCGTTCGCGATCTCCTTCTCGCTTCTCAATTTCCTCCTTCGAGAGAGTTTCCACTTTTGGCTCCCATTCATCACCGAGGCCTTCGGGATCATATCGCCACCCCGCTTCGGCTCCATTTGCCGCTTGATTATCAATCTCGTTTCCATAACCACCAAGACCGCTGATGAGGCCTCCACTTTCGCAGACCTCCTTTTTCAACTTTAGAACGGCTTCGTAGATTCCATGTGCGATTGCTCCAACCCATTCTCCCGCCAGTCCAAGATCTGCGCAGGTAACCTTGGCAAATTCCTCTGCCATTCCTGGGGGATGCAGGAGAGACCATTCGAATTTATCCGTGTAAAGTTTGTTCTGCAGGTTGATATTCAAGTTGATCATACATCTATATGCATCATCTGGATTCAGGATGCTGTCATTCACCAATGGCTCTTTGGTCGTGGTCAGCTGGTTGGCCCTGCTATCAGGTGTCGCAGCATGGGTGGGCACCGGAGTTGCAGACACAGATACGTCTCGCGAGAGGCCTGCTTGCGAAAGAGCCTGTTTTGGCTGTGCGCTTTGGAAGAGAGGATGTAGTGCGACCCCAGCATATTCCTCCAGTTGCTGGCGAATTTGCGTGCTGATCGTCGTGGTCATTGCCTGCGGGTTAGGCAAGTCCATATCCCGAACAAATCCAATGGCAAATTCTTCAGGAGTCGCAAGAGCCTCGTGAAGATTCCACATAAACGTATCCTTGATCCTAAAAGCAGGAAGTGGGTCTGGTCTCCTGTACGCAGGCAGTGTAGGATTAATCGCAGGGTCAAGCACATTTCGCGGCAGAGGAAACGGTTCTAGGGGTTGATGCGCCGGCACTTCAAGATCAATTCGAATGGGTATAAGGGTAAGGGGGAGTTGCGCTTGGATTTGCAATTGGTCGGCACAGCTAGAAAGAAGGAAGGTCGAGGTCAGCAACCCAAAAACCCACTGGGATGTCAAAATGAGAAAGAAGAAAAAAAATAAACAAATAAACAAAATAAAACATACGCAGGCCGTAGCATTCTCTTGATCATCCAGTCTCGAAAAACTCCTTGGACTTCAACAGGGGCGTGTATTTCCTTCCCCAATTTTTCAGCCAGCGCCACCTTATCAAAGGAAGACTCCTCTCGTCGAAGACTCCTCAGACCAGTAGGCCGCCGGGGTCCCTCACTATCATCAAAATCATCGTCATCAAAGCCATCCTCCGCGTAATTTACAGCAGCGGTTCCTCGTTTCGTGGTCCGTGATGTCGGACCAACTTGGCTCTGGGGAATCACAGGCGTGAAGAGCGCGTTGCCATACTGGCGCACTCGTGGGGGGTAAGATGTGATATAACCTCTGAGAGGGGACATGTTGGCCGCTTAGGTGGACAGTAACATGCCCCTTTCAGACAGTGCCTGGTTGCGGTGTTTTGAGCTGCAATTTGCGAATAAAATAAAATAGCGTTCGTGAATCCAACCGAGCAAGGATGGGCCAGGGGAGGGGAAAGCGACAGAAGCTATTTTTTTTTTTTTTTCAAGAATGAAATGCCTAGATCGCGGGTAGAAGTAGATGCGCGAGACGAATTCGCCTCCTGCGAGTAGGGTAGACCTTGAATGTAACTTGCTCCCGTACGGTGAATAGTAGCGATGCTGCTCGAGCTCCTCCAACGGTGATCGCGCTCGAGCTCCGCGTTTTGCCAAAGGGCTTTCTTCCACGCTAGCCTCATTCCAGAGAAATATCACGTGATTGCAACTGATGTCGGATTTATGATGTTCCTGTATGGTTAGGTAATCAATTCTGAAATTCGGTACCTCCTCTTTCCTATTCGGGCCTGGACTGATGCTATTCCCAGTGCTTCCAAGTAGGATTGTCCTTCGTCCATTCCTTCACTTTTACTTTCTTATCTTGCGGATATCCACTGGTCCGGGCTGTTAGTAACCTATCATGTCACTATCCAATAGAAGATACGGCTTCTCCAACACCAAATGTCCCTTTTCTTATTGTCCTCTTCTGAACTACTCTTACATAAAAGAGAGAGAACGTCCGTTTATGAAACGAGGCAATACCTAGGGAGAAACAGACCACAGAGTACTAGGAAGCCAAGAGAAAGACAAGACTGAGTCAATATTTTTGATATAAGGGCTAGCAATCGATCAATATCAAGCGCGGTAGAACGTGCTATAAAAGCCGTTAACCTGACGGGGGTAAATACAAAAAAAAAAAAAAGGTCAAGGACGCAAAAAAAGGGCCGAGGGAATGTAGTACATAGATAGATCAATGCATGGAGTCCGGCCAGCTAGTGAAGACTATAAAGAGGATTACACAAGCACCCAATAATTGAATACGCCATTCCTCTGGTCTGTGGGCCCAGAGTCGGAAAATATAGGGGATATCGTCAACTACGCAAAAGATGGTTGGAAGCAATAGAAGGAACAAGATGCCGACCGTCGTGTGTATCTAGCATGCATCAAAATCGACAGGGGGGATGCGATGGCGGCGGATATAAGGGAGTGAAAGGGAATGTCGATGTTGAACGTGAGTCGCCAAGGACTATCGAAGTCCAATTACGCTCTGGAAAAATCGTTAGAAGAAAAGAGGTCACAAGAGTCTTGTTCATAGATTCTTACCATCTCCAAAGTCCAGACTCGACGGATCCATATTTTGACTGTGGTGTCGACTCCATCCACGTTGTCCAGGTCAACACCCTCCCACCAGCATCGTCGAGCTGGCTTTCGCCAAAACAAAAGGAGCTTCTGGGCCATTCCCACATTGTTACTGGCTAGATCCCCTCTAATATCCGTTCGGAGTTTGGCTAGGGCAAGACTGCAAATAACAGCCTTGTTGGGTTCTGGAGCACGGTGGCCCCATTGGTCATCACGGTCAAACCCACTGCCACGAGTCAGCTTGGTTCTTTACTTGCAGAGAAATACTTCACGATCGATAAAACATACCCTGCGGTGAGCATCTCAATAAGATGTTGTTCTGTGGATCCAGGCTCGTCACTTTTCCTGAGCCCGGAAAAAATTCCATCCTGCTTGAGAAGCGCCTTCGCTGCAGCGCGCTTGACCTCCATCATCTCTGCGTGATCAATATCCGGACGTGGTGGAATGACATAGAAATCCAGATCCTCGCGCAAGACGATGATGCCAGCACGATCTTGGAGCATGTCTCTCGTAGACCCTTGCAGGGAATCGGGAGCCACATCAAGGTCAGGGGGTCCGCCGGATGGCGATGATGGAATGGACTGGGCAACGGCGCGAAAGAAATCCAGCATATATTGTAGAGATGCCGGATCATACTATAATATCACATTAGACTTGCTCAGATACGCGGAGGCAGTTAAACCAGTCAGTAATGATCACGTACATCAACCGGGTATACATCGCTTTCGTGGAAGCCATTCATATGCCCGTCTGGAAGTAGACCATTTGGGAAGAGAGAAAGAAGGACAAACTCCGGTAATGTCAACAATTCATCGCGAGAAAGCGTAAACCGAATTCCCCTACGAATTTCATTAGAATAAACGAGCGCAATCAATGAAGAGATGCGCGCTCTTACCGGAGATCAAGAGTGATATGTTCGTCGCCATTAATATCTGATCCGGAGGTGATCCAATTAGCAATGTTTTTTTTTTTTCGCTCTAGAAACCCATAATCAATGGATGATCATACCACCGAGTGTATTTATCGGAGGCCCTCCTGTCTGCTGTACTTGGGTGATAATACTCGACGCGCCTCCTGCCGCTGCCATCACGTAAGTAAACGAGTGGATTGGACTGGATCCTTCAGTATATGGTGGAGGAGGTTCTCCGTCGTCAGTGCTCTTCCCGGGAGGCTCTCCTTTTGAGTCTCGAGAGAAAGAGGCCTTGGTTTCCGCGACTAAGGCCGATGAAGGGTCCGGCTCTAAGGGCTCGTCGTCGTTCGGGGGCGGAGGAGAGGCGGAGCCGGGTTCAGTAGGTAGAGTCTTCGGGCGGTTGCAATCTGTCGCGGTGGCAAATACAAGCGACGAAAATGGTGGAGGACGCGAAAACGAAAGGCTAGAGGAAGAAGCTTCGGGATATGGGGAATGCGGCGGCGGCGCTGTGTAGGGGGGGTCGTCTTCCTCCACTACGGGGACTGCGAGGTGATGATGAGGCGGCCGCGCCGTGGGAGGCGAGCCAGGTGAATTCGGTGACCACGACAAGGTGTCGAGCGTTCTCTGGATGTTGATTGAAAGCTGTAGTTTGTTTTGTTTCGAGTTGAGGGAGGAGGGTGTTCGACGTTCGCTAGACGACCGTCCCGTTGATTGGGGGCTGATCCAGACTCTCGTTGCTCTTGTCGATCAGGAGCGCACTAGGTCTAAAGGCGCTCGTTCATGGGTACCGGAGGGGCAGATAATCAAAAAGAATCAATTCTGAGGAATAACGGGGATATTGAAACCAGGCCGATGGAAAGCTTTAACTGAAGCCAGGAGATTAGCCAAGGCAAGGAAGAGGAAAGAGGAGAGGTTGAGGTTAGCAGGAAGCGCTTAGAGGCCCTATTGGCGGCACTCATTTCAGAACGAGAGTTACAGTAGGCGTGACGGGCATTTGATGCTACAATTACGTTTGGGAATTTTTGGAAAGGCCATATTATAGACCCATTGATAACATCTCTTACTTACACATTGCAATAAATGCATCTGCGATTTCATGCCATCATTCCCAAGACTTTGTTCTGTAGAAGGCTGGATGGCCAGCCGCACCTCTGCACGTGATTAGGAGCACTGATAAGGACTAGCTTATCTTTATTGATGACAAAAGATGAAATCTATGCGTCGAGGAATTACTAGTAGTTAGTTACTTATTCCTGGAGTTAGTTTGTTACTTGTAAAGATCAAGATCTCAGAAGCTTTGCGGATTGCATCTACAGAGGAATTGAAGATATATTATTGGTTCAAGGGACCTTTAGAAGCTGATATGTTGTCTGCTTAGACCTCACTCACGCTCAACAAAACTCTGAATCATGCCCTCAAGAGTTGGCTCATACTCCTTCAAGATGACCTCATCCCCGTTTAGAATAGTGTTACCTTGGACGAATACCTTGCGGGGAATCTTGTTCTTCAAGACGATGTCACGGACCTTAGTCCCCCACCATTCATCCACAGCAGTAATATCGTCGTAAAGTGCCTTGCCCGCCTCAACATCTGCAGTGCTCTTGTAGACGTGCAGCTTTTGCAAATATTTCTCAACAGCCGGCCGTCCATGGCTGAGGATCTTGGAGCGGTCCAAGTGGATTTCAAGGTCAGAGAGATCCTCCTTAGTATAAGCAAGTTTGACGAAATCCTCACCAGCGCCAAGGAAGGTGCGCAGGATACTGTATCGAGCTTGCATATGCGCTTGTCCCCACTTCTTAGTTTTAGGATCCCAGAATTCCAGGGCGACCAGACCCGCACGCGCCATCTGCAGATAGGCTGCGAAGAGGACATCGCCAGCCTCATTCGAAATATCTTCCTTTCCATCTCCAAACCCGAAGATCTTCAGAATGCTGAAATCACAGCTGAGGGCCATTGCAACACACTCTGCCCGGCATTCCTCATAAGAGGAAGCGATAGCTCCGAAGACGGAACTCCAGGTCTGACCGGGCTTGTACCAACTGGACACCGGCTTGCCAGTGACAGGACTGATTGGGGGGTTGGATACGTCGAAATTGTATTCTCCAGGAGCAGTCTCCTGCAGCAGCTTACCGGTTCCATGTCCAAGAAGCTCGTGGATACCGACTTGCACCTCAAATGCTGGGTCACGGCATCTGCGATATACCTCCAGGTCCTTCTCACTGATGAAAGGAATGGGCTCATTAGGGGCTTTAGCGCCAAGGACATTCCCAAGAGAGACGTTCTTAAAACCTAGATTCTGGCGTATATCATCATAGTTGGGAAGGTTAATGCCGGCAGGAATGCCAGAGGACTGGAAACTCAAGACCTCCAGCGAGGTGAAATCGGGGCTCAGAAATTTATCCTTTTCAAAATCGGTTCCCCAAGGAAGTTTAGGAATCATGCTTTCGGCACTGTCGACAAGTTTCCCAAAAGCCCGAGTTCGCTCTAGATTAACCTATATTGCTCTGAGATTAACTATATTCATCGCTTCAATATGATAAACAGGGTGTAACTCACCAATGCAACGAACCCTTCCCACTCTCCTCTCACTCCATGAGGATCTCTGTATGTTTCTATGAATCCAAGATTTGTCTCCAAAACTGGCTTCTGGTCTTTTACCCACAAACGTTGGCTCTCCTTGATTGCTTCAATTGAACCGGCACCAAACGACTTGGCATACTCGTCCAACATCTTCTTCTGGGTATCATTCGCTGCATTAAGCCCAGCTTGCTTGACGCTATGTGCAATCTTTGCCATCTCTTCCTGGTGATCGCCAAACACAAGTTGTACTTTCTTTCCCTTCAGGTTCCCATCCAACTCAAAGGAAGTGACGTCGCCGAGGTCCCTATCACGCGCAGGAGGGTTGGAAACACCCGAGGCAATGAGCAACTCAAAGTCTCCCGTCGAAGTCTTCCGAAGTCTAGTGTTTTCCAAAGGCATTCCCTTTTGCTCAAACAGATCTCCAATAGCAGTAATCTCATCTTTGGTGATTGCTGGAGACTCAGGGTAATACGTAGTCATGTGTCCAGCCTCGGGATAGCCGAGATGCATGAGCGATTGTTCGTCGGTCTCGTAAATACCACCTCCTGTTGTGTTCGCTTTCTCAAACGCAGATTTTGCCTCAGGCGAGGCTGAAGACAATGCTTCCAGGGCTTCAACCGGCAATCGAGGAATGAACTTCGAATCACCAAAGCCCTTGTAGTTACCACAGTTTCCGAGGAATTGAGCGGCATATTCGAGGAAGAAGCGGACGTTTTCTTCACTGACACCGGTCTTCTGAGTAAGATCGGTCCACTTTCCATCACAGGCACGATGCAGCGCAAGGATCAAGTCGTAAATCGGCTCCGACTCAGGAGAGACTTGACGGAGGGTCACACGGGTTCCTTCGAATGCAGCTCTAAACCCCGACAGTTAATTACCATGAGAGAAGCATAACCAGAGACACAGAATACTGCCAACCACCAGGAATGTAGAAAACGAACCGGCTCATGTAATGCGCGTATTTCCTCAAGCTCTTATCCTTCAGGGTATCGAAGTGATGTTTGACCTCCAGACGGACCACTGTGGGAGGTGAGTCGGCCAGGTAATGCTGCTTGGCATTGGCATCCATCATGGTGGCACGGGAGACAGTAAGCTCAGGAGTAAGAGAGTCAGAGGCTGTAGGTGAGGAAGAAGGTCGAGAGGATAGATGATTGAGGGGTCGAAGGAATATGGACGAGGGGCGGTGGAGGGAAGTCAAAGCAAGTCCCGACGGCAAGCGCCTGAGTACCCCTCTTTGTAGAGGGAGCATGAATACCACCTTAATTTACTAGAGCTAGAGGAGGAAACAATATTCGCTACGCCAGATGGAATTGAGGCTTAGATTTCGATTCGCTACTAAGCTCCAGAGGCGTGAGTGTTGCTTGGCCCGAGTGGGGACTATTAATTAACTTAGGTAACTTAGGTAGTTTAGACCAGAAAAGACGATTGAGGATTGATTAGCAAGTAGTTCTCAAGTTGGGTTCTTTAATCCAAGCAATATGTAGGACGGAAGAATTATAAAAGTAAAATTCGTGGTACATGGTACACTATGTAAAAGGTGAGGTGCCAGGCGGGATGCTTCAAGACTTATGGGACCTGGACCCATGCAGAACAACGTTATAGAAGGGCTGGCAAGACATAAATAGAACATCAAACTCATGACTTTTGGATACCAGCAGACTTGCTTGAAACCAAAGGGGAATAATGTGATCATCTACATACATATAATAGAAAGGGCCCTCATGGAGGAGAAAAATTATAGTAAAAAGGCGAGAAGAAAATTTGACTATAGCAGGAAATGAGAGGAGCAAGGATCGGTGTATTACCCGGGCCCCATCATATCAAGCTCTGGTATTTGTCTAGCCCTTGTTTCTGCGCTCCCTGTGGTGGTTGCGATGTACCGTTGCGGAAGAGCGAAGAAGGTTGGCTAGAATTAGGACCAAATGCTGCAAATGCACCGGACGCCTGTCCTGATGGCGGAGGTGGAATCGAGAATGCAGAATAATTCGGGGTTGTCTGCAAGTTTGGCCGGGCTGAAGACGTGCCGGGGGTATTCATACTGGCCAAAGAACCGAGCGTAGGGCTTATGATGTTATTTCCCGGAAACTGATGCTGATGGTTTGGGGCGTTTGCCATGTTCCAGGGATTAGGAGCGGATGGTTGGAGAGTAGGGAATGCTGGTGCCGGAGCAGAGGTTTGTTTAACGCTAGGCTCCAATGAAGGGAAAGAATTTATCTTATAATCGGGAGTGATTGAACGAGCAGTCAGGCTCGACTGTCCCCCAGCAGTAACTCCTGTCGTAGTGGTGGACCAAGAGAACGCTGTGGGCGATGGTCGTGGAGAAGTAGTTTTGGGCGCTGGTGTCTCGGCGACCAGACTGCCCCAAGGGTCATTATCCGGGCTTGGGGCGGTGCCACCTTTTCCAAGAACAAGGCGTTCAAAATTATCCCTCGTGGATTCCGTGTCTGATGGCGCAAAATTATTGGGGCTTTTCGAGGACGTAGCCGCTCCATTCTGGAATCCAGCAGCATCTCCCGAGGAAAGTTCTTGCAGTTTCTTCGATTGCTCGCGCTCGATCTTCGAGGAAATACTTTTAATGAGAGTCATGAATTCCGCGAATTGACGCAGGTCGAGGAGTGGACCGAGGCTGAAACTCCAAAGAATAGGGAGAACCTCCAGAGCAAGAAAATCAGAGTCAGCAACTGTGCCGATCTGTCGAAACACGCCTAATGCTGCCATCATAACAGCTGGCTCCTTTGTCTTGATCGCTTTCAATGAGGGAACAAGTTTCTCCTGTATCGTGTACTTATCCAGAATGGAGGATTTCGCAGCCTGCGGTTTGCTCTTCTCAACTATACCAGACAAGTCATCTTGCTCTGCTTCTCTTCCATCCACGGAACCACCAGAAAGTACAGTAAAGGCCTCCAGGCAGCGCACTTTGATGGCGAGGCTATTGGTTCGACTAAACGTAGAAGCAATAGGAGGGAAGACTTCATTTTTTACAGTGCTAAAATCAAGAACGGGGAGAATCACGGGCAAGCATTTTATGGCACCATCTACGAGGGTATGCGTTGGCGAATCCAGTCCCAGGTGGATCAGGGGTAGAATATCTACAAATATTAGCTAATTCGGTAGTTAATGAGACGATAACTCACCATCTTTGAACTCTTTTCCGGGACAGTTCTCTGCGATGACATTCATATTCTCGAGCACCACCAGGAGTCCTGCATCCTTCTTCGAGTCGCGTTCATTCGGGTTCCCTTTGCCCACTGGGAATATCTCTTTGAGTTGAGGGATCACTTTTTCAGGAAGAACACGGCGTGCGTTAGGAATGCGTTTGAGAATAGTGAAAACGTTCTGCAAAATGAGAGGCAGTAGTTCACGATCTTTGAGTTCATCCAACAAGACACCCAACAGTTTTCTCTCTAGAACCGAAACAGGAAACTCCGGAAGCACACGTTGGAGGCCACGCATGAACTGTGATTTTTCGTTGGGGTTCTTAGCAGGCAGTGACTCGAGAAATCGGATTGTTGACACAAGGATGTTGTCAAAGTACTGAGATTCTTGGAATTCTCGGGCAGTAAGGCGTTGGGATGGCCTTCTTGTTATCAATCTTGGAAGTACATGTGCAAGGACATCTTTGGGAATCGGGGTCGAGCAAAGGAAGTTGTTGCTTTGTGATGGAGTTGAGGAGGGTGAGCTTATTGATCGTTTGTAAGTATCCAAGCTTCCATGGGTTTTCAAAGGAGATGAGTGTGGTGAATTATAGAGGGCGATTATTATAAGTCCAAGGGAGAACATGTCCGCAGCTGGGTTCACATTAGAATCCAAGGCAAAATCCGGTGAGGTGTAGTCCAAATTCAGCTGAACAGACTGCGGAAGTCGAGGGTCCTGATAAAGCACTTCTGATAGTGCTAATGGTGGGAGAGAGGATCGGGATTCTGCAGTGTCTGAAGGACCGGCAAATCCAAGGCCGGAGATTTTCCAATCGGATTTCGCGTTAATATAGATAGCCTCCGGGTTTAGGTTGCCATGGACAAGGCCTGCGGACTCATGAAGAAACTCAAGACCTTTGGCAACCTGGAGGAGGCCCTTTTGAATTTCTAATTCGTCAATTTCAAGGTCTCTTCGTCTCCGTGATCCGTCAGGTTCCTCCACCATATGCCGCGAGCCCCGGGATCCGACTCTAGAACTGCTTTCCTGTGTATCTTTTTCCTGCAAAAGCCCAGCAAGTGAGGCAGTGATTCGCTCTGTAGCAAACATAAGACCGCCATTTCGTGTTTCTTCGACAGGTTCCAGGACCTGTAGGATGGACGGGTGTCTGAGCCGGGCAAGGTTGCTGGCCTCCCGCTTTAGTCGTTCGACAACTTCCTCCTGTAATTTCTTGATCGAGGCTCCCGAACGGCCACCGAGTCCGCCTGATCGAGGCTCGAGGGATTTTTTGTCGAAGATAAAGATCGAAGCTATCGTACCGGTGGACTTCTTCTTTCCATCGTGAATTTTCCAAGGCCCCGAAACCACAGTGGGATGGGGGGAAATTTGGTAGTTTGCCGATATATTGGAGCTTAGGGATTTGAGAGCTGAGGAAAACATCTTGGTACAGTGGGATCGATCGATCGCATTAAACTCCGGAAACAATAACCAAAAGCAATTATCTCATTCCGTCTGGGGTGAGTGCGAATTCAGCTCGCATGCAGGCTCGGGGTTCGGAACCCAACACAGATGTTGAAGGATATAGTAAAGAACAACAAAGCTGATTGAGGGTGATCATCCCATCCAGGAGAATATCAAGAGCAAAAGAAGATGGAAGCCGAATGGAAAGAAGGACTTTCTGCTCCCACTATAATTTCCATAGCAGCATATGTCGTAGATTGTGTTTCTTTCCCACTTCATTACAGGTATCAGCCTAACTTTGCTTAGTTGTTATCGCTGCCATCATGTTGAATTGAAGGGGTATCTCGTGATGTACTTAGTAAGCAAAGGGGGGTTATTACCCTATATTAAGGCCTTAGGCAAGCATACAACCCCTCAACAGACATATATATCAATATATCCAATCACCTGCTTCTATTGAGCTACCCCTAGGATCATAATATATCCAATAATTAAGAGTCTTATATTTGCTTAAAGCACGTGAATATATACTAATAATCCCTACTAAAACCTACTAATTATTAAAATACCAACGACCCTTACTAAACCTACTAATTAGTAAAATACTGAGTATAATACCTCCAACTATTAATAATAAAGATAATGTAGTGAGGCTTACTAAGTAGGAAGACTAGCTAATATAGTAATCCTTATTTAAAGCACGGGCGAGAGACAATAATCTATAGGAAATAATAGAAGGTAGTAAGAGTTGTCTGTAATAATTTACTAGACTAATTAAGAATAGTAGAGAAACTCTACTAGTAAATAATACTAGGAGTTCTATAGTATTAATACAAGACTTTAATTCTAAAATGGTACTCTATAAAATAGAAATAAATGAGTATAATTATTAGGTTATAGAATTTAGGAAACTAAAAGATTAGATCTAATATATTATTTTCTTAAAGGTTTATTATTTCTACTACAAGCTAATAAAAATTTTAGAGAAGTAGTACCTCAAATTAAAAGAATATATAGTAGTTAACTAGAGATAAATTTAAAATATAGCCTATAATATCTATATAAAGGTAATCTGACCCCTAAAAGGTAATATAGTTAATTAGTTAAATAATTAGGAATTTACTATTTAACAGGTAATTAAAGTAAACCTTAGAGTTATAATATTATTACTAGATTAGGTAGAAGACTTCCTAAATATAACATATTATCTAGCTCTATCCTAGACTATATTCTATTAGTCAGACTATAAGAAAGAGATACTAGCAGGAATATTATTATTCTATACTATAGTAAATAACTTTTATAATACTATTAATATATTCCTGTAATAGCATAGTAAGACTAGTAGAGGGGCTTTTAGACTAATATTTGCTATTAAAGATATAATAGATATAACTAGTAATAAAGAAATATCCCTGCTATAAGATAAGGAAATAAAATATAAGCATAAATATAATAGTATAGGAAGAATAAACTCTAAAAGGAGTACTTCTAAAGACTTATATTAGTCATGTAATACATGTTCTTAAAGGCATGAATAGATATAATATTTTTATCTATTCCTAGAAAAGGCGCCCAAGGACTTCAAGAAAAAGAGTGTAATAAGAAAGCTGGTTAACATGCAACTTAAGATAAATAAGGCCCTAGCTAAAAAGGTAGCAAAGGAGCAAGAATAAAATAAACAAGACCTAGAATAACTAGAAGGAAGAAGTAACTAAGGAGTAGGTCAAATAAAAGGCAGGAATAAAGATAAAGTTAAAGCTTTATTTAATATCTAATTTAAAACTATATCATACTTATTATAGCATTCTATTATTCTTAACTCAGGATTATTAATTTATATATTTAATAATTTATATTAATTTAAGTAGTATATAGAATTAATATAAGATAACTATATATAGACAGGAGACTTAAAAGTATTTATTATAGGATATAGAGATATTAGTATACAGGTTATAATTTAAAGAGATAAAGGTATAAAATATAGCTATATAATTCTTGAGGATATAGCTTACTATAAAGAAATAGTATATAACCTAGTATTACTTATATTACTAAATTAAATAGGTATCTATTTTAAGAATAATCCTGACTTTAACTTACTCTATACCTCTAAAGATATAGTAGCAGCCTATCTTGATAAGAAATATAGCCAATTTATAATAAAATATAATAGTAAACTATATAGTATAATAGGCTAGGTAATATTCTAAACTATTACTAGTATTAGAGATATAAAATAGTAGTATTTATACCTTAAATATCTAGAACCATAGGTATTAGATTACCTAGTTAAGAATACTAAGGGGGTAAGGATTAGAGGACCTATTATAGTAGAATATGATGCCTGTAGTATAGTAAAAATAAAGTAAAGAATTAACTAAAAGAACTATATTACTACAGAAGGACCAGGTCTATAGTTAGTAATTAACTTTTATAATTTTAAAATAGGGATAAATAACTACTAAGCCCTACTATTAGTTATAGATAGGTAGTCAGGTTTTATATGGGACTATTACCTCTTAGACTAATATATAAAGATAATTAAAAATACCCTGCTTGATCTATTTACCCTCCTAGAAAGGTGATATAATATCAAACCCTGAGTAATTAAGTTAGATAGCAAGATAAAGGGATAGTTAGAAGACTTTATATAATCTAAAGGAGCAAGACTTAACTACTCTACTTTATATATACTAGCCTAAAATAGAGGTGTAGAGCACTCAGGGGATATAATAAAAGAGAAGGCATGTATAATAAGATAGAGAGTAAAACTACCTATATTTCTATAGCCTGAATATATCTATATAGTAGTATACCTATATAATTAAATACCTAAATATCAGGCAGGATAGAAAATACTAATTAACTAATTCTATATCTATATTACCCACCAAGATAGAGTAGTAATAGAATATAAGAAACCCTAAAAAGCTTACCTAAAGATATATAGATACAAGGTATTTGTAATAATTAAACTATAAGTAACTATAATAGTAAAGTATGGAAAGTAGTTTAACCTAAGAGTATTTATAGGATATATAGTAGGATATAAATCTACTAATATCTATTAAATATAGAATTTAAGAAAGGAAAGGAAGATTATCTGCATAAGAAATATTATATTTAATAAGAAAGAATTTTTCTCAGGAGATAGAGATATATTTATTCAAGTAATAAAGGATAACTTCCTGATAATTAAAATTAATAAATTTAAATAAATAATTAAGGATATTAAAGTTAAAATCTATATTTTAATCTAAGGAATATTAAATATAGATTATCCTATAATAAGGGATATTCTAGAAGGTAATTTTAACTTACTTAATTATCTAGTTTAAATATCAAGATCAGTACTTAAAGCCGCGGATAAGGATAAGGATACTAATATAAATAAGTAAATAGCCTATCTAATACTACCAGGCAATAATCTAGAATAGTTAGTAGTAATGTTAGTAGGTGCTTACTAATATAAGATGGCCAAAACTAAAGAAGAAACTAAGCCAAATAAAAGCTATTAAATTACATGGAAATTAGTATTCATAGCAGGGAGATTAATATAACTAACCTAATAAGATAGAATACTAGCCTTTAAGGTAGAAATGCAAAGATAGAATAGGCAACTAGAGGGTCTAATTAGGACCTACCTAGATTAGCTACCAACCCTTTTAAAGATATACTGCCAAGTTAAAAATCACCTACTATCCAAAGAATTTATAAAGGTAGAGTAGGACTACCTAGCTAGTTATAAAATAATAAAAATATAGGTAGAGGTAGATAGACCTAAGTATATAAAAGTATTAGAATATAAATAGGTATATATATATAAAAGTAATTAAGGTAGTAATCTAATTAAATGCAAAGCATGCCTAGTAGTAAGAGAAGATTAATAAGAGGATTTAATAAAGGATCTATATATTATAACTCTAGTAGTAAGATCCCTCCAAATCTTTCTAGTAATAGTAGCCTGATTTAATCTAGAATTAAAGTAATATAATATTACAAATGCATTTATTAATATAGATAATAATAAGGAAATATATATAGAAATATCTCTAAGATATTAAAAATTAGGTAAAGTATTAAAGCTAAAGAAAGTATTATATAAACTTAAATAATTTCCTTGCCTATAGTAGATAACTCTCTAAAAAGTCCTAAAGTTACTAGAATATAAATCTATCCTATATAAATTATATTATATTACTAGAGATAGGATCCTGATATTCTTTTATATAGATAATATTATATTTACCTATTACTAAAAATTATTAGCATGAATATAGGCCACCGCACAAGAGCTTCAGGACTAGTTTAAGATAATAGGAGGAAATGACCTGTAATGGTTCCTAGAAATAGAGATTACCTAGGATAGAGAGAATAAACTTATCTAGCTAGGTTAGTTAGTATATATTAATAAGATTGCTAACCTAGTAGATAGAAAGGAAGGTCTAGATACTACTCCTATATTAAAAAAAATAGTGCCCTAGAAAGATCAAGATAGAGTATCTTGCTTATATACCTAATAATATTAATAGAAGGTAGGATCTATAATATATATAATAGTTATAATATAACTAGATATTATATTTATAGTATTCTAGCTATCCTAGTACCTTATAAATCCTAGTAAAGAATATTATACTAAAGTAGATTAATACCTATAATATTTAAAAAAAATAAATAAACTCGCCCTATAACTTAGAGATTTAGATAACTACCTATTATATAGTAATACCTTATTTATAGATAATCAGGACTAGAGAAGCTTACAGGGGTATATTATAAAGCTATTTAGAGGTATAATAGGATAGAAAGTTAGTAAGCAGGTAATTATAATAATCTCTATAACTAAAGTAGAATTATTAGCATTATTATATATAGTAAAGGAAGGAATCTTTACTAAGTATCTGCTAGATAAAATCTAGGTAAAGTTAGAGAATCTAACTATTAATATTTAATATAATAATATATAAACTATCTAACTAGTAAATAAGGAAATTAACTACCTAAATACAAGGCTATACTATATAGATATTTATAATTACTAGATTAGGCAGGAAGCCTAGAAGGAAAGAATAAAAGTATTATATTATCCTATTATTAAGATGATTGCAGATAGGTTGATTAAGGTACTACCCTACTAAAGCTTCAAGGTATTTATGAAGGATTTGGGGATAGTAGAGAGATTAAAGTTAATAGATAACCTACTACTAGATATAGTTTAAACCTATCTAGGATAAGAATAGTATCTTAAATTATATAATTGCAGGTTTAAACTAGATAAAATCTTTTGAACCTGAGGGGGTGTATTAAATTAAAGGGGTATTTTGTAATATACTTAGTAAGCAAAGGGGGGTTATTACCCTATATTAAGGCCTTAGGCAAGCACACAACCCCCCAACAGACACACACATCAATATATCTGATCACCTGCTTCCATTGAGCTACCCCTAGGATCATAATATATCCAACACATCATCGAGATCACGTGAACAGGCAGTTGAAGTGCAAACAGGACAAACAGGACAAACAAAAGTTGCTCACCGCCTGCCTCTTTTTGCCGGATAAGCGTGCCGACGTCGGACATCAACCCGAAAGTCAATTTGTCGATTTGTGGAGGACATCTGCGTCAAAGATCGCATTTTCGTCTTTGTAATTTCTACGCTCTTTGATGCTCCAAGTGTCCAATACCTAAAGGTGTGTATTCTCCAGCTTTTCCTCCCGCGTTATTGAGTCGTATCCCCCATTCTTGATCGATGGTCCGGAGTTGTCACTGCGGTCCGCGAGGAGTCATACATAATTTGGGTTGCATACCGCTCCAATTATTTTTAAGGACCGTTGCCCGCCTGATAACAACTTATCCTTTTAACCACATTTCCTTGTTGCTACTGCATTGGGGTGTCTTTGGATCTGGAATTCAATTGTTGTAATTGCTTACGAAATCTGGCCGCAGTCATGAAATCGCTTCACCAACTTGCTCGCCGTAGGGCGTTACCTAGCTTGGGTGCTCCTCGTGTTGTGCCAGTGCAGACATCCAGCGCAAACCGATTATGGAAAAGAAGCTTCAGCGTCACTCCAGCTGCTTCTCAGGGCGCTTCCCTGGACTCTTCGAAGCTCACTGTCACAAAAACAAGCACTCCCAAGGAATTGACCCCCGCGAAGGACCTCGTCTTCGGCAAGACGTTCACCGGTAGGATCGCTCCGACTCAATCGCTTATGGGATGTAATTCCTGACACCATTGGTTCTCTCTCTAGACCATATGATCACCGCCGAATGGACAGCTGCTGATGGCTGGCACGCTCCCCGTATTGTTCCTTACCAACCGCTCAGCCTGGATCCCTCGGCTTGTGTGTTCCATTATGCGTTTGAATGCTTCGAGGGTATGAAGGCATATAAAGACAACAAAGGCCAGATACGATTATTCCGACCGGATAAGAACATGGAACGTTTAAATAAATCGTCTGCGCGCATTGCTTTGCCTAACTTTGACGGCAACGCCCTCACCAAGATGATTGGCGAGTTTGTCAAGGTCGATAGCCGCTTTATCCCTGAGTGAGTAAATCTAGGGCCGTACCGTCTTGAATCTTGCTAAGTCTCTTTCTAAGGGAGCGAGGCTACTCGTTGTACTTGCGACCCACAATAATTGGCACACAGAACACCCTTGGCGTTGGCCCACCTGGATCCGCGCTTCTGTTCGTCATTGCAAGCCCTGTCGGCCCTTATTACCCAACTGGCTTCAAGGCTGTGTCATTGGAGGCGACCGATTATGCCGTTCGTGCTTGGCCTGGTGGTGTCGGAGATAAGAAGCTGGGCGCCAACTACGCCCCTTGCATTGTGCCTCAGCTGAAGGCAGCTTCCCGAGGGTTCCAGCAGAACCTGTGGCTGTTCGGGGAGGAGGAGTATGTCACGGAGGTCGGAACGATGAACCTCTTCGTTGCTCTCAAGAACAAGGAGACCGGCCAAAAGGAGCTGGTGACCGCTCCTCTAGATGGAACCATCCTGGAGGGTGTTACGCGCGACACTGTCTTGTGTCTTGCCCGCGAGAGGCTCGCTCCCGAGGGCTGGACCATCTCTGAGCGCAAAATCAGAATGTCAGAGGTTGCGGAGGCAGCTGAGGAGGGTAGGTTGATTGAGGTGTTTGGATCCGGTACCGCAGCGATTGTGAGCCCTGTGCGATCCATCAGCTACCGCGGCAAGCTGGTAGATTGCGGACTCAAGGAGAAGCAGGAGGCTGGAGAGATTGCTCTTAAGATGAAGAATTGGATCGAAAGTATCCAGTATGGTGATGAGGATCACCCATGGAGGTAAGCCATCCTTTTCGCTCTTCTTCTTTTTAGGAATTCATACTGACTGACTGACTCGCCAGCTATGTGCTGTAACCAGCAAGACCTGAACAGATATTTATCTCTTTAAATGTACTAGACCCTTTGATGGATTTTGTATCAGAAACTATTGGCGGCTGGGTGGTTGCATCTACTACTATTTTGTCTGTTATTACTATATCATTGCCTTCTTTCAGTACGTTCAATAAAGCATGCGCGCTATTCTTCTGCAAATGCCAAAATTTCTACCTCTTGCCCAGAGGACACACAACCCCTAACCTAGCCCTTGTCACAACAACATATTCAACTTCGATGGTGATTAATCACCCTCCTTCCCCCAAACCCCCCCATCTACTTCAACAGAACCCAACGCAGAAATGCAGACCCCCGGCCCCCAAAGTCAAACAAGCCCCAGCGGGCGCTACCTACACAGCCGCAACGCAGAGCAGACCACACAATAAATACAGCTGGACCACGATAGAAGCCAGATCTGTACTCTGTACTTAGTGCGCTGATCGACAGTTATTTCGTTAACCGGGGAGATTGATACGCTGGAATGCAGACAAGGCCGGCGAAGTAGACTGTAACCACTTCTTCAACCCACCTAAGCCAGAACTACTCGAGTATGATAATAATAGCAAGCCCAATCAACGGTTGAAGAGCGATGGACGCCTAATTATGGTATTGGGGTCCTTAACTCGGACGAGTAGTAGGTACCTGTAGGTAAAGAGGTGTCGAGATGATCACCGTGATGTGATGATAGCCCGCGTTCTCAGTATCATTAATGTGTGCTGTGCTTCAATTCCAATTCCTTTCTAGGCGTGGTATGTCTATTGACTATTCATTGTCGAGGGAGCTTCGATCCTGCTGGTCAGTAGTGGGCCGTGCTATATTCGGGACAGGATTCATAAAGTAACTAACTCACCTCACTCCCCTACTATTAGGCAGGATACAAGCACCTAGCTTCGTCCCTAGGTAGTATCTCCACAAGCGTAAAGCGAAATGGACCTAAAGGCTACGGACCTAAAGAAGTGGATATTTTGAGAAGTACAAAGAGACCTAGAGAATTTCGTGCTCGCTAGCAGGAGAGTGTTATTCGATATTAAGCTGAAATCAGAGATACATACATGTCTTGGACTTGCAAGCTGAGTTAAATACCTAGCGGTTACTCGAGCCCTAAAATTCCTAACTACACGAGGGTAGAGACCACGACATGAAATAACCGTTGAAATCGAAATTAAACCCATACATATTAATAGAACAACACAATATACGAATTAGATTTCCCGTGTTAGCCGTTGTAATTAATCCAGGGAATGAAAATGGAATACGAGCCACCGGCCGCCGCGGTGCGGTGCGTGCAGATAAGAAAACAACATCCGTCGGCATAACCCGCAAATCCTCTATCGATATTTACTGCTAGTAGTACGGAGTAGTACGAGACTACGAGTATTTGCCTCGAGATCGACGAGTTCTTAATAGCGCCCTCTGATTCGCAAGTTGCGTCGGCAGGATCCGTCCCGTCAACTACTAACTTACTAATGAGAGACCATTTTCATCCGAGACTATCAGTCAGTCAGTCACGCTTTGGAATGGTTGGATACTTTGCAGCGGCCACTAGTTAGTTAGTTCGCCGGGTTTGTTAGCAATCCAGTGAAAACAATCTAGACTTACTCCGCAGGAGCGACGGGAGATCGTTCACTTCTAACTCGCTAAACTTGCTCAAGTGTAGGCCTCCGTTGTCCTCTGGTCTCTGTATAGTAGAGTTGGAATGTGAACAATGCCACAGGGTAGGTTGTGTGGCAATGCAGCTTGCCTACAACAGGCAGGAGAGATGTGATCATTGCTGGCATTGAGAGGTCGAGAGCATATTCCATTCTAGATTCTAGCGACTTGGCCAGGACAAATACAAGCTACCAGTACCTAGTTAGGTGCTGCACAATAAACCCTTCTTTACAGAGTACATCTGGATCTGTCTTTTCCATCTCTTTTGAATTGATCCATCCAGACTAACTACTTGGCTGCGTCGCCACTTGATCATAATCTTCAGGCTTTGATTTGTCAAGGTCTCGACACTGTATAGGTAGTTACCTAGTTAACCGGCTCACAACGAACATAGCTACTCCTACCTGGGCACCTGTGGATTCCTAATTCTACCTCAAACTACTCCGTAAGGAGTACTCCGTACATCATCATGGAGATGTAGACTACCTACCTACCTACCTAACCATCTCCTCGGAGTTCGGGTTTACCCACCGGCGTATCGCACCGTGCATCAATCTTGCAGACAATAATGCAACCAATACGGAGTACATATCTTCAATTCGGCTGTGGATTATTCAATCTCGATCTGGGTATGTTTTAGAAGGCTGGTTCTGTTTCCTTCTGCCTACAGAGTACACAGAACCGTACCTAGGTAGCATTTACATGCAGTTAGTTACTATATACCCTACCCTACGCTACACTGCACCTAATCACAACCACCAACCCAGAAACACACACACATATCTATATATATATACGTAATAAACAATAAATCGGCCGTAGTAGACAGTAGGCACTACTAGTCAACTACCTAGTACCTAGGCACTAGGTAGTAGGCTGCAAGACATTACCAAGTCGGTAACCCGCGAGTCCGGCCTCCGTATAAGGTCGTGTCCCACCGTACGTGCTCTACTATTGCGAACTACTCTGCACGAGGGAATTTCTGCACCAAATTAGAAACGCCGACCGAAAAATGTGATTTTGCTGTGGGGACCACAAAGTCCAATAAAGAATGTTTGTTTGTGGCACTTGAAAGTCCGTGAATATGTATAGTAGATATTAGTGCCTTTTCATCTGCCCAAGTGAGTAAGGTACTGCGAGTGCAGCACGCATGATGCGGGTCTATCTAACTAATACCTACGAATAACTAGTTAATATCAGTACTATAGTAGTAGTACATACGGAATAATGTGTGGGTGGACTTGAACTTGACTTGGAGACTAAATAAATAGCCAATTAAAACGAGCTGGATACTCGATTCATCGATGGTTACACTTCATATTTACACGGTAATTGGTAGCTGCCACTTCGGAAATGATAAGATGGGACTTTAATCAGTACCTAGGTAGTCCGTAGTATGCTTGAATCATGGTGGCTGCGGGGACTATCACGCTGGTCTAGTCTTGCTGTTACCCCTAAAATGGCGCGCCGTATGGAGATGACGGCGCTTAGGCGTAGGTTAATTCGTGGATAGTTTGACGAATTTATATGTTGGCTATAGGATTGTGACTCGATAGCCGTAGCCTGATTTTTTTTTTTTGCTCTCTGGGATTATTTACTACAGTCCTGTCTATATCCTGTGTACGGTAGAAAGCAAGGAAAGGTAATCCGGCATAAAGTGTTTACTGTGACGAACTGGGAAATATTGCTCAAGTGCATTGCATGCCTAGGTAGTCTAAAACTAAGACAGCGACAGTAACCAATCGAAACCAACCAGCAAATGGATGTGTCTCTTCAATTTCTCCATTCATATCTAGCTACCTAGGTAGAATCCTGCTAGTCGTTAGGTTAGCCTTAATTAGAATGCAAGTGCGGCAGCATGGATGTCTCACTCCGATTTCATTCGTCCCATAAGACTCTTGATCACAGGTTCAAGCATACGTAATGCAGAAAGGAGAGATCTGGTAGTAGATCTCTGCAACGACCTGGTCAAGTCTGCTGCTGTACCCCTGGAAAATCCTTAGGTCTCTAGGATTTATCACCTCCTTCGATGCATTTCCCTCATTCGAGAAATATCAGGAACTAGATCCGGTTATTCGGGAGTATCTGGAGAAATCCTCTTTACCCCATTGTGAGGATCGTCCATCACGGAAACTATACTATGTATTGGCTTGCCGTACTCCATCGGAAACAGATGCTCGGGAAACCTGATCCCGGGGTTTGGCAAGTTGGTCGTTCAGATTGCTGTCACCGGTGTTCGCTGTTAGGATCTCAAGACCGTCGAGGTTTTTGAACTTCTATACTCCTTGCTCTACTCTACAGGGACAAGAAAGGCGCAGTAGGAATAGCAATCCAATCTACTGAGATCTGGCAGTTTACATGTCTCGTAGAATCCATTCTGCTTGAACTGGACCTCTCTTATAGGCTCGCGATGCGAAACATCAACCCTCATTCGCCATGTATAGCATCCATCGCCGTCCCGGAATCCAGCCAGCCGTCTCTTTAGTTCCTCAACAAAGGCCACGCTCCTGTGGCGGCCCTCCTCACAGCATACAGCCACAACCGCTAATACACCCGGGGGGGGGGGGGGGGGAGGGGGATGATGATCGCTGGAGTCGCCAATCCTGGGACCGGCTGGCTGTTTCTCTAATCCTGCGCGTGCAGACTCGCTTGCGGCATCCTGGATAGAGGTAGTCTGGTTATGGCCAAGTTTACTAGTAGTATCACACCTGGGCTCAGGTCCATTATCACCGAAAAGGGTAGTAGTAGCACCATTCTTCAACGGGTCATTTCCACTTGTCGCCATAGGAATTGCAGAATCCATCGCACTAATCGAGGCAGTAGCAGCAGCTGTAACAGCAGCATCCAGAGAGGAAACTCTTTATCTCGATCCCTAGCAGTTCCATCGTCGTAATTACTATCCGTACGAAGCCCGTCCATCGCCTCATGGACAACACCCCATCCGCCCCCAGAAACTCCCTCTGCAAGCGGGGGTGCCAGCCCCGTTGTCATGGGGAGATGGCGGATACTGTAGGTTAAGAGGCGAGGGCGGGGCGCCGGTACTGCCGATACTCCCGTTACTCCCGCTGGCGTACTCTGCTGGATGCAAGGGTCCATGTTTATGGCCGTAAGAGAAGAGCGCGATGGAGATAGGGATAGGTATCGGTGGTATCGGTGGTATCGCCGTCGGGGGGGGGGGGGTGGTAATGACAATGGCGGACTCGGAGTAGGTTTAGTAAGTTGAGACATTGACTTGGGCTCTAGACTAGACTAGACTAGATCCTAGACTAGTTTACTCTGTGGATAATAATAGGCTTTGAGTAGAATCGACGAATGATTTGGAATAATTGAGTTTTTGGTTTTCCTTTTCTTTGTTTTCATTTCCACTATGGAGGATGGAGGTAGAGTAGTGGAAAGTATACTTGGTAACAGAAGTTACAGAACCAAAAACAAGGAAAAAAAAAAAAGAACTGAGTGGATCAATGATTAAGTATCCGTACGGTGTACCTAACTAACTGACTGCTAGATAATGGAAACGATCCACTGAGTGTGGAAGTGCGGAGAGTGTGGGAGGTCTGTGGATATGAATTCCGGGTCCGTGGTGGTAAGAAACCTTCACCTATTCAGCTGGCCAAGGAAAGTAGGTATAGAAGTCTAGAAAATCTCGCTTACAAAACCTTGCGAAAGGCGAAGCAAAAAAAGCGGAAATAATGCCAAAACAAAGCCCGAACCTTCGTTTCTGGATGGACCAAGTACTGCCAGAGAACTGACCCATAGACTTGTCACTTGTCAGCACTTAGTACTGATCCTCGCCCCAAGAAAGCAAGATTGATTACTGAGCTGTCTGTCACCATTAACTACTCCGTAAAGAAGTGAGTAACTAGCTGAGATTCCTGAGTCAGTTGTGTGCAGGAGGGGACTAGTCAGTCAGTCCGCGGAGACATTTTCCACTCACTCATACATATGTACCTAGGTAGGTATGTACTGTACTGTAGATATTGATAATGGATTTTAACTCGACCCTAACGGATGATAAAGAGTCGGATGTTTAAATCAGCCACGAGGATACCCTAGACAGGCAACTGCGGAAAAGTCCGACTGCGAGCGCGTTTTAGGAAAATGGTTCATTTCTTTTGTAGTGCCATCGGTGGTTATGCTTATACAACAATTAGTCAACGACGAGGTAGCAGGTAACTATGATATACTACCTAGGTATGTAGATCTCTCGCCCTTAAATTCCAATTCGACCACCAAGAATAGGCATCATCTTCAGCCTTGGCGACCTTTGTATTTTCGCTCCCAATACGACTACTACTAGTCCTGCTTCTAGATGTTTGCTGAAAGTTTCGACTCCTTCTCTGCAGCCTGAGTCTTTGTTGACGGTTAAGCCACCCTCGGCAAGATTCCGCCTCCGATGATTGTAACTGTCGGTGACGCAACCGTTTCTATGGGTGGCGATGTGCCATGTAAAGTTAGTTGAGCAGTGAATTCTTCTAATATACCCAATCTATAGCAGTTCTTTGGCGAGGTGATAAGGTAAAGAATAATGTGGAATCAACAGTCATGGTTAGAAAAAGAAGAAAAGTTCCCATCCTCTTAACGTATAGTCAGTGTTACTAGGTACAGTTTCGAGACTCAAAGCTCAAGATTCGACCTATCGTCTACCTTTCCGCCCAGTATACCGGCCTAGGCCCAGGTCGCATGAAACTTACTAGTGGGTATTAAAGCCGCCTTCTGGTATACACTCAGCCTACCATTATTAGCCCCGTCCTATTCCATATACCTAGCACTTGAGGGATTATACCGATCAACGTCCATCCGAGTCCACCAATAGATGCTGGGTTCTTCAGCCCTACTTGCCCACTGGTCTTCTCCGCTAGCGTCCGTCCAAGCCTCCACGCGCCTTCAGCCCTGAGAGCATATATATGTCCGCACTACGCAGTAAGTCGGTCTGGTAGTCGGTGGACACTTCAGCTCGGTATAATCATGGATTCTAGAGAAATAGAATATTCTTTCATGACATCTGACCATTCTTCAGATATCACACAGTTTTAACGGTCGGGATGCAGCGGGTTCCCCCCCCCCTCCCTCTTAAAAAGGGATGGTCCAATCCCTTCCCCCAGCTGAAAGTTGAAACGGCATCTGGAATGTAAAGAATCCACCCTAATTGCACAGAGTATGGTTATGATCCACCCCACCCCTGGTTGCAACTTGCGAGGAATGCTATGCCATGCCATGCCATGGCCATTGATCGGATATCACCGATTGCAAAGTATGTCTGTCCCTCGCTCGCTTAACAAACAAATGGACTGCTGCGCCATTGAGATTGGGTTCGGGCGTGAATCATCAATGCACCTTACTTTCCGTGACATATTAATAGTAGCAAAAAGAGAGGTATGTCGATCTCCAGAGCGCAAGCGGGGACCCGGATTGGCAGGTATCACAGGCTCTCTAACCACGAGTTTCATGCTATGGCACTGCAGATCAGCAGCTTCAGCCCTCAAGAAAGGGACCGATGCCGCACTACCTCAGACTTTGGGGCTGAGGTTATTGCTAGTGTTGCCCTACCTACTTACCTACTTACTCTACTGGCCCTAATGACCCTTGTACTGCCCCCAACCTGTGTGGAAGGCTGGGAAGGAGATGGTTAGTGTCCGATCACAGATGGAATTCTAAATGATCCGAGTTATACTTCCCTTTTCCTTTTTTTTTTTTTTTTTTTTTTCTCTCTCCCCCTTTTATTTCTTGTTGTCTTATGTTGGGTTGCTTTTTTTAATTTGCTTCCTTTCTTGGCTAGGAAATGGGACATATCATTCAAACTTCAGCCTGTCGGAAGGTACTCCAGCATAATAATAACAACAACAACAACAACAACAATAATAAAAATAAATAAATACACTCAACCCAAAATTAAGCGAAGAAAAAGTGATTACCGCGTCTCTCTGCTATTCCGCCCTTCTGGAGAGGGTGAGATCTTTATCCTTAGTCGTGTTGCCAAGCTCAAAGGGGGGGAGGGAAACGTGGCCGACATCCAGGCCGTGCACTTGGAATGGTGGTGGAAAGTGTAATATTGAGGACTTGTTCGGACGGTATCCGCATAAAAGACGCAAGAGGTCATTCGCTTCCAACTCTTGTGGTTCTGATTGGGTAGGGGCGGATTCTTCATGTAAGGTGGGTGATACTGGGTGCCATTTGAGGCGATACTAGTTGGCAATAGCGTATTTGACTCATTGTCTGGGAAAGAGGCAGTGGGAGGCCATAGGAAATCGTACTTATGTTCTCAAAAGCAAAGATGTATGTAGCTGGAGTGGAAGGAAAGCTATCAAGTGTATGTGTGCCAGGCTGCGGCAGGTGGATCATTACAGAATCCAATTCCAGACTACAGACCGATCAAACCCGCTAGAGGTGGACCACACGGCCCCAATACATAATAATTAGAATAAGATTATTTAATATGCGGGTGGCAGGCCAAGCTCCAGCGCCCTCTGATCTCGCCCATATGGTTCGTTTGAAGGAAATCCTCCCCCGTAACTAGGTATTGGAATTGTTTTAGCGCTGTGACTACGGAGTTACCTCTGCGTAGACCTTGAATCGTCGTCGGGAAATGTGCTCATTGCTTTGCACTAATCGAATCTGGTGATATCTGGCGCCTAATTATTTAAATTGGGGGGGGGGGGGGTTTCCCCTTCCTTCGTATAAAACCTGATAATATGGAATAACACATTCAGGTGCTACCATACTCTGTTCTTAACTCTTCTATCTGTACCATGTTTTGTACTCTGGCCCCCCTCCTGACACACCCCAAGAATCTGAATTATGCTCTTGTGCAGCTCGTGGCTGAGAATGATCAACATACCAGAAACAAGTGTCTTATTATGCTCAGGAGCAAAGTACGCTAATAATAACTATAAGAAGACCAATCATAATTTTCAGGATTCCTAGCGATGGTGCTGTAATGTTCTTGCCCGTGTTTATTGGCTATTGGGGTTACCTGACTCCAACCTTCTCCAATCTTTCGCACGATATAGCCTATAGCTATGGGGAAGAAGTAGTACAGCCCCCCCTTACACCAACAGCCAACATCCTGTCAAGCCACGCACCTGTACTGGAATACACTTGTTTCATGCGTAGGACCCGCTCGCTCTAAATTTCCAACTTGGTAATGCTCTGGAATTCGACTTGATAGAATCTGTTACCATGCTTGTTCCCCGCAGCAGCAGCAGCAACGTGCAACTAGAAGATAGTGATCAAAGAGGGGAGAAAAGCAAGTGCCTCTCAGCGCTCCAGTACATGATTGTGCACCGCTGGTCTTATCGATCTTGGGTGGCCTGGTTAAGAAAGTTGTCATTTCATAGATACTTACTGCCATTTACTCTGCCCTGAATAATGACAGCTAAACTAGATTGGAATCCGGTCATCGCCGTATTTTGATTCCATACTCGTTTCAACAACTCGCAACCCTTTTTTTTTTTTTTATTTATTGTTGTTATTTTCTTTTTTTTTTTCAGCCCACCATAGAGTTGCGGGATGCACCCACCACCTCTATCCCACTCCACCTGCTCTTCAATTTAAAAAAAATAAAATAAAATAAAATAAAATAAAATAAAATAAAATAAAATAAAATAAAATAAAATAAAAAGCAAATGAAAGAAATAGTAATAGTAGTACACCAAAAAAAGAAAAAGAACCCCCGAGAGAAACCCAACAAAGAGGGACAAGGGAAAAAGAAAACCTGGAGATCTACTGAACTGGATCTCATCGATGAACCCTCAATAGGCATTTCCCCAATCTAGTTTCCGTCGAGGAAGCATCAACCATGGCATGGCACACAGGTTACCCTGAACCGCAGTCGTCTTTGGGTGAAATCATTGTGGAATGTTGGTATTCAATTGTCTGGAACCACATGGTCGAAGTCGGTGGAACATCCTCCCCTCCCCCTGTTTGTTGGTTCAGCACAGCCCGAATTGTATACTGACTTGGGGTTAAGTCTCGTTTTGCCCTCTCTCTCTCTCTCTCTCTCTCTCTCTCTTTCTTTGGGCTCTCTGTCTCCTTCGCTTCTTAATCCCCTCCCCTCTTTCCACTAGTCTCTAGGCCCCCTACTTTTTTTTTTTTTTTTTTTTTTTTTTTTTTGTTTTCGTAAATTCTCGGTCTTATCGGTCATCCGGGGTTCCGCTGGAATTCCAACAACAGCCTCACACGCCCTGGATCGCACCGGGCATTAGTGACGCAGCCCTGCACTGACTGCACATCCATTCGGGAAAAGTTCCTTACCAGCACATGGTCAAGCCATGCACATCCTCAAGAATTATGACCAGGTCTGGCCGACAAATACCAGGATCCTCCAACCGAAAATCGCTAATTTATTTTATTTGCTTTTCTTTAAAAAAAATAAATAATAATTTAATTAAATAAATCAAAATAAATCATTAAATCAATAAAAGAAAGAAAGAAATAGTAATCACGGATTCCCTAAGCGCACGGACTAACCCTGTTATCGCAACGGCGCAATCGCCGCAAAGCTGTCTTGGGTGATTCGGAGTCCGGGGCTTAGCAACAGCCTGAAGCTCTTCTGTCCAGACTGGTTGATCCCATTTTAAATACTCGATGCTTTCTCTAGTGAGGTTTCAGCCCGTTGATCATTTCTAGCACGATCCTGCCTCTGGATCTATATAGTCAATCATATTTCCTCGCTTTTTCTTCCTTCTTTGTTCGCTCTAACCTTTCCCTCGCTTTCTTGGCCTGTCTTCCACCTTATCCTTCCTCATAGCTATTATCGATTTATTATCTATAGACTCTCTCTCTCTCTCTCTCTCTCTCTCTCTCTCTCCCCAAAAAGATCGACTTGTCATACATCCTCAACATGCATCGCTCAAACGGGTACTCGTACCAACAACAATCCACAGGTTCCAGAACCAACCACGGCACAAGCAGTGCTTTCAGTCCCAATGCCAACCCGAATGAAGACTGGACGAAGATTTCGGATCTTGCTGAACGCCGTCGCATCCAGAATCGCATTGCCCAGCGAAACTACCGTGAGTGTTGGCTGTTGGGGAATAACTATACTATGGTCCTGGTCTAACCGCGCCCCCACTATCCAGGCAAGAAACTAAAGCGGCGTCTGGAGGACCTGGAAAAGAGAGCTGCGTCGGCTTCAGAATCTCCAGAGCGATCTCTGGAGAAACCCGAGGCGCCGGCAAAGACAATCAATCCTGTCAAGTCTCGCTCCAAGCACGCTCGATCAGCCAAGTCCACTTCCAATGTCCACCACCCCAGCTCCGCAGACCGAGTCTCCACATACGATGGCTACCCTGCGCAAGAAGATCGAGGATCCATGTTCCAGTACCAGAGCACCCGACAGCTTTCGACATCGCCTCCTCCGGTTCTCTCGTACTCGTCGTACTCGTCGATGGATCCCTACACGCATCCCACCTACGCCCAACCCCCCGCATATCACTCAATCTCCAACCCTTATACCGACCTGTCATTCCACAGCGAGTATGGGTCGCCCGTCCCGTCCATTCTCCCGGTTTCCATGAGCACCGGTGGACCGGCCAAGAAGTACTCGTACGCCGACGAGGATATCATCAGTCCCTTCAGCATGAGCTACGCCTCGATGGCGGGAATCGATCTCTCTCCGGCACCGCAACACCTCTCGGAAAATAACATTCCTGTACATACCCTCCCCGCCATCAGGGCGACCCATGCGCAGTACCAGGGCAAGAGGAGCTAATATCATCTGTCAGATGCCACCCTTGTCGCAAGTCTACAGCGACGATCACTCTTCTCCATCGACTCCCGCAGAGCCTTCAAGTCTGATATACCCACTTACGCCAGAGCCAGACCTCTGTTCTTTACACCCCTATCCTCTTTTGTGATGTTCCGGGTTCTGTTTCTTTCTTTCTTTCTTTTTTTTTTTTTTTTTTTTGCGCTCCTTTTAACGATGGGAATGATGACACTGGCTTTTTTTTCTTTTTCTTTTTTTTTTTTTTTTGGAATTCGCTCTCTTTCCGATTTGATTATTGCTATCATTACTGTTGCCTTGGCTCGGAATGCCTGTGGGCTGTGGGATCTGTTTTGTTGTTTTGCATTTCTTTTCTTTTCTTTTCTTTTTTTTTTTCAACACTCTGCGAGGCTCCACAGGCTTGGGTTCATTTTTACTACTAGATGCATTGGTATCGGCGTTCTCTGAGTCATGTTGGACTACTGGAGTATCCCTGGGAAATTGAGCTTGAGGACATGACCTCGATTATTTTCAACTAGACAAAACACCACCATCACATTTTAAGATTCAGGGATTCCGTGGTTGGACGGAGTATCCGACTCTCGCCTCACATAGTTCCGTACCTGGTGCTAGTTGCGTATGTAGTATTGGACGTCTGGAGGTATTGATTTCTTGGCCCCCAACAGGCGACACCGCGCGGCATATGTATTCCTAATTCCAGGGATTCCCAGGTATTATTCTTGATGGTCTTCTCCTTGTTGGAATCCTCCAATCAACCTTGGAAAGCAAAAGAACGAAAGAAAGACTTCCGGCAAGGTTCTTTGTTACCTCAAGTTCGGGGTTAATTTAAATAAAATAAATCCAAGTTACTTTCTTTGGGTACTTGCTCCCTTGGTACGAGACATGGCTTCGGAAATGGCCGCCTCTTGTCTGTTATTCTGTATCCTATCGATCAATAATCAGTAATTTATAAGCAATCAGGTTTGTTTCCAGGTAGTTAACTAAGACAAGGTGGTGTTATATTTTCAAGTGCGTGCATTTGGGTAACACAAACACTACATACACTACCCTACATAAAATATCACACAACCCGTGTATACCCAGCGGATATGGAGTGTACCTACAAGTACGGAGTACTTAGTAGCCTCTTTAGTAGTAGTTGTAGTAGTAGTTGCCTACATATAGAGTACCTACTCGGACTCTGTATATACACAGTACCATACTATAGTAGTTATAGTAGTTATAGTAGTTACTTGAATCAGCATGATTCATCCAGAGTATTTTACTGGTCTACCAACCACCCATCCCATTCGATTGGCAGGCACCTAGTAACACATCGAAATAGACAGAAATCGGAATATCGAGGAGCTGAAAGCACAAGAGAGCACACATATCCGGTCCATCCGCTCGGGTCACGGCGATAGCAAGACCTCCGGGCGGATACGCCGATCTACGATCCTATGCTCCCAGGGATGTATTTTCTAGTTAGCTACAAACATACTACATACGGAGTACTACTCTTGTAAACTTTGCGGGAATCCAGTGGGGCTAAAGCTGCGCCTCGACGGTGGGCTTGACTTGACGTACAGTACTTCTGAGCAATGTGTCGGACGAGGGTTGGTTGTATGTATGTATGTATGTGACATTTACTTTGATTCTTTTCCAGGGTCATTTTTTAGGTGCTGAGAAGATCCCACTGACAGCTACCGAGTGCATACATATAATAAGTATTCATTCAGTGACTTCAATCCAGAGTATCCATTTCCCTCTCTAGGCAGTCTTGGTGCATCTTGTTTTCTTGGTAAGGAACCCTGTCTGCCATTCAGCCAAAGAATGCAGGAAACACTGATGTTAATTAGTAGTTAGTAGTTAGTAGTTAGTAGTTAGTACTATTGAATCATTCCACTCAACTGAGACCACTACTACTACTACTACTACTACTACTACTACTCTAGGAGTAAATATTAAGTATCACAACAGCAGGCTGGTTCTTCTCGGGCCCAATGAAAAGATTGACATCATCATCATCATCAGCCTTATGACTGACTCCTTCGTCTTGCGATAACACGAACAATCCAATCATAGCCGGTGCTGGGAAATTGAATCTCGAATATTCAAATCCCATCTTCAGCCCCAGACTCAGGCGTACCGCAGTGCACACTGCATTCAACTCGTTTCCTCAGTTGGCCGCCTGAAACAAACGCACATATTGCCCCACCCCCCTCTCAAGCACTCTGGAGTCTGGAGTCTCTCTCGGCTCTCCTCTCGAGTCCTTGGGGGGGGGGGGGAGGGGGCTGATTGATTCATTGTTGGGCCAAAAACTAGCTCTCCAACACTGGCGCTCGAAAATGCACTGTTACATAGCGCTGGGCGGGGGGACAGCAAAACCTAACTCGGTAGGTGCTCGTATACTAACGACTGGGCATCTCTCTCTCTCTCTCTCTCTCTCTCAAAGGAGAGAGCTGAGACATCCCGGTCGTCCATTTCAAGGTTAGACAGACAGACAGACGCGGCTCAAAGGCCCTCCTCCTCCTCCTCCTCCTCCTCCTCCCTCGTCAATTCCCGCCTTGGTGTTCGAGCGGAGAAAAGCCAGCTAAATCCCGGTGAAATCCGAGAGCTGTCTCCTCTCCAGTGGGGGGAATGATGGATTTCAAATCCAATTATTATTGATCATCCCATGAATGAAATATTTATTTTTTATTTTTATTTTTTTTCACTCTTTGCTCGGGGGGTTTGGGTTCATGTCGCACATGAACCTTGAAATAGAACAACCCAAAGAAAAGAAAGATAATACATCATGAGGAGGAGGGGGTGGTCCTTTTCTTCCTCCCTGCTGTCTACTCCTACTCTACATGTATGCCATGCCTAAAGAAGCGCCGCCGCTGAAGATTACAACGCTTACTCTACTTTTCTTCTAGACCTGGTCCCATCGCATTGTTAATTTCGACTACTTGCGCGCAGCACTAAATAAATCTCGGACTTTGCTCCAGGGTACGGTACGGTACGGTACAGTACGGTACGGAGGACTGCCTGCTGTCGTGCACAACTCATCTCATCTATCCATCCTCCGTCGGACTTGTCCTTTGCTTTGCATCCCTAGAAAGGGTTACGTTATTGAGATTGTATATATACTGTATACCAGACTCGGCCTCTGGGGGCTGGCAATAAGATCACGTCGTATTATTTATTTCCCTTGCTGAAAATATAACATCATACATGTATATATATATACGCATGTAACTAACTAACTATATATAGTTAGTTAGTTATATGTTATGTGCTGAATAAAGAACAAGTTATGAAAACAAATCCCATATAGAAATCTTGACCCTACTAGCTGAGTACCATCTCCCTTTCTTCTATCCTACTAGAACTATCTAGAACAGGTAGAATGCTAGTCTCTCCTCTTCTTGCAAGGTCAAGGTAAGTCATGGTATGTATGGTGTATGAAAGTGATTTCCCATATCCACAGGTATTCTTCTACAGTCACTAAGAGTGAAGCAGGAGCAAAGGAGAATAAGACCAAATTTTCATACTTTAATTACTTCCATGGGTTTTCTGTCTCTGTCTTGCTGTGTCTGTCTGAGTTGAGTGTCGGGGTTGGTTTCTGTACGGTTTACTGCACTAAACATCATCGATTATGGAAAGATAAAGTAAAGAAGGGAAACATAAAAAAAAAAAAGGAAAAAGAAGCAAAAGTAGATGCAACGACGCCTCGATGCAGGTACAAGACCAGAAAGTAACGAGGAATAGAATAAATTAAAGTAATGGAACGGAATGAATTGATTGAGTTTAATACGGTAGTAGGTAGTAGAACTGAGATGAAATAAAGTGCGACTAAAAATGAAGACATGCGTGGTGATGCCTGGACGGATGGTTGGGTTGTGTGGTAAGTCGAGGAGAGGCTGATGTCGTAGACTTACTGGTCTTTGGTTGTTGGGGACGTAAGTGATGAGATTTCGGGGAGATGCGGATTGTTTGCTTGGGGGTTCACACAACTGCCTTGTCAACCTTCCGCTCCGTTTATGCTCATCTGGTCGGGATTATATCTTCGTCGTCGCATCGGGGCCTTTTTCCTTCTCGCTATAGCGGCGGCATTCTGTGCATTAGCACTACCCATCTCCGTATCGCCATCATCCTCGTGGGGTGTTGTCCCCTTGTATAAGGATGTCTCATCCAGGTCCAGAATCTCCTTTGGCTTCATCCGTAGCCATTTCATGCGTGGACCGGACCGAGACCGCTCAGAGACGCGGAATCCGTAGATGCGTGACTCGTACATTCTGTCTGGACCAAGTCCTGGGCAGAAGTTTACTGTCCGCACACCGTTTAGCTCCGCTGGCAGCACTGGGCGAGGGGCCTCGCTGGGTTGGGTGCCTGTGGTGGGGTTTGCTGTTGTAGTCGTTGCTGTGGTGGTCGAAGGGAATGAGCTCGAGCGTGTAGGGGACATTGTGCTTAGGGGTCCGTCGAGTCGGGGCCCGATGTCCAAATCAGGGAATGTCATGAAGAATAGGCAACCAAAGGTAGTTCCAAAGAAAGCGCCGTCGACAGAGTGGAATCGGCTGTTTGGAGGCATGTAAAGGTCCTGGCAACTGGGGCAGAACAGCTTCACAGTATCTTGACCTGGAGTGTCGGAACGCCCCACTGGTAGCACTTTACATCCGTTGCAATAGACCCGTGGGCAGACGCCAAAATGTTGCATCTCGTACTTTTCCAGCATCTGCTGGATGCCCGGCCGCGAAGTGATGTATCGCTGGTGGATCAATCCGTATAGCAACTCCGCGGAGCTTTCAATCACGCTCAAATCGCTGGCCACTCGTGTATGTCTCCGCTCGCCGGCCCTGCGGTATCCCGGGGGTTTCTCATCACCGAGTAACTCGTCGTCATCCTCCTCTTCCTCCTCCTCCTCTTCTTCCTCTTCATCCTCTTCCGGTTCTACATCTAGAATCATCTCTAGCGCCTCCTTGTACATGGGCACCTGCGATTGCAGTCCGGTCAAGTTGAAGTCATCCTCGATAAAATCCTCCGATACCTCTGCAAAAAACTCGTGACCCATGAGGGAGCAGAACGAGGAGATCCACGACTCCGGGGCGCCTTCGGAGGACGACATATCGAACGAGTCGGACGCGGATGAGGATGGCGTTGATTCAGACAGTTGACTCAGATCCAGCCTATCTAGGCCGTCGGCCAACGCCGAGCCTATCTCTCTCGACACGTTGCCGAGATACAATTAAAAACGAGGAGCTGGTTCAATGACGCTTTCGTCGTTGCGGTGGGGTGGGTTCTATCAGATCCCAATCGCCCCTCTTTAACCACGGATTTTTTTTTGGCTCGAACTTAACGGTTTTCCCTGCTACCTGAGCAGAGAAGATAATAATATGCGAGGTAAAAAAAAAAAAAGGAGGGAGAAAAGTGAATGTAGGTCAGAAGAGTGAAGGTGTCCTGATAAGCCGAGGGGTCATGTCAATGTGCGGGACCGCTGCGGATTGTTGTGCGATGAGGAAAGGTTGACGCGATGGAGCTTTCCCACCACCGCTTAAACGGCCTCAGAGGGGCTACCACAGTTCACAAAAAGGCAGACCTCAAGCGATAGAGGTTAATCTCCCTCAATTCTGGGTCTTCAGCGACAACCACGATCAACCGGTGTATATTAGCGAAATTTTTTCTGCAGGACAGAGATGTGATCGACCGACGGAGGTTGGCGAGCCTCCGAAATTAGGTTCGTGGGGCGGTGGACGAAGAAGTGGATGGGAAGAATCCGGTTGTTTTCGGGCTCTGGGGAGGAATAAGGAAGAGGAAACCTTTTTCGAGTTCGAAAATAATGATCGCTGAAACTCTGGTCTTGTATCAGAGTGATCAGGATGGAATCGATGATTGAGCTGTTGAAGATGGAGGTTGGGAAACGCCGCAGAAGGCCTGAGATGCCAGATGTTCACGTGATATAAACGATGCCTCAGGCTGCAATTCATGCCTGACCAAGCGGAAAGCAGGTGGTGGAAGCATGAGCCTACGGGATATAAAATCCGTAATTAAAAAGGGAGAGGGAGATGGATAAGACTGCCGCAATAAAAGGAAAGGGGGTTCTGATAGAAACCTGGGTATTGGGGGCTCGACGCTACAAGAAAAGCAGTCCGTATGGTATCAATATTAGAACAAGACAAGGCCTAGAACAAATCCCTGATGACTCGCGAAAATTCGCCTTCATCTCCTAGCACCCCCGAAAGACCTTCCCCGGTATTCTGTAATCCTCCGTCATGGCCGACAAACCCATTAATCCCTTCTGCTCCGGCCGACGTCATAAAGGTGCCAAATCCTCCGACCGCCTCGAATAGATTCGTAAGCTCGTGGCTCATCTGTATGCCATTCAAGGGGCTATTCCCTAACTCTCCGACGCTATTCATGGGCCTGTAAACCGATAAATCTTCCATCGGGTGCCCAGCTAGACCGGCCATGGCGACGGCTGCTGTCGAGTGCGGGTCATTGTCATCTGACCCAAACGGACGAGCTAGAACCCCCAGTTTTTCTCCAATCTTGCGGAGACCTTTGATGGTCTTCCACAGACGCTTCGAAACGTAAGATTTGGTGCTGAATCCGTTGACAAGATCAAGAGCCAGGTAGAACTCGTCCCGCACTTGGCGGTTGAATTCAGAAGGAGCGTGACATACGGCTAGAAAGAGGACGGCTAAAGCCGCAACCAGAAAGTAGTTGAAGGTGACTTGCTGTGTACGGTAAATGTCCGAAGTTTGATTCAGTCGGGTTAGTACGCGCACTGTGTCTTTGGCGACATCCACCACAGTTTGAGCATGGCTCTTGCCTTCCGCAATGCTCGCTGCAGAGTGAAGGACAGGTCGGTAGATGAGGATTCGTAGTTGATTCATTCGCAAGTATAAAAGCACCCGCAGCCGTCGGAGACCGCGGCTGGCGGTCTCTCCTTGTCTCGGAGAGTCGCTCTGATAAAATTTCAGCACATCTGGAACTTTTTTATACCACTGTAGAATCTGATAATCCAAATAGCCAATCTCATCTCGCCGTATGTCTGTGGTGCCTTCAGAGCCCAATCCAGCGTACCAGATCTTAGAGCCGAGGCGATTGTATGATACCATACACCTCATATATGGCAATGAAGCATCCTTAAAAACCCGTCAGTGAAAGAGGATTATAGGAGCAGCATATCCTAATTTACCGGTTCTGGTAGGTTGGGATCGATATCCTCGTCTTGTATGACAAATGGTAGCCCAGTACCAAGACTCCACCGCCTGTCTAGACAGTAAATGGCCCAGAATATTTTCACAATTTCGGGCCACTGTGCCTCATTTGGGAATAATTTGGCTAGCGCGTCTCGTCTATGTAAGCCCATCTCAAGGCACATACGAGCAGCAACCCCGATGATACGGTAAGCGAGAGCGTCTTCGTCCGTGTGAAAATGATACGTTGCCTGTTCGTGTTAGAAAGCACCTTTACTGGGATTAGGCGTAGATTACCGTAATGGAAAGAAGTTGGATAGTCTTGATATCCAGCGTTTCCCAAAGTTTTGATCCAATCACCGGCTTCACGCTCAGATACAGACGTTTGCCGAGATCGCTCTGTCCACCGCCTTCCACGACGAGGGTAGTAGCGAGTATCATTTTCAAAAGATTCGTGTTGTCATCTTCGAGGCCATCTGTACCTGCTATCCCTCGATGCATGAGCCCAGTCCGCATCGCCGCTTCCATAAAGATATAAAGCAGGTTGACTTGATCGATGACCCGGTCAATCTCGACAAGCGGATACATTATACCGACCTCCTCATCATACACGCGACACAATCGTAAAGCTTCCTCTCTCTTAATTGCCCATATGGGGTCTTTGGTGGGATGCATACTGGATGCCAATGCAGATCCATGGGGAGGTGAATCTGCAGGCGTAGCGTGTGCGCTAGTGAGATCATCTTGAATGACTTCCTCAGCGGTTGTAATGCCCATATGCCGAAGGCTGGATCTGGCGACGTCAAAATTGAAGGCAGAGCTCGTGGGTCCTTGAAATCTAGGATGTCTTATCCGCGGTTTACTAGGAGGCGCATGTATAGGTGTAATGACCGAATGAGAGCCATCACGGGAGAAATTGTCGAAATTCGGGGAATCGAATGCGGTTTTCTGTGTGCGGAGCTCGCTGAGGCTAGAGAACAGGTTGCTGACTTGATCCTGAAGAGTGGCAATCTGGTCCTTCATCGATCGGAATTCCCTACCAAGCAAAACTGCTCGTTAGCTAGGGAACAACAGTAGTATCACAAAATCGCCGGGACATACTCGGAGTCTTTGAAGTTATTATTGCAGCAATTAGGGGCATAGCGACCTTGAAGGAATGGTTAGCGGTATACAAATAAAATCCGGCAGGCGACTCACATTCAAGCTTGAGGTGTCCACAACGTTGGCAAGGGACCTGTCCATTACATTTGATTTTCCGACGCTTGCATTCATTGCTACCACCATTAATCAATCATATGGTCCGCTTGTAATGAAAGAAAGATGAGTGGATTAGCTGGGCTCGGCGCATACCAGGCGATGGAGATGTAGCGATTCCGCTTGGAGCGCGTTTGCGTTCCGTTGGGCTGTTCCGCCTTTCGTTTCCCGTTGTCGGAGGTGGGAGAATCGTTTTGCTCTGCTGCTGCTGGCTGAGGCAACGTCTGCTCAGCCTGGGGGGAAGCTGAAGCCATGGCAGGCAATCTTCTGGATGATCCGATGCGTTCGGGGTGTGAGGAAAGGCAGGAAAATGTGCGGATAGATTCCTTTTCTTCTCCTGATGGGCGCGGGGGTTCCGTTCCCCAGACTTTGAGGGTCCACCACTGCTCGCCAATAAGCTGGGAATATTGCAGATAGGGAGTTGAGTATAAGTAGAGTGGTTTGTGCAATATTGACCTGGAGATATGAGATTTTTTAGCATAACTTTTTCAGTGCGAGTCTTGAGTTAACACTTACCTCGTAGGACTAGAATAAATCGGTATCTCCACGGAATATATACAAATACCTACAAGCTGTGTTGATTGAATTATCCCAGAGTATATTCGAAATTCAGAGTCACATATCTGAATACTATGTAGTAGATCACCATGTCGCACGCCCAGTGTTCGAATAAGCAAAAGTACTCCGTCCGTATCTCATCAGCGAGGAGCGGAAATTCCCGAAGTTCCGTGGCACGGGCCTCGAAACCATCATCACCATCCGGCCATAAATCTCCAGTCAGCCTCCCATCCCCCGTCACCCTCGATATTTTTTCTGAATGAAGGTCCAGCGATGTTTATTGCACGGTAACCTTCGGGCCCAGGTCCATTGGCTACCCACCGTCTCACCAATCCGAGTCCGAGCCCCAGCACCCAAGCGATGCGGAAACGTCCGTCTTAGACATTACACATCCCCAGCACCGCGAGGATACCGTCCGCTAGAGACCCTCGAAGATGCCAACATAAACTCCTTTCGTGAGGAATACTTTACTCCGGAGCGTCCTATAATCCTCCCCCGTCGGTACTTTCGCAACATCCCTGCCTTCCAACGCTGGTTCCAGTCCTCCCCGTCGCTCGCAGTCGCGCAACTGAATACCGCATACCTAGCCCAACACGGTGCAGACGCATCAGTTCCTCTCGAGCTTACGCAGGTAGATGAATCGGCGCAGAAATTTCGCAAGTTCTACGGGCCCCTTAGTCTTTTTCTAGACTGGATTCGCGCAGCAGAGTTACAGCCGCAGTCCACACGCCTCTATCTAGCCCAGTGCCAGTTACTGGACTTGCCGCAGGTGCTTCGGGATGACTTCCCTACACCGGAGCTTGTAGCGCAGGCCGGCAAAGGCGATGTCTATGACACTAATGTGTGGATTGGCTATCCGCCGACGTATACCCCTCTGCACCGGGACCCCAATCCGAACCTGTTTGTTCAGCTTGCCGGGCGGAAGGTAGTGCGATTGTTAACGCCCAATGATGGGCAGATAGTGTTTTCGGCTGTACGTGGACATATTGGTCGAAGTGGGGGGCGGGAAGCTGCTGCCTTTCGTGGGGAAGAGATGATGCAGGGACAAGAGAGGGGTTTGCTGGAGCAAGCGGTTTGGGATGAGACAGCTGGGCAGAGATACCAAGGGTATGAAGCAGAGTTAGAAGCGGGCGATGGGCTGTTTATTCCCAAAGGGTGGTGGCATAGCATTAAGGGGACGGGGGAGGGCGTCACAGCTTCGGTAGGTTCAAAGCAAAATGCCGCTTTTGATAAGCTAATATATTATAGGTCAATTGGTGGTTTCGATGACGCCAAGCTAATATTCCCATTGAGAAGAGCTATTGGTCAGTTCAACTAATTTTCTTGCCGAAAGACTACTACTCCGTAGGTAATTGCGATGTTAGACGACGACAATCTACCAGCGCGTGGAAATAGTGTCGGGCCGTCTCTAAATGTACAGAGCCTCAGTACTCCGTACGAAACCAACAAAACCAGGTTTTAACTCAGCCAAATAATCATACATGATATTTAACGTATAAGAATCAATCCAATAACGTCTTACTGAATGCCATAAATCCATCTAGTATCGGGTCCAACAGCTCTAAAACCACGGCCCATCCATCCACCATCTTCTAGAACCTTACTAACGCCACAACTCCACCACCAACTTTCCTTCCCCGAAAATTCCAGAACCACCTTCACTCATAGGTATCTCTCCACCACCACCACACCTTATCATATACAGTACTATAATTCCAGGCCAGCCACATACAACATATAATGCGCATGTCTCTCACCACGCTAACCCGAACAACAACCACCCTCCTCCACCTCCTCCTCTCCCTGCCTCTGCGCGCATCCACAACATCAAGTACACCTCCGCTTGCGCTTGCGCTCTCGCTGTCCCAATCACCAACCCGATCCTTCTCCTCAACATCAACTCTCCTCCAGCAGTGCCCTGCAACAAACCTATCCCCACACTCATTCCCATCATCCTCGAACACAACCGCAACCGCAAACACATACTCGACAATGTCGCAACCAACCCAAGAACCCCCAACCCCCAACCCAGAACCAAGAGACGCAGAAAACCAAAAACCCACCCAAGAACCCCCGCTTCTCGCCCTCCCGTCTGCGGAAGAACCGGCGAACTTCAAACTCGACCTCAGCAGCGGCGACTCCACAGTGAAGCTCGACCATCTTGGTCCCCTTGTCGTGAACCAGGACGGAACACTCTCGCGGATTGGGAACTGGGCGCAGATGACGGAGCTGGAGAAGAAGAACACGCTGAGGGTTCTGGGGAAGCGGAATAAGGCTAGATTGGAGGCTTTGAAGGCCAGCCAGGCGGGAGAGGATTAAGTATTGTTGGATTTTTGTTTTTGGGTGGTGAGAATGGAGAGACCTTGTCTTGGGTTATATAGTGTGGTTATAGAAAGTGTGTACAGTGGGGGATTTTTTTTAGAGCGACGCATATCTACTACATGCATGTTTATTTTAGATTATGGTGTTTACAGGTAAGTGTTTGATTTGTATTCGTGTATCGTAACCTGTTGTGTGTGTGTGTGTGTGTGTGTATATATACTTTATATTGATACTCATACTTACACTGTACTGGACTTTCACTTGAATATCCAATCTCCAAATCTCGAGAAAGGGTTACTATACAGGGGGGTTAGAGCCGGTGCCGACCAAAAGGTAAAGTAAAAGAAATGATAACATACCTCGCTGGCTCGGGAGAGTAGTTTCTTGTATAGTCTTCAATCTCCTCGACTCCACTGGTGACATCGATATCCTCTGGCTTCCGGAACTCGGTGCGGTGAATAAACTTCCACCCGAAGTATAGAACTGGGAACACCCCAATCATCGTGTACGAGAAGAAGAAAGTCGGTACGTCCCAGTTACCAGGAAGAAAAACCTCGTAGCCCCCTACGAAAGCCATGACGGTTGTCGCGACCAGGGCAATGTAGGCGATGTACGGCTGGCCGAGGCTTTGGTAGGGAAGGGTCTCGCGGGAGACGCCTTGAGCCATAAGGGCTTTCCGGAATCGAGTATAAGTAAAGGTGATGACCGAGAAGTTAATGAGTTGTGATGCGGTGACCTAAGCAATCAGATATACTCATTCCCGAAGATATGGCGAGTGACCTACCAAACTGACAAACCATGAGAGTACAACTGATGCACCGTTGGAGACCTGCAGGAATGCGAGAAGCGCAATGAGAAGAACAACCCCAACACAGTATACCGGAACTCCGGCTTTCGTGCACTTGGTCAAGATCCGGGGTGCTTTGCCTTCCAAGGCAAGACCATACAAGCTTCGACTGGCGCAGTACACGTAACTATTCCCCGCGCTGAACGCGGCCAGGAGAACCAGGGCATTGACAATATGAGGCAAAGCAGGGATGTTGAGTCGCTCCATTGCAATCACATAAGGCGAAGCAGCAGCTCCAGGAAGACTGTTACTGAAAGCATCGGCCATCTCTGTACTGTTGTATGGAACCAGGATACCAACGCAGAGTGCACCCAAGATGAAAAAGGAGGTCAGCCGGTAAAACATGCCGTTGTAAGCCTTTGGGAGATTTCCTCGTGGGTTGACTGATTCTCCTGCAGCCATAGACAGGTAGTCAGGCCCTGCAATGGTGAAACTGGCCTGGATCAAGCAGGCGAGAAACCCAAGAAACCTTCCGAGGTCTCCAGGCTTGTAATACTCAGCAAATGCTCCGGGCTCTTTCCAGTGTCGGAATCCAAAACGATCATGTTGCGGGTTTCCACCCAACATCGCAATGAACGTGAACAGGATCAATCCTACACTGAGCAAGACCTTGCTAAGGGCGAGCCAAAACTCCGACTCGCCGTACCATTCGACGGCAAAAACGTTTAATAGTCTTCATAGCGTCAGGAGAGTCCGAAATAAAGGGATATGAAAGACGCACACGTAAAGAACAAGTATGATGGAAATGATGGCTGCTAACGGAACTGCATCACTCCAAAAATGAATAATCAGGTTACAGGCTGTAATCTCAAAAGGAACCAATGCAGCCTCGAAGATGAAAAAGTTGTAACCCGCAGCCATTCCGAAGGCATCATCAACGTAGCGGCCAGCGAAGTGAACAAAAGGGGAGGAAATCGGTAAATAAGTAACCATTTCAGCCAGACCTAGATTCTGTTTAGCATCACATACCAAAGGGCTGCGACATAACCCGCTACACTGGGCATTCAATGTTGCGATGGGGATTCCGAAGGACACCACGAATTGAATTCAAGACGCATTGGATATGGGGATTTGTCCAGAGAAGGCTGCTTTGGGCAAGGTTGCCGTTGCTGGAGGAAACTGGGCTTCAAAGATGGGGGCTTCGTACAAACAGTTATACACAAGATAACTCCGCACCTAGAATAAGAGATGTATAAGATACTTGGGTCTTCCAGAAGAGGAGCAAAATTGGACACAAGAGGCAATGGATCCATGAATGGGTATTAACGTGGGACATTCGAGGGCAGTTGTCGCAATGGGTCTTTTCATCCGACAGGCTCAATGTTTCGTTGTCTACTGCGAGTTGGCTAGTCCGTGCTTTATTTCTTCGCCTCCATACATATCTAATTTCCAAAAAGTAGTTCTGTAGAGCCGTGGGAGCGAGATGGATAGCGCAACGACCAAACAGACAGGAAACCTACCACAGAGTAAATGCCAGGAATAAACTTCCAGGGCCTCCTTTCGCCAATGTTTGACCAATCTGGACATAAAGCGCTGTACCAATTGTACCGCCAATGCCAATCAGCTGAACATGTCTGGGTTTTAGCTTGCGATGAGTATGATCATAGGTAGGCTTCGATCCCTCCTCAATGAACTCTTCCTGATTATCGATAACAGGATGCTTTTCGGCAAAGTCACCTTTGCTCCCTGGACGTTTTGTAAGACCATCCGAGGCCAATCCGAGGTCGTGCGCTATGATCGTGGGGGGAGAACTAGAGGGGTCGGCACTGGACTGAGTAGACATTGCTAAGAACCCGTAAGGTGAGGATAAGAGGGTTTAAGATAGAAAAAAACTCGTAAGAAAACTGAAGAAAATGAAAAAGAGAAAGCAGAGCGAAACCAAGAAGCTAAATAAAGGATCCATCACCAGAAGCAGCACAAGAAGTGGCAGGCAGACTCGATTTCCAAACCAACTATCACGGTAGCATCAGCCCGCCGCTTGTGGCTTACCGAAAAGAGAAGGGGGAGGAAATGCTTCAGTAAAGCAGCCATAGCGATTAGGTGCCTCGTGCGAATAACTAAGGACATGTGAGCAAATCAACAGAGAGCAAAACCTGCTAACCAGTCGGAAACCCCATCATCATCTTCGTAGTCTCCACCATTTGGTGTGTGGGCAGTAGGAAGGATGGCGGGCCAAGGCATCCCAAAGACCCCTTATGCGCCGGACACAATATGACTGGGTTCCAAGGGAATTCCAAGCACGCTAAGAGGCAAAGAGAGTCAAGCTCACGCGAGTTAGGAATAACAAAAAAGATCCTAGCAGGAGTGTAGAATATGAGAGATGGCCGGGTGAGGGAAATTGGGTGGAATGTGGGAATTTTTTATCTTTTGCTTCCTGTTCTGGAGCACAAATTTGTTACTGTGATAGATTCTTCATTTCATGTAGGAAATGATGGTATACTTGATAATTATTCCTACCAGAGTCGTTATAAAACACTTGTCTCCCTTAACGAAGTGGTTGTTATGCACCCACATACACAATTCCAAGCCACTGCCGCCCGACATAATCATGCAGTAGTTAGCGCCGTGCTAACGATGGCATCTGTCGTCCGTCAGCGTAAGAGTAGATTGACGCGCTGTCTCTCCGTATTCTTTTACCCATTCAAGTATCAAATACCTGAGATCCCTTATCATCATTGTATTCCAGCCGTGCCTGTAAACTGTGGGTATGGCATGGACATTATTGTGATATTAACCCTCCAACCTATAAAATCCGTTGGCTGCTAATTACACGTTGCGTAGGTGGCGTTTCTCCGAGAAATTATATTGATGCTCTATCAAGCCTAGGTCAGCCTATGTGGTTTGCTGCTCGACGGACACAGACACATACGAGTTCCCACACATCAACGCGAGATAACTTTTCAAACAACCTATTATCACTACTGCAGAGCATGTTCCTGATCTTGATCACCCCGAGCTGGAGTTTCCTCTAACCACTCGGGCGCAAAGAAGCATGAGTTGTCTTGATAGTGAAGATAATGTGAAATACCAGACTCAACGGAGCCTGTCGACTCGATAGAGGTAGCCCGATGGGTCCTTCTATCAGGTTCGAGGCTCTGGTCGGTCCTTGTAGAGGGCTGGGGCAGTTGCCGTTGTCGCGATTCTTTTTGCTTCTTTTGATGTGAAGCCATAGTTTAGAGAAATAGGATACGTTGATCAACTCGGGAAAGCGGCTTTTTGATATGAAACTTTCTCACAAGAGGGGTGTACTCTGCTACCGCAATGATGCTTTTTTTTATTAGGAGTTGTCTGTATCCAAGTCCAGGTCACTTCCTTCGCTGCTCTATATGGCGATTAGTCACGGGCGCGGGCTTGACGTCAGAGATCTGGTCCTGTGTGCCTCGGCCCAAGTCTACAAATACACAATGGCATATACCTGCAAATAAACTAGTAGGTAGGTTAATCTAGCTGACTTCTCTTATCTCACTACTCAATGGATACCAAAAACTTGAACAGAAATCTGGTGAATGGAGAATGGAGTGAAGCACCGTAAGTATCTCGATTCTCGAGCCTAATTTCACGACTAGATTCCCAATCCAAGGAAGAGCTCCTGAAAACCAATAGAAACAGCCCTAAATAACTCGGTAATCCCAACCTAACCGTCAACCTATATGATTAAATACAATAAAGAAAGAACCTAGGTAGAACCAACTGGCAGAGGAAGCTCCCGGACCCACGACATCGGCCTCCGGCTCACTCCCCGCATCCGTCTGGAGTTTGCCGTACGAATTTAATCAGTCAATCCTAACCCTTTCCTACACCAACACCTCGTCTCTACCCTCTCCTCTCTACCACAAATACAATGACTGAAAACGGTCAATCGTCCGGTCGCTTTGCACCCAAGGTGCCTGTTCAGCTGGATCCTCCCAAGGATGACCCGATTACCGCAGAGGAATTAGCCAAGTGTGATGGTGGGTTTTCTTCCTGCCAAACCCACTTCCAAGCCCCTTATCTACATGCATATAACAACTCAGAAATCAAATGGATCAAAGTTAACGTAACCAGGTACTGATCCCAGCCGTCCAACTTTGGTTGCGATCAAGGGGATTGTCTTCGATGTTAGCCGAAACGCTGCGTATGGGGCTGAGGGGCAGTATCGCGGTTAGTATCTATTCTGCCTTTTTTTTCTCCCCCTCTTTTCCTCTGTCTATCCCCCATCTCTTGGGGGGGGGTTCTGAAATATTGAATTTCTATCATCTACAATATGTTAAAAGAGTGAGACTGATGTACTGGGTTGAATTAGTGTTCGCTGGAAAAGATGCCTCGCGGGCTCTTGCCTGTTCATCCCTAAAACCCGAAGACTGCAGACCCGATTGGCATGATCTTGCAGACAAGGAAAAGAAGGTCCTCGAGGAATGGTATACGTTCTTTAGTAAGAGATATAACATTGTGGGTAAGGTGAAGGAGGCTACAAACTACTGAAAGCGAGCCGAGGTTCTACTCTACGCGGAATGAAATCGTTTTTTTTTTTCCCCTTCTCTTTATACCCTTGTATTTCTGCTATATTTTGATTGCCTCGCCTTGCCTTTCCTTTGCTACTGGGCTACTAAGCTTCTAAGATCATATGTCGTGTCTACGAATAGATTTCGAACTAGGGTCATTCGAGAATGATGTATAATTCCAGATAAAATATCTGTGCACACGCGCTAAATAGATTTCTATACTACGTATAACCTTTTTTCCAGCCGTATCCAACTAGGTAATAATCTAATCCATGATCCCAATCAAGCATTTCCCTTACGGGTCCTCCGTTGCATCCTCTTCTTCGCGATAATCCGATTACGTTTGGCGATTTTGTTCTGCTCTTCCGAGTCCTCCTGGCCCTTGCCGGTGCCGTTGCCGCTTTCGCTTCGCTTTCTCTTCTTCCCCTTGGGATCGGAGTTGTTCTTCCGGTCGTCGTTTTGCACAGCACCGGCATTCTTCTGGTCTCCCTTCTTGAAATTGCGCCTTTTGGCCTCCTGGATCTCATTTCGGCGCTTCACGACTTGGGCGTTCTCGATAGCGAACTCGACAATCAGGCGTTTCTTGCGGTCCTTAAGCTCCTTGGGGGCATCCTTGGGCGCTTCCACGGCGTGTCCATTCAGCCATCTCAAACACATAAGCGCATGGCGATGGGTGAAGAATTCGATGAACCCATAGCCTCTGCTTCTTCCTGCTCCGCTGTTCTCGTTGACCTTGCTGCCGTCGCGGCCCTCGAAGACGATCTTCGCCTGTCTGACCACACCGACTCCCTTCTTTTTCCTCAGCTTCTCTGCCTCTTTCATAGATTCAGAGGAACGTTCGGCCTCTTCTTTTGAAAGCGGTTGTCGACGGCCTTCTTTGGCATCCTTGGCGAATCCAACGATAGCCTGGCGGGCTAGCTGTTTCAGGTCCTTGGACGTCACATGGCGCGGAAGGTTACGCACAGCAAGCCGGGTCAAGCTGAAGTGGAGAGCTGGGTTCTTCTTGATAAAGTTCTGTCGCTGTTTGAAACTGTCCTCTCGCATCTTGATTTCCGATGGTGACAGCTGCTTGTATAAGGTGGAGTTAGGTGAAACGGTTCCCTCTTGTAGCAGATACAGGCATCGCTTATCGGTGTCGCGGACGAGACGACGAGAGACTCCCTCCTCCTCGAGTTGCGTGGCTCGGGACTTGCTAACGGCGCGGCTGACTTGGAGCACACGGCCGTCCAGGGTATATCGGCCACTGGGATCGGAGTTCTCGTTCTGCAGAATAGAGTGCTTGATTGCAGAGCCCTTCTTTGCTTTCTCTTTGTCGGTGATCAGAGTATCCTGTTGCTTAGGAGCCTCTTGCACACAGGACTGAGCGTTCTCGGGTTTCCAGAAGCAAACGAAGCCAGTACCACGGGGGCGTTCGGTCTCGGGGTCAACAACGATTCGTGCATAACGGAGGGGGCCGAATTGCGCAAAGTGTTCGTAGAGGGTTTCGTCTGTGCATGTAAATGGCAGGTTTCGGATGAATATCGTAGAGGCGTTTCGCTCGTCTTCTTTTTCCTCTTCCGGTTCCTCCTCGTCCTCCTCATCTTCGTCCGCTTCATCGCTCTCGCCCATGCTCACATCATCGTCATCGTCATCTTCAACAGAGAGCGATTCATCTTCATCCATATCTGCCTCTGCCTCATCCATATCAACATCATTTGACTCTTCCTCGGCTTTTTCTTCCTGTTGCTTCTGTTCTTCCTGTTGTATATTTTCCCAGACTTCCTTCTCCACAGCCCAATCCACCGCCAGAGTTCTACCATCAACCTCTTTCCCGTTCACGGCCTCCAGGGCCTTTTCGGCATTCTTTTTACCCCTCAACGTAACAAATCCGAATCCTCGAAGTTCGCCCCCTTTCTTAGGGAGATCAACGTATTTGACCTTTCCAAAAGACCGGAAATACGCTGCCAGATGCTCTGGCTCCTTCACACTCCACGGTAAATTTCGAACAATGAGCCTTGGAGGCCGCGTGTCTGCTTTGTTTTGCTCTCGCTCCTTCTTCCGCTCCAGTGCAGCAGCAGAAGGCACACTCTTTCCCCCAGTCTCATCAACTACACGCTGACGGGGCTGGGCGTAATCAACCTTGATCTTCTTCCCTTCAAAGGTCGACCCATTGAATTCTTCCAGCGCAGCTTTGGAATCTTCGACATCGGCAAAGGTCACGAAACCGTAGCCCTTCGACTGCTTGGTCTTGGGATCAAGGACAACAACCGCATGTTTGATCACGTAGGACTGCGAGAAGTATTCTGCGAGGCTTTCGGTCGTCACTGAGGCGGGAAGCGATCGGACGAACAGTTCTCTCCTGGGCTGCGAGGAGGATCCTTGTTCTTTCTTGTTGTGGGAATCCACGGTCGCATTATCTACCGGAACACCTCCAGAGAGGTTTCCCGAGGTATTCATTTCGTCGCTGTCAGACATGACTGACGGTGTGGATGCAATTGTATTTTTTTTTTTTTTTTGGTTTCTGGAGCAAAAATCAACGGCAGAAAAAATCCCAGTCGATATTTCGGGAGAGGTGTGGGTCAAGGCGGTGAGCAGGATGGATCCTGGCGTCTGCGCTGCGATTAGATATGTAGAGCTTCTCCGCTGCCCTGCGAACTTGGAAGAAACGCGCAACAAACACGACAAAGGAAGAAACGCTGTGTGTGAAGGCAATGGCGGGTGAATTACTTGATGATGAAGCTGCAGATTTGGACCTGTTGATTCATGCAGACACAGCAGCTCCTTCTCAGGAATCAGGAAAAGCGACACCAAAGCCTGTTGCTGAACAACCGCCACCATCCAAGGTCCAGCAACCGAAACCACAGGCCCTTCCAACTAAATCCGGGCCCTCTGCGATTCTAGTTTCAACAAGACAAAAAGGGAACCCAATACTCAATCATATGAAACTCCTGCCATGGGAGTATGTCGATATCCCCGCTGACTACGTTATTGGAGGCACTAGCTGTGCTTTGTTCCTATCACTAAAGTATCACCGATTGCATCCCGAGTACATTTATTCGCGAATCCGACTACTTGCAGGAAAATATCTACTTCGGGTGCTTCTGGTTATTGTGGATATCCCGAATCATGAAGAGAGTTTAAAAGAGCTCTCGAAGACATCGATCATCAACAACCTTACCCTTATCCTTTGTTGGTCTGCTCCAGAAGCTGCGCACTACCTGGAGCTTTTCAAATCATGCGAGCATTCTCAGCCGACCGCAATTCGGACTCAGCAGGCACAGTCCTATAAAGATTCTCTTGTGGAATTTGTCACAGCTCCCCGGAGTATAAACAAGTCTGACACAGCTAGCCTGATATCTACATTCGGGAGTCTCCAGAACGCCATTAATGCGCAGCCGGAACAAATAAGTGCAGTGCCTGGATGGGGTGAGAAAAAGGTTAAGCAATGGTGCAATGCTGTACAAGAGGACTTTAGGGTTGAGTCAACGAAAAGAGCCATAGCTCCTAAACGAACCGTGGTAGGGCAAGGGGCGAGGGGTTTGAGTAAGATCGACACTGCTATGTCTGACACAATAGAGACGAGAGTTGAGCATGAAAGTCTTTTTGTGGAAGATGACGGTACGCCTTCGGGGAATTTGAGAGAGGAAGCTCAGCAAGAAGGCATGAGTGAAGGAATCCTGGCGGCACTAGCAAAACTTCGAGAGAATGGCAGCTGAGCAGTGATCTTTCCACGTTGTTGAGAACATGCGAGTAACTGCGCGTTAAGAGGCACATCCCATATACAATGGAAAGCGGCCATCCCAGCTCCCGGAACAAAGTTCACGATTGAGACAAGATCAGACAATGTATGATTGCTATGTGTTACCACTGGCTTTGCCCGGGATAGCATGAGGCATGCATGATCAAATTCGGGATATACCAACTTGCTGTTCTTATAGAACAAGTCCGAGAGAGTGCCAGCGAAGATATGTATCTCTATCTCTATCTCATGGAAGATAATCTCTTTGTACTTATACTTCCGATTAGGTTTAGTATACCAAAAACTCAATCTCTACCACAAGCCCCGTCAGCCACTAGAACCTAGGTCCATACCACAACATGAATCATTGATCTAAATCGAATAACAAAGCCCTCTGCCGAAAATTTGGGGCCAGAATCGAAGCCAAGAGCTCCCCATGGGGATGATCGTTGCATTGTGGAGCATAGTGTGAAGTATATGTAGGTATCCTCAGCCTGCATGTGGCCTTACGCGGGAGCTAAAAGGCCTCACTCTGGCACCTGCGGCCGCACACACACGCACACACACACGATTTAAAACGCAACTCCACAATGTATCTTCTCCATTTTCATTTTCATAAATTATCAGATTATTCCGCAGCTTACTTCTAGTACATAGGTAGTTCTATAGAAAGGACCAATTGAGACTGGCTGAGTCAGGTGGTAATGTCTAACTATCACGTGGAGAATGTGGTGGGGTAAAGCTCCAAAAAGGGAAATCGGGCAAGAGGCGAACATTGGACTTGTGGACTTGTGGACTTCCTGGCCTCTAACTGACTTTCGTTGGTACAGTATAGTCTATGCGCCAGCCATCTTGGATAGCTCCAGATCCCGCTCCAGCCTGTGACGATTCCTTGTTTTTGAGTCCTCTTACCCAACCGAGCTGAACATCTCCCCCACACCAGTCCGGATCAGTCGATTATCATCACTATTACGGAGTATAGCTATCTGTTTTTCTCAACTGCCGGGGCGGGCCCGATCATGAGACGATGGGAGGAGGCTGATAAGGACGCTGGGCTAAGTGGATGGCCTGATGACACGAACGTTCAGCCCTGTACTATAGAACCTAGGTCCTCATCAGCCGTCCCACTTCTACGCCAGTCTTCCACCAGTAACCATCGTCGTCCTAATGCCGCAACTGAATCGTCGAGGGATGCAACCACCCGGCCCCTTAAGGCTGTTCAGCAGGGTTCATCTTCATTGCCGGCGCAATCCTCGTATCAGTCAAAGAGCTTTGAATTTGTGCTCGTTACCGATAATGAATCCCGGCGGCAGGTTCGGCGGCATGCGATGCGCCAGTACATGCATCAGCGTCGGCTAGACAGCATAGCGCGTCTTGGGGCACCTCGTGTCCCTGTGAGTGGGTGGACTACACGTACTACCCCGGGGTCTCCTACACCGTTAAATCCATCTGTTGAGAAGATAGACAATGTGGCCGATGAGGTGACGGTGAAGTTAGAGAAAGGGTCTCCCTCGAGCGATGAAGATCGATATACTGGGGATACGGGGGGAAAGCTCCCGTATGCAGTACGGCCCAAAAGCCAGAAGGTGAAGCGTGAAGAAGATGCAGCTCTTCCACTCGTTGTGAAACCCAAATACTCTAATCCTCGAGTATTTCCAGAGCAACGTGTGTTTGGGGATCCTTTCAGCACGTACCCGGTACCCACCAGTGAGGGAGATCAGGAATTGATCCAACACTGTAAGTCGTCAATTCACTTTGTGTGTGTTTTTTTTGAGACATGAAAAGAATACGACAGGTTTCAAGATGCTTCTAATTTCTTGCTGCATCACCACTCCCAGCCTTGATTAATTCAAGCTTACATTTGTGAAGTCGTTGTGACGTACCCGTCGATGATGTACAAGTTTACTAGCTCCGCCGCAAACAACTTAAACCCAATGCTAGATATATTTCGGAAACTTGCGTTGCATGAAGACCTCCCTTTCCAGGCCATGCTTGCCATCGCCTCGAAACATCGCGCAGCCGTAGAAGGCAAGACCGAGTCGGTCCAAAGTCTCACGCATAAGATGCGCACGCTGCGGTTGATAAACGAGCGAATTCATATGGACTCGAAGGGACAAGATGATGGGGTTATCTATGCTATTGCGACAATGGCTGTCATCGAGGTAACCTAGCCTACCCTTACTTCTTCTCAAGAGCGCTGACGCCCCCAAGAAATGGTCGAAAGATACATCTATCGAGCGCATGCACTTTCGAGGACTAGCTTCGATGATCAGGAACCGGGGAGGTATGAAAACTATGCGAGCCTCGAGTCCTTTCTTGGAGAAGGTTTTATACTGGTACATTTGGAATATATCGATGATTGACGTTCTGCTTACCTTGAGTAGGGTTGATTTTAGCTGTGCTTCAAAGGCCATAGTCGGCACAGCCCTCCCATGGACTGGCACCATACCAGATACTCCCCCGCCTGGCTTTGACTTTATCAACCCTGACATGCACCTCGGCATCCCACATAACTCAACGGCCCCAGAAAACACCGAAACGCTGTGTGACCAATTCCGTGCTTGTGAAGACTTTCTTCGCTTTTTTCGTCTCCTCCACGAGCTCGAACGAAATGCCTTGAACTCGGGCTCTGGGCTCGCATCTACTACCACCGCACCACGCCACAAAAGCTTCACTAGTGGGACGAAACTCCATACCATACTTACTCTTCTTCCTGATCATGACCGTGGTATTCGTGATATCCGGTTTATCGACGAATACACGTGCATGTCCTGCCTCTTCTTCCTTGCCGTCGCCCTGTATCATTGCTACTCTACCTCGTCCAGCTTTGACGAGTACCTGCACTGGCTTGATAATGAAATCCAATCGCTCAGCCCGTTCGAAAACCCCAGTATCACGTCCATTCTGTGGCTGCTCCTGCAAAATGGCGGGTTTCCACCTGCATCCACTGTTCAAGAGAACACCAACAATTCCGATTCCAGCTCCAATTCTAATTCACCTACAGACTCCGGCGCTAGATGCTGGGTTGTCTCACGCATGGTCCGCATTGCAAAACACCTTGAGTGGAAACGCCAGGGCAAAATTTGGGACACTCTGCGCCAAGTGCTGATTGACTTTATTCTCACACAGCAGGATTGCGCCCTTGACTCGGAGCATGTCGATGCGGACGCATTCTATGCCCGCGAACGCAAACGAGGCTCGTCCCGGTGTTACTTTTGGGACGAGGATGAACTCCGTCGTGAGATTTTGGACATCCAAGATTACGGCTCTGGAGGTTCATCCGTATGAATGGGGACGCCAACATCCCGGTTTCGATTTAGCTTACCTACTACTCTTGGGTTTGCTTTCTTATGGATATCTTTTTCTCTCCTATACATTGATGATGACTGATGAACTTATATATAACTACATATTGTATATCTTTGTCTTGAGTAATACGTAACTTTCTTAATACAGTCAATTTCTAATGCCACCACAGACCTTTTCTTACTTTGCTCATAACGTAAAATATTAATTAGTTCCAGTTACCCATCCCTTTTCTGCAGCTACCTCTGAACCCGCTCTACCTACTTACTTGCCTACCTTGGTACTTCCTACTTCCCACTTCCTACTTAACAGTACACACCTTTATACGAGCGCACTGATAACTACTCCAAGCTGAGCAAATAACCGCACCTATTCATCTCATCTCATCTCACCTCACCTTACCTTATGTACCTTGTCTCACCTCATCTAGACAGAAAAGCAAGCAAGCTGAAAAATCCACTCATTATCAACTAGAAAACCAAACCAAAACTTATATAGAGTCGGATGTTGGATCCTCTCCCCTCCCCTGTCTAGCCTAGGTAGCTAACTAACTAGCTATGCTATGTATTACATATGTAACTAGCTAGCTAGCTAGCTACGTGAAAATAATCCGTCTCGTTTATAGTTGGCGGGTCGGGGGGATATTCACCTGGGGTAATTTGATCTTGATTGTTTCCTCTGCGTTTATTGCTATTATGTACTGCTGCTGTTGCTGTTGCTGTTGCTGCTAGGTCAGGGCCAGGGCCAGGGCCAGGCCAAGTTACCACTTACTCACTCGCTCCCTGTAACTATGTATACATACATACATGCATACATACATGCATACACGACACGAATACTTGACTACTACTAGGATTTCTACACGCAGCTGTAGAATAGCTAGGTACTGCTTCAATCATCCACAGCGAGTTCTATCTATCTATCTATCAACGGGAATAGACGCGAGATGGGCATGCGTTCACATTCACATTCACATTCACGTTCACGCAACGTAGTGGGTATTGAATTATCTCTCTAAAGCAGATAAACGCAGCAGCAGTAAAAGTAGCAGCAGTGCAATGCAGTAGCGGCATCAATTGAATCAGATCGAAACAAAACCAACATAACAAAATATCAACATAACAAGCGTGAGTGAGTAAGTATAAATACAACATGCAAAAAAAAAAAAAAAAAAAAAAAAAAAAAAAAGAAGAGAAAAAACGAAAACCAGCAGACGAACTTGAAAGCATCAACACCAACTGAAACTGGAATGCGTGTGGTATCAAACGAGCAAAGACGACGGTATAGCAGGCAGTAAAGTGAATTGATATCAAAACCCGAGTAAAAAAGGGAGAAAGGATTCCGTAGACAAAAGGTATGAATGTGGTTTCATATGTTCAGTTCATAGTGGAAGTACTGGGGTACTCTTTTTTTTTTTTTTTTTTTTTTTTTCAGATTCCTTTGTAGAGGCGAATATGGATAGGTGTATAGTGAATAAGGATGAGTATTGTCATGATATCAGCATGTCGTATCTATAGCCATGATAGCATTGCGTTATTTTAAAAGATGAGAGACGAGACGAGGCGCGAAAGATTGAGTCAAGTAGGCTTGTCGCAACCGATACGGCCGAGGAGGGCCTTGCGGTCGCTTTGGTCGCCCAATCGCACGCGGCCGCGGCCGCGGGGACGAACAGAGGCGGAGCCGTTGGATCTACGCCATTCGGCGTTGGAGACGTCCGTGGAGACAGTCGTGCCGTTGGGAACCTCTTTTCCTGGTCCGGAGACCTCCTCCTCTTCCTCTTCATCATCGCTGCGGGTGTCTTCTGCGTTACCGGTACGAAGGACTCCCACTGCGACGCGGACGACCATACTGAACCAGACCAGAGACAGCGCCTGTAACGACAAGAGCGAGCAGAGGAATATCCATTTGACGGTGGGGTTCATGCAGATCGGGCCGTCGACATTGAAGAACGGGGAGAAGAGATAGGTGAATTTATCGAGGTAGCCGTTCGTGGTGATCATTTCTGCCGGGGTTCGCGAGTAGCAGCCGTATGGCATCGCATCGGGGATGTCTTTGAAGATGGACCAGCAGAGCATGGGGTAATAAATATGACGGGAGACCAGCCAAACCACCATCATCACACCAAAGGCAATGTTGCAGCTCAGCTCGAAGCCCAGGTACTTGAGAACCTTGGCGAGCTGGGCGGAGTTAGCTCGGAGCTTATGAATGATTTCACACACATACCGGAAGCAGAAAGTCCACCACATCCATCAGGCTCAAGACCACATTGGAAACATTGTAGAACCCGTAGATATATGCGGAGCCGAGAAGGGTAATAGTAATAACATGGTGGGTCAACATCTGATAGTGGTCCTTCCTGCGCTCTTCAATGTGGATTACGAAGATTTGCTGGACCCAGAATGCCAGCTGTACGAGCAGGTACCACTTCAGAGAGCCGGAAAGACCACGCGACGGCCATTGGGCCCAAATATTTTTGAAATCCGCCCAGTAGTACGACTGGGACCAAATATACTATTCACCGTTAGCAAGTGGGCACGAACCCCCCCCCCCCCCCCCGGGTATATATAGTTGGCAACGACGAACCATGCCGAAAGCCCACGAGAAAGAATAGTACAAGAATTGCCAGCCCTGCTCAGAAAAGCGAATGGAAGCTTTCCGCTTCAAGCCCCAGCGCTGCGCCATCGGCTGCAGGCCCCATTCGATAGCAATGGCCCGGATCGCAGTAAACGCAACGATAGAGCTAGCGACAAAGTAGACATCATTCACGCCCTGGACGTATAGCCCTTGTGACGCTTGATAATATGACAGCTGGAAGAACGGAGTGGTGTATGGTGACAAAGAAGGATATAGGTGGTGAACAGCCAGAAGCATCGAAAGGATTGTCAAGGAAATCCCTATTGATAGAACGAGGTAGACCAAAGTTGATTAGCGCAGTTCTTCCGTTGATGGAACAAATTCAGGTCTCGGAAGCTGTAACTCCAGGTGAAAGCAAGAATGACAACAAAAAGGAGGGGTAGGGGGGGAGAGAAAAAGAAGAAGAAAAAAAAAAAGACTGGGAAAGGCTTCAATTGTGCATACCGATTTGGTTGACAACCACCCATTCGCGGAAGGTGGTTTCTTTCGCAGCGCGGTGGCCGGAAGACGAGGAAACGCAGGCATTGAGCTCTGTGACCGACTGCGACGGCAAGGATGCGTTTTTGGCCATCACGAGAGGGGGAGGGGAGAGAGGAGAGAGGAGAGAGGAGAGAGGAGAGAGGAGAGAGGAGAGAGGAGAGACGAGAGACGAGAGACGAGGTGTCAATGGAGAGTGGGATCAGCGGAAAAGAATCATGCAGACCAGGGACTAGGCAAGGCTGAGTGGTATCGGTGAGTGGAAAGCCAAAGAGGATTGCGAAGGAAGAGCGAGAGCGAGAGAGCGAGTGAGTGAGCGAAGTGGTTCCCGACCACTGATAGTAGAGGTGTAGTTAATCGAGGACTACTCCGAGCGTTGATGTGAGTTAGTGTTGGTGTTGCTAGTTATTTTGCAAGCAGTCTAGTCATCCGCAGTTCCGCGGCGGAGAACGTAAACGAGTCAGTCTTGTTGAGGTTTTCTCTTAGTCGCAGGGTTAATAATTCTAAAAGGACCGTGTCCCAGACCGGTCCTAGGTAGAGTCTACCTAAGAAGGAAGAATCAAGGGAGAATCAAGGGAGGGGGAGGAAGTTGTATGCGGAAGTCGGGACAAAGATATGAACGAGGTTTAACAGCAGATGAGAGGATTGGAAGAGAGGGGAAAAGAATCGCAAGCACAAGCTGGAGAGAAAGACTTGAGATTGGAGGGACACGTCGTTTACTTGGTCCGCAGTCGGTACCTGTGTCCCCCATAGTGTTTCGCTGGGCTCAACAGGTACCACACCGCCTGGAAATCCATTCTATTGTAACTATATCCGGCCCAGCCTCCGCATTGGTTTCTCCCCAATAACATCTGGCTACGGCTTCACACCCCGAGGTTAGAGGCTATCCCCCTCTCTGTTATCCCCCGAGCTAATATGTTGGGTTGAGTCTGCACGAAAGAAATGCATCTTCTGTGGCTCATCCGGAAGCCAATAAGTGGGATCGGCAGCCTTGGCGAGAGACCACTTATTAGCGATATTACTAGGGTTCTCATCCCTGCGAGAAGAATATTAGCTACAGGTATATAGTATATATATATATATATATATATTTATATTTACGATCCATCGATCTATTCTACCGTCTGCACTTCTTGCTGCCCATGCTCTAACCCCGCAGTCATTCCGTTCACATACTCCGCAGCACTGACTCCCAGCTGCGCCAGATCAACTCCTCCCTGTCCCGCCATCGCCCGCGACATCGCCCGCACCACGGCCGACTCCTCCCAGATACTCGACGGCAGGGCCCCCCCATTCACGCGGGAACTCTCCCCGTCCATCGCAACCACCGTCCGCCAATAGGCATCATCCCGGGCCTTGAGCACTTTATCCCGCACCACCGCATTGCGCGTCACGCTCGCCGCATGCAGTTTGGAGCTGGCCCCCGAGAGGCTCGCCAGCGATGCCGACACCAGCTGATCCACCTGATCGGCCTGGGTGGGCGGCGTGAAAAAGAACCGGTTGGTCGCCGACACGTAGATGAAAAACGCCAGCGCACCATCAAAGATCGCAAACGCGAGCGGTCGCAGCCGCGCCATGGTCTCGAACGCCGTGGAGGGGGTCGTGATCCCGTCGCGTACGGAGGCCGGGCCCGTCCGGACTGGGTCCCAGGTGAAGATAGCGTAGATGTCGATAGCTGCCAGTACGAGTCCTGCAATGGTAAACTTGTTCCGCCACCGCGCTGCCTCGCGCCCGGCAAAGGGGGACGCGGTGGTCAACCCGACGATCACCATGTGGAAGAGATGTGGAATCAGGGCGTTAAAGGGGAGATAGTAGAGGAGGTAAGTGTGGATGTCGTCGAGCGTGCAGAACTGGCATTGCGTTAGGGTTTCGGCACCGAAGCGGAGGTATGCCCGGCGCGCAGCCGGGGAGCTGAGTTTCGACTTGAGGAGTTGGTCGGCCGGTGTAAGAACACCCCCGGCACGGTGACGAGCTAGTCGACTGAAGATAATGTCCAGGGGCGTGTTGATGCGCGACCGGGTCAGAGAGAAGATACTGGGGCTGGGGGCGTAAGGATTGAACGGGAGGCTGAGGAGGAAGAAGAAGAGGATGGCGCAGAAGAGCACGTTTAGGGCCCGTGAAGCATTCGAAGGCAGAGGCTTTGGGTTCGGTTGCCGGGCAATCGCCAAACGGACATTTCGGTAGAAATTGAGGGCGCGCGGGAGGACAATCGGCGCAAAGAAAATCAAGAGGGACTTGATGCTGTTCAGTTGGTGAGTATAAAGACAAAAATTCAAGATCCTCATATACATACGTTGCAAAAGAGATCCCGATTTCGACCATCTTCCCGGATCGGTTGTACCGTAACCAAGCAGCTCAATGTGATGTGATGCTTTGATGAAGCCCAGCTGGCACGAACGATCTTATCGGGATGGCGCCAAGAAGCGGTTAGTCTCCGGTCTTGATTGTCTTACATACAGAGTACATATGAATTTGTTTCACTTGGCAACAAACAATCATTCAACCATCGTCTTCTTCCTATTTTTCTTTTTTTTTTTTTTTTTTTGGCTAACATGAATGTAGTGAACTAAAATAAGAAATTTACATAAAGATGGGAATCTGAAAACAGCAGCAAATAAAAAAAATGATCGAATCGTCGCTAATGTCATCAATAAACCAACGCCAATTTCCCCAGTCCCCGAGGCGTCTACAACATATACACTGTATTGCTGATGGAATCCAGCCTTATCGCTTCGCATTTCTGCGATTTAAATACGCCCCGACTGCATTGCTGGGTGATGCGCTAGGTTTGGGATCGCGAGCCCGGATGAGTCGCGAGAGTATTTCGACGAAGCCGCATCATTGTTAAGATTGACAGGATTAAGCGGACCAGAAATCTTCAAAGGAATCCGAGGCATGGTCGCTGTAGATGCTCGTCGCATAGGCCCCGAGGGACTGTACGTCGGTAGAATTTCGTCCCGTTTAGAGCTGAGCTGAAATGACCGCTGGCTGCAAGATCGTGAAGCCACCTTCTGAGGCGCCACTGCTCCATACACACGAACATGACGTGCACTCACCCCGATATCCCGATCCGCAAACGCAAAGTTCTGTATGCAAATATTATCAGGACTTACTAGCGCTACAAACTGCCTCGGGGGGATGTGAACTTACCGCTCCTACATTAATCGCGCTGACAACCAAAGCCAAGATTCCAGCAGAGATGATGATTCTCCAAAATGTAAGCCCAAGGGATTCTTGGCTTGTTGCCGGGGTATTGAGGTCGCCCAGTGCTCCCACCCCCAGTATCAGCATTGTGAATGCCAGGGAGAGGAATCCCGAATCTTGGCCTAGTGATGGCCAGTGGCGGTCGAAGAACGCGCGGAAGAATGGGAGTTCTGAGACCAGGAGGAACACTATATAGATATCCCGTTAGCGCCTCCACTCGGACATGTTCTACCTGTGGGAGAAAACTCACAACTGACTCCGATAGCCACAGCATGTGTGATAGCCTGGAAGAAGAAGAAGCTGGTCAAGAGATCGATCTTCACCAACATAACTACATGAGCCGCAATCATGTCGAGGAAGACAATGATGTTCAAGACACGGATGGCATTCAGAATCACATATCCTGGGCCAGCCAGGGACTCTTTCAGTGATGCCATCATGATGATTGTTGGGGTGGAGATAAGAACGCAGAAGCTTGGTGCTAGTATACTAGTCTCTATATGAACCCTTTTAGAGGATTTATTCAGGAAAATATGCGTAGGGAATTTGAGACCAAGGAGGAAAGAAATCTTAAGGAAGGTGGAGGTTCACGCGCTGACCAGCAGCAGAACTTGGGTGTTGACAGAGACTGAAAGGGACGAGAAGGAAGAAAGAAAGAACCACGAAGCCAAGTCGAGGCTTAAAGAAAGAACAAAGATCGATTATAATGGATATGATTCATGACCAGGTGGCTCTATTAACTGAGCCTGATACATGAGCAGCCCCTTCTGCAGCAAGCCCAAGTGAATCACTAAACAAAGACTACCACAATCAACACAATAGACAGGAATAGGATTTGAAACACACTCAACCAAGCCATTGAGAAATGCGATCCATTCAATTTGGCGCCACAGGAGGTCTTTTGTCCTTCCTTTCCCTTTCAGCCCTGACTCCTGCCCTGTCCAAAGCCGTCATTCTGGGAATCAATCCACTTCACCCGCTGTAGGATCCACAAGGGTATTCGCTGCCTTTGGGGGTGAAGGATCTTGTAGTGTTGAGATTAGCGCGGTAAGTATTGAAGCTCTTCCTCTTAAAAATGGTTCTGTTGCAAGTTCATGTACAAAGAGGAAGATGGAGTGGTTCAGAAGACCAGATCACATGCGATCTGAAACTCGTCGGTGCGAGCGCCTGATGATTGGTTCTCCTTTCATCTTCATCTCTCCAAAGCATCCTCGACAATCGCTCTGGTTTGTTGATTTAATTTAGATACGGAGCTTAGGTTGAAATTAAGCGCTTAAGTCTCCCAGAGTTTGTTCGTCGACCTTCGATACCAACAGTGTCCTTGCACAACGCGATTGCTCTCTCAAATGAACCTATCCCCGAGCGCCCTCATTTTTCCAATGTTTCCTCCTTCTTCTTTAGGGTCAGTTGAAAGAGACATTCCGATGAGACCATTATATACTAGGTATGGCTCGTGGTTCCCTCTGAGCAATGCCATCGCTAACGATCCAGGATAATTTCATCCGCCATGTTCTCCACCATAAGTGGCTGCTATCCTCCTGATCATTAAGCCTGCGATAGATGCATCGAATTCCCCGTGATGCATGCCCTGCGACAAGGTACTTCTAGCAGTATATACCCAATCAGCCATTCTGTATAGCCGCCCACTAGGCTTACTCGCAGCCTTGGGATCGCCGATGCCAATACAGGCATTAACAGAGAAACATACTATATATATATATATATATATATATATGACTGTAACATTAGCAACCTAAGCTTCAATAGGTTGATTTACGCCAGACTCACGCCATCAGTCATGGTGGGTTTCAGTAAAATACAGTTCTTAACTTACCACTATCACAAGCGCATAGTAACTTCAACTAGGCCGAGAGTTTGCGAGTAGATACCTTTCTGCGTACCTTGGTTCCGGGAGAGGAACCCAAGATTGAGTAAGATTTTGCCCCAGATGACCTATCTATTTTACCACGGGCTTAATTCTAGCGTTAGCATCCGTTCTTCTTCTGCTGGTGCGTGGGAGCAGGTGCAAAACTTGCTCAACAAACTATAGCTCGAACGACAGGTACAGCTAGAAGTTAACTTCAATGTCAACCAAAGCTCACGTTGGCACTGGGATATGAATCCCGAGCTCTCCTTTATAGTCTTCGTGGTATAGTTGTAAAAGAGGTATCTTTCATTTCCTTATCCAGGGTCTGCTGACATGGCAAGGTACTCGTGCAAGCCAGCCTGGGAGTCACGTACGACTCTGAGACGTTGCATTTCAGAAGCCTTGGACTCTCTAAATTCTCCTCTGGGAACCTCGATATGCGCAGATTGTAGAAAAAGGCCCAGCAACACTTGGTCTTCCCGAGACAATAGAAAATATCGCTGGGCTAGCTTTAACACACTGTGATCAACTTCTTGGTCATGATCATTCTTTTACTTTGACATGTCTCCATAGCGATTACGCATAAACCCGGGGCAGAAACTCTTGAAGTTATTCAGCTAATGGCTCAGGCTACTCACAAGGAGGAGAAGGCCATCGGGCCCTACCATGAGGATACTCTGCAGTCTCTCCACATGTTAATCGAATGGTATACAGACGCTGTTGGATATCGAGGCGCAAGAGGATAAAAATCCAACGAGCTGGGATGAGTGGTTTGTTGTCTAAGCAAAGAAGGGTTTTTTTTAAAAAAAAATATATATATATAATGCAGTCGCTAGATTAACTGGAATCTGGAATGATACAACATATACTACCTAGTCACAGTATAGCCAGGCTTAAAAAAAAAAGCGCAAGATGGCGGGTCGGCGGCTATGTATGGTTGCTAAAAAAAGCGGCATCCAATCGACACCGGGCAAAACTTCCACGTCGGTAGCAACCCAACGTTTTCCTCCTCCTCCTGTGGCAGATTCGTTATCATATAGAATCCAAAACATACATTCGATCTTCATCGACGAGGGGTCTATGGATTAAACCCCCCACCAGATCAAAATGACCCGTGGAAATCAGAGAAATAAAGACCGCGAGAGGAACGAGAAGGAAATGGCGAAAAAGGTTCAACATTCCTTCCTTCCTTCCTCCAAAAGACGACCTCTAGATATCTAATATCGACCAAAATCATCTACTAACCCGGCTTAATCAACTGCATAGAGAAACGCCAATAACCTATCTGGATCCGAGTTCCAGCGCAAGAAGGAGAGCGACGCCGAGAAGATGCGCATAAAGCAAGCACAGGGTGAGTGATGCAGGAGCCTCGTCTTTGTTCCCCTTCACCCCTGCAGGCACATCAGCGCAGGGAAGAATACCTGCATATCTATATGTTATATTGTTTTTTATCTCTTTCTTTGATCCAGTCTTTTCTTTTTCTTTTCTTTTCTTTTTTTTTTCTTTTTGTGGTTGTTGAATCAACTGACTCGGTGGGTTTCTCTTATTAGCCGACGCACGCAAAGCAGCAGACGGGGCAGCAGGGGGAGGGAAGAAAAAATGACATGACAAGTCTTTCTTTCACTTGACTCTTCCCTGCTTGAAAGAAGCGTACTACTAGTATACTTTCTATCGCCTGACCTTCCGCCTTTCCCGACCTCTCTCGTTTCCTCCGATTCAGACCGTCGATATATTCGTGAGTTGGGCTTCGTGCGCGGCTCGGCCTGGCCTATTGGTTCTGGTTTGGATAGAGCGCGCCGCCTACCTAAAGTACCTACCTACCGTGTTCAAATTAGGGGGAACTGCGAAACAAAGAAATTAATACAGAGGGCACGCACGCTATTTTGTGGGCAAGATAGATTATTCATGTTTGATAGAAGAGTGCTATGTGGAGGCAGCAGCTCAAGTCAAGTAGATTGATTGGTATATGTATATTTATAACGGGGGTTCCGCGGTCGGAAACGGAGTCATCGGCGCATGTTACTTATGTTACGATGATGGCGATGGTGCCGTATGATTTGTTAGCGAGGCGTTTTTAACTCATTCTTGCAGCGTTTTTGGGCTTTCCCGTGTGTAATCTTCTCCAGATCTATCATGGGTCATTTAGTGTGGTTTATACGTTGGCTACTTGGGGTATACCGGTGGGAAGGGGGAATGTTGAAGGAGCGTTGCTATTACTGGGTAGGTAGGGATATACAGGTGGCAAGGCTGTGTTGATTTATGTGGGTTTATTCACGGTTTGTCGAGTGTCGCTCCAGTGAATCCTAGCCTTATCTACCCATGACCTCCACCCCATTTCCTCGCCGTCCCTATCCTTCGCAGGGTGGAACATGAAATTCCATGGGTATGTATTCACATTTTGTCCGAGGCCATCCCGCAGCTTGAACTTCCTGGTACTCAAATCCACACAAGTCCAGAGACTCTCGCCTTCCCAGCCGATATCCAGCGCAAACTCGACCAGCTTCCCGACACTCTCGAGATGCAGAGTCGGATTGCGGGCTGCATCTAGTAAATAGAGCAGAAACATTAAGCCCGATATATCGGCTGGATGGGCCATACACCAGTCGAGTACAGTATCGACGATGCTCCGTGCTAAGAGAATACTCCAGTCTCCCATCTCCCCGCCAAGCCCGGATAAGAGGTGGTGGAGCTCTCGCATGGAGTTGAAGGCGTAGTAGTTTTTGGGATGCAGCTCGCCCGCACGTAGACCAACGGCTAATTCAGCTTGGAAAAGGCCCTTTGTCGTCTCCAATTCTGGCTTGCGTAGCTTCACCAGGTGTGCTAGCACCCAGAGGCGATGCTGCCAGAGCGTAGGTGATTTGGTATGACGGTGTAGCGGAGAACAAAGATACGTTGTCATCAGGGACAGTTCGGTGCTGAGTGCACGGTCGAGCTCATTTTGGTCCAAATGACCATGAAGTAAGGTGACCAGCCACTTTTTTCGCCAGTTACATGCTGTGAGATGTTCGCAGTCGAAAAGGAGGATGATCTCCGAGGCGGTTCGGAGCTTCGTATTCACCTCGTCGTCGTCGTCGTCGTCGTCTATTGCATCCCCACTGGAGACTTTATGGCCGTGGCTCAGGGTTCCAAAGAAGACGTCTCGGGCAGTTACAAAGGCCTGCACTAGATATTTCTTTGTGGCCCCGATTGACTGCTCATCCTGGAGAAACGGCCCAAGAGCCGGCGGGAGGATTTCAATTTCAAGAACGCAATCACCTCTGGTCGCGAAGATGCGCGATAGTTCTTGGAAGGCTGGTGTTTGCGGCGGACATTCTGATGTCATTGGGAGGCACGCTGTCTTTTACCTAGGTAGCATACCTATGTATCTGGATGTGTATAGGATTAGTTGTGGTGTTTTCTCTTCCACCTCGCCGCGTAGTTCAAGATCGGAGCTCAGAAACGCCGCCAGCCGACAACGGCAAAAGCACCAGTTGGTCGATATGACAAACGTCATTTCTTCTGTTGTGTGTAAGAGTTTCCAGCTAAAGGTTTCTCCTCAAAATATATCCTCAACTCAATAAATTCGAACCCTTGACACAGACTCATCGCTTCGCAAACATGTTGCCCCTCATTTGGACGGTGTTTTTCATTCATGTCGCCATTTTCCTGGTGAACACCATTGGTGCGGCCACGATTGACAACCTGGTACGTCCAGTCTGCCTACGAATTTCGTCAACATGTCCCCCTAACGAACACGTTCTCTCTAGCTATGGGTTCTTTTTCTCAAGATCCCGACATCAATGTCCCAGACTGCCCGGGACCAGAATAAGATGAAGCGCGAGGCCGTCCAGCTCAAGCGGGAGATGAACAACACGAGCTCGCAGGATGAATTCGCCAAGTGGGCTAAACTGAGACGACGACACGACAAGGCGATGAGCGACTACGAGACCCTGCGTATGTTTTCCTTTCTCCGTGCCCTTCTTTAATAATTCAGATATAATAAGATCTGCTGGGAAATCTACAGAACTGACCTGGGCTACTCTGCTCCAGACAAGAAACTCTCCTCGCAGAAAACCTCCTTCGACTGGATCGTCAAAATCGCCCGGTGGCTCAGCACAAACGGCCTGAAAATCTTCGTCCAATTCAGATACTCCAAGACACCTGTGTTTCCGCTTCCCGGCGGCTGGTTCCCTTACTACATTGAATGGATCTTGTCGTTTCCTCGTGCGCCACAGGGCTCGGTGAGCGTGCAGGTGTGGAACAGCGTGTGCGCCACGGCCGTTACAGTTATTGCGGAGATTCTTACAGCGGTGTTTCTGCAGATGCGGCAAAGAATAGCGACTCCTGTTCCTGCTACGGCCAAAAAGACGCAATGATCCTTGGGGCCTTTTTTTTTTTTTTTTTTTTTTTGTCATGGTTACACGTGGAGTCAAGGTAAGGTACGGAGTCTAGCATGGACAGTGTGAAATAAATGAAAAGAGGCTGTCTTGTCTTCTCTATGATAAGCATATTTGTTAAATAATGAAACGATAGGCATAAAAGGTATATAGTGATGATGTTTCTCAGATATAAAAAAAAAATCGTTTATCGTCAGCAACCCCATACCGTAGCAGGAGTTTCAGTGCTTGACTCTATGATTGGTATATCATCATGTGAAGCAGCATGAAATAACACTATACCACCTATTGCATAGGCGTACCAGGACATGAAAGGAAAGGGGAATGGGAATGGGAAATGGAAAGGTATAATAATCCGAGTCCGGCCCCTTCGACAGAGCATCTGTGACAGCAAACGTAAATAAAGCACGCCATCACCGCTTTCCATAAGCTACAGACTCTGAAAAGAAGAAGAAGAAAAAAAAAAAAAAAGAATTGAACTCCTCGCCTCAAGAATGAGCCCCATTGAGTTACCCAGCCTCCGTAAAGAAACCAGGCAATCGCATGACTATGCAAACACGACGAAAGGCAACCCAAATAAAAACCCCCCCTCCGGTGCCCGCCATACCACCATTGATTCCACCAGACAGGTATCGCCAGGCGTCGGGTACAGTCAAGAAACCGGGAGGGAATAGGGCAGTAAGCCGCTGTCAAACTGCTTCTATGGCGGCGCGTTTCCGCATTGCCTGACCAGGAAATTTGGACAGGGTGTCCGGGGACTTTCTCCCAAAGCGACCTCTCAGTAGTAGAAGAGGAGAGAACGGGTAGGTCCTCTGTGTGTGAGCTTTGAATGCGATTCTTTGAGCGAGGAGTTGAAGAGAAGAGAAAGAAGGAGAGGAAATTTCAGTATTAATTTTTTTTTTTTTTTTTTCTACGGAGCTTGTGGTGTGCTAGTCTGGTTTAGGTTAGAGTGTGGTCACGTGTATGTTTTGGGCTTCGGTTGCTGGGGCTTTTCCCGATTAGGAATATTATTGTCCACTGCACTTGCACTGCACTTCTTGCTGGAGCTCTTGACAACCAGCTCTTACTTTCCACAAAACCAATTCTTGAATCTCATTTGTATTGTTCTCTTTAGAGTGGCTGTTAGGGAGATACCGGTAGAAGGGGTTTCCAGTGACTTTTCACTGTATCTCAGCTGAGTCACCTCACCTGCATATTCACCTTCGTCGAGCATGAATTTGATGATGAATTTCACGCAAGTAACTCTCAATCTCTAATTGCTGGTTTCACTACTCTGTACTCCATATAGTTTGCAAATAAAAGCAATTATAGCCTTGACATATAAAAAAAGGATAAATAGGCCATAACCCCCGAAAAATCTTGACAAGTCCATCATAGAGAATTAGCTACAAACCCTCCCAGCAAAGCTCCTGCAGCCAATATCCAAAATTCCAGACCAAGGGCTTTGTTATCCATCCTACTTTATAATTTGACATCAGGGCCATCATATCTGGTATCTGACACCGGCACCCCCCCCCCCTTTTGCGCCCCGACTTGGGTGATATTCAAGCAATGGTTCCTGGTCCCGCTGGCGTTACGGCGGCGAAGCAGTGGACCCAAGACGCGGATATATTCCTTCGTCGTCTGAAGAAGGAAGACCAAACGGAGCGTCTGTTGCGGTCCATAAACCGCAATGTTTTCCCTTTGTTCAATTTGCAGCGTGCCGGGGCGGGCTTAGCAGAGCTGGAGGATGATTACGAGGAGATCTGGGATGGCTATGATGAGTAGAGGGGTCGTTTCGCCATTTCTTCACCTTTTCACACGATAATATCACGAATACGGTCCACAGACCCCTTCACATCTTTGTGGAACCTACTCAGAGGGTGGTGATGACCAGATAGATGCAGGCATGCTGCTGGACAGAAATTTCAAAAAGCAGGGCTGCACGAACGAAGAAACGAAGTACGCTGCCATGCGTATGGAAGTCATGTTACAATCCGTTGGCAGACGGTCAGACAGGACATGACTCCGTTACATTGCAGCTCCCAAAGGGACTTTACTTGCGGGGAGTAAATGTGAAAATGATCTACTTCATGGAATTGACTCCCATGAGGACTGGAATTTTAGTACCAGTGGCTCTGGCGAAGTATATGAGTCTCATGGTATAATATCCCAGTTACCTTGCTAGACAAAACGAATACCAGCGCAATGCATTCTACCACATCAAAGGCCTGGGACAATCATTCGAAAAGGCAACCCGCGGAGAATGTGGATGTCAACGTATCCCCGCTGGGTGCGTCAGAGATATCATATCCATGCCTTTCTGCCCACCTAAACCACTACCTGCTTTAGGTGCGCCACATATTCTTCGCGATCATATATTCTTCGCGATTTTTTAATATTTAAAGCTATATAATAACAATAATACTAGTAATTAAAATAAAAAAACTCTCTAACTTCTTTAGTATATCTTATATTATTAATTTCTCTTTAAATTAACTTCTACAAGTATAAAGAGAGTAGAGAACTATATACTTTCTTTTTCTACTTTGCTAACCTTCTCTACTTATATTTAGTATTCTTTGCTTTCTTATCTTTAATTAATTAAATAGCATTATAAACTCTTAGAATCCTATTACTAGATAGACCTTTAATCTAGTACTTAGTATAAACCTAGTATTAAGGCTCTTGTATGGTCCTAATCCTTTAAATTACTTTCTAGGTTATTTTTAGCTTCTCAAGCTTCTCTACCTAATATTAAAAGAGTTTTAATATATTCTGCCTTACTTAGTTAGATACCTTATTAAGTTCCTTTATAATCTTTACCTAATTTTTTAGAAGAGCCTCTATTATTACTAGAGGACTATTTTTAATACTAGAGGATAGTAATAGTAGTAAAGATAAAATTTAATAAAAATTAATTAATATATCTAGTATATTTATCTAATTTACTAGTTTTTTAATAATTTTAATATTATTAACTAGCTAGATACTATATTCTTTAAAAATATCTTAAATAATTTGCTAGTAAAAGGTCTAGTTATAGATTAGCTAGATAATCTTTATGTCACGGCGACCACGTGACATGCAACCACATGCCGAACCACATGCCGAACCACATACCCAGTAACCGAGGGTAATCGGGAGAACGGCAACATTCGAGTCGCCTGCGCCGCGCCGGCGACTCGACTAGGCAACATAAATAGCAACGCAATAACCCCCGAAGTGCTGAGAGACAAGCACTTCGTTTTGTTACTTCCAGTACCTTCCTACTATCCTCGTACTCCGTGTAGCTTTGCTTCCTTTACCAACACTACCCATACCCAAGCGCCTCGCCAGTGAGACGCTTACAATTCGAAGTGCTTCTTTACCAAGCGAAGCAACATGGCGAGTACGAGAAGGACTACCCGCTCCTCCTCCCAAGGAGTGGCGGATCCAAACTCCATGGAATCTACAACCATGGTTCCGGAAACCATTATCGAGGAAGGTTTAACGGCACCAGCGACTCTCCAGCGCCAACCCGTCGAGTTGACGGAAGACGATAAGCTGTGGCGCATGGCCCAATACATGGCGCAAGCCATGCAGACGGGTAGGGAGAAGGTGCCCGAACCCGAGTTCTTCAAGGCACGAAACCTGAAGGAACTTGGTGTCTTCCTGGAAGACCTCCAAGACTACTTTGGGTCGCAGGGGAAACTCTATGAGAGCGACGCGGCCAAGGTCCGCTACGCTACGGGTCGCCTGAAAGACGACGTAAAGCAGGCGTGGCGCTCTAAGCATGGAGCGAACCCCGAAGGACTCACCTATTCAGAATTCACTGAGTTCCTGCGGAACTTCCTAGAACCAGAGAGAGACCGCGGGCAGACGGCGGCTCACCGGCTCCTACACATGAGACAAGGACCACAACAGAGCATACGAACCCTGATAACCCAGATGGAGGAGTTCGTCCCAATGATCGAAGCCGATCTTGAAGGATTCCTCTGCCAGCTAGCCATCCAAATGGCCCGGCCCGAATTGCGCAAGGAAATCCAGCGGGACGCGACGACGCCGCGAAGTCTAGCCGAAGTCGCCGAACTGGGGGCAAGGTACGAGAAACTTCAGAAACAAGAGAAGCAGGAAAGCCAAATGGGATACAACCAAACCAACCCCTGGGGTCTCGTGTGTCGAAGGATGACTCAAGGAAGAGAAAGAAAGATGACGGCGAAGCAACGAACCCCCGACCGAACAAATTCCAGCGGAAAGAGTCAAAGGAGGAGTGGCGGAACCGCCAGAACCAAAGAAAGGAAGGCCGATGCTACCAGTGCAATCAAACCGGTCATATCGCAAGGAAATGCCCCCAGCGCAGAGAAGGCGCCGAGGGGGGCAGGAGAATCAGAGGACCAAGACCAATGACGGTCGAATGCTCCAGAATCCCTAGTGCTCCAACAGGACGAAGAGGCGCCGGCGGGACCCCCTCCTAGCCGCCGTAGCCATCCTGGTGGGCAAGAAATGGGTCACGACAAGGGCGCTTATGGATACTGGAGCGAACGAGGACTTTATCTCCTACCGCTTCTTGGCTAAAGAAGGAATAAACCCTCGACAAGACAAAGATGGAGCAACCCGTGCGTTTCGCTAACGGCTCAACGGCGCCGTGCTACGCGAGATTCCAGGCGAAGAAGCCGAATCACGGATAGCCTCGACGAAACTAGAGAATTCGACATGGAATACCATGTAGTTAGATTTGGAAGAAAAAGAATACCAACTGATCCTAGGGCGCAGCTGGCTGAGCCCGGTCGACCCCGACGTCTCCTTGGCGGCGCGAACACCTGGCGCTACCGGAGGGAAAAAGTTGAAGATCAAAATCGAATCGCCCAAGCGATTCAAGAGCACGTATGGAGGCAAAGGACTCCACTATGCTGGTCTTGAGCCAACCACGCGACGGACAGTGGTGCGACGGGGGGCTCTCCCAAATGCTACGAAGAATGGAAATCGGTATTTCTCGGAGAAAAGAGGCAGAGTGCGCTCCCCTCTGAAAAAGCTTAGTCATGGACATACCATTTAGTCGCCGGCGCAGCGGCACCGACGGCCGGCTGTATAGTATGGTCAAGGACGGACGTTAGCGACCTTGAGGGAGTTATATCGATCGAATTGTTGGAAAAAGGATGGATCCGGCCCTCAACGAGCGCAGCGGGCGCGCCGGTGCTTTTCGTGCGAAAGGCCGACGGGTCGCTACGGCTCTGTGTGGATTATAGGGGCCTGAACGCAATTACCATCAAGAACCGATATCCCCTCCCACGAATCGACGAACTAATGGACCGACTGGTCGGAGCCAAACGATTCACTAAACTGGATCTGCGAGACGCCTACCACCGGATTCGCATCCGTCGGGGCGACGAGTGGAAGACGGCGTTTCGCACGAGGTATGGACACTATGAATATCTAGTCATGCCTTTTGGGTTGTGCAATGCCCCGGCTACCTTTCAAGCATACATCAACGAAGCAATGAAGGGGATCCTGGATGAATTTTGCATAGTATATCTGGACGATATCCTGATCTACTCACAAACGGAGGAAGAGCACGAGCGCCACGTCGGCGAAGTACT